GCGAGTAAATCATCCAAAGAGCAGCGAGTATGCATACCTATGTGCAGAATTATGTGTGCAGGATGGATGTGGACACATTCAGACTTTCACATGCACCACCTTTTGGAAGGTAGCAATCCTCTTTTTGTTTTTGAATTTAGGCAGGCAATGCATACGTTATTCATCGTTTTGGCTCTTCCGCATTTAAAAGCGGGATATAAATATTAATGGTGCCGGACTAAGCTTCGTTCCTGCCGACGTCAAGTGCAGGCTGGACGGGGGTAGATTTAGATAATGCTCAGTGAGCTTTCTCTCCGAAACTTTTGGTTCTCTCGAGTCAAACATGTGAAGTGGTTGATAACATCTCGTTGTTCTCACTCAAGTTGTGTGTGCAGGTGCCTTCTTGGAGTGATACCGTTGATGCAAATGCGAACATTTCATGATCATGCTTATCCCGTAGGTACAAAAGTTATATGTAGTTATTGTCTTTTTATTTTACATATTTTTGTCAAGAGTACACTTTGAGGAAGCGAACGAGAAATGCTAAACAGAGAGTTTGAGTTTGTCTGTATTTGGAAAGAAAAATAGTGTGTATCGTATCTGCTGGCATTTCTGTAGGAATTGAAATATCATCTCCTTTCTCTCTCTCCTTGTTGGCGGAGAAGATTCCGAAATTTTCTGGGTACTCTTGGATTCACTTGGTTGAAAAAACTTTTGTCTTTCATCTGCGAAATATAAAATAGTTTTTGTAAGAAATGAAACAGAGAAATAGCACAGCTCGGGATCACATTACACCACATTTTGTAGCAAAGACGGTGAGAGACCAGCCTTCTCCACCAACCACCACCTGCCAGCTTCCACAAACTCTGTCAACTTTCTCATTGGAGGACAGGGATGGAAAGTTGAGGAAAACTTGTTCCTGGTAATACACATCGATCGATGTTTTAACTTTTCTTCTGATCTTGCTCTCTCTCTTTCTCTCTCTCAAGATTGGGGATAATATGCAAAAATAAGTTTCTCTACCTTTTGTTCACGCGTTCCAATCCACTTCATGTTAACTTGTTAAGCTCTTGGCTTGATCAGGGTTTTTATCACCCTTTTGTTTCATAATTTGCAAAAGTTTAGTTTTAATGAATTTCTCGCTACTTTACAGGTGGATAACAAATTTTGCGTCAACTAAAAGCAGCCACTTAATGAATTGTCCACAAACTTCTTAGTTGGCAGTATATCTAGAAAGAAGGGTGAAGGATGAAGATTAAATTTCCAAGTAAAATGAGAAGTGACGTTAGATAGAGGACGAGAATTCTTATGGTTAATCTACTCTGGTACATATTTTCAATTAGTGCAAGCAAGATGAATCAGCATTGAACATGCTGAATTGAATATTGGTGGAAGTGACAATTTTATAAAGTAATTAGAGAAAATACCATAAAATTCAATTAAATCTTAACTTTCTGGTTTTACTATAGTCGATGTTAATACGTCATCCCTGTTAATTAGGCCGGAATGATTCATGTCGAAACGTCAAAAATGTCAAATTTTCGCTTTCGAAGCACATGATGCATATCGAAAATGTTGTAGCATATTTAATGCTGCTACTTCATTATATCTGTTTCTCGAGTTTATCACTTTCACTTCCGCTCTCCATTCCCACGCGATGACGTTGACCTGCTTTCCAAAAAGACAATGGAAGTCCTTCATGTAGTGTATACATAACTTCAATTTTGATGGGACCAATATTATTTTGTTTTAAATAAAAAAAGTATACCCGTATTTTTGCAATAATACGCAAATTTTTATAAGACGAGAATTTGAGCTTCTGGTGGAATTTAACAAAAATATTTAGAAGCCAATATCTTTTTCTAAAAAAATTACTTTATGGGACAAATTAACAGTTTTGAAAACGGATATACTAAGAATTAGTTTTACTTTACAAAATCGAGTTCTTACTTTCGAGATTTTCTTAAATAAATTTAATTTCTTAGATAAATTGATACAAAATCTTGTAAAATATAGCTATCGACTGTCTATTAAACTGTATCTAAAAAGACCTGAATTGAACATGGTTTGCGCTCCCACATATGTATAAACACTATCCAAAAGTCTGTTTAAAATATGAGTTTTTCTTAAAATGTGTGGCTTATGTACAGAACTTGTATCTAGAGATTTAATCCTGTCTTTAGCTTTAAACTTTCGCAAGCTAATACATGAGCAGGCCATAGTTATGGTCATTCTAGAACAAATTTTTTTCTGATTTTTTCTGAAATTAAAAAAAAACTTAAAATCTTTTCTAAAACGTCTCAAGGTTCCCAGTGTGCTCAACATTAGGTCGATTATGAACAAACGCATACTTAAATTCATGTTGACTCACCTAGTTATTAAGGACCATTGTGAGGAACAAAGCGGATTTTGGGGCTGTATAAAAACGGAAAATGGCATGAAACAAGATCTTAGCTTTTATTGAATTCGTAAGGAGTATTGATTTAGGAAAACTCAATTTGGTATCTAGTGTGTAGTATATTTTGTACATGTACACGCTGGGCTGTACAACATGATTTTGTTTCTTACCATAAGTCGATGGTTTAAATTGTACTATAAATAAAACTGCCGTGTTCACAGTCTCATAAGTATTTATGTGTCTTACTCACAGTTCCATAGGTACATCTACAGACCTGCAACAACTTCCTAATATTCATTAATATTAGTGGTATTCACAGTAACCGATTATTGCGATTATAATCATTATCGATTATAATCACCCAAAAATTCTCTATGGGGGAAAAATAAACCAATGTGATTATAATCGTCAAAAAAATAATCCTCTCCGAGGACGATTATTTGGATTATAATCCTTGATCCAAATGAAATTTTTTTTAAAGCGTCCGAAAAAGTAGCCGTTGCTATGATACTATTTAATGAATCCTGCTGGATATTTTAGGCAAAAGAATCAAAATAGAACAATAATCTGGTGCGTTCATGGTATATGATTATAATCGATTGTGATTATAATCGTCCTCACGATTATAATCGGTTACTGTGAATACCACTATTCAAACATTCAATATATTAAGTTTGTAATGTGATTTTCTTTATTGGCGATTTATTGGTAAATAAATATTACGCGGCGATTACAGTTGTAATAAGTAAAACAGGCTTCTAAGTTACAAAATTATAAAACTGACGATTTAGACTGTGAAATTAAAATTAAATTTTGTGAAAGGAATCTGCCCATCCTTTCGCTTTTGCAAAAAGGAGGTTCTGGAAACAGATGTATTTAACACTAAGAATTCAGAGATAAATTATTCCTAGCAAACAATGCAGTTTAGAATGTTTACAAGGATATACTTGCAATGGTAGAGCTCATGATGTAATAATTGACATGTGAATGTAGTTTTTCACTGAAAAAGTTCAATTTCATCCCTTCGTCAGACAGGTACTATTTTTTGTCAAGTCTGTCTTGCATAAGGGTGATTCAGTTGTTTCAATATCTGCATTTTTCGAGCCATCGCAAACCAATAAATTCTGCTATATACGTACATATAAATAGAAATGTGTGTATACAAAATGTTTGTACTGCACCATTTGGTTGCACCATTCTACTAAATTTTTACAATGTTTAACAAACTATGGTATATTTGATCTCTCGTCTGTGGCTGCGCACATTTCACATCACATTGAATCTCCTGGTGACTTGTAGCATTAAATTTGCAATTTATTTGAATACCGTTCGGAAGAAAAATGGTCATCCCTTATGATGTGTTCCTCCCTTGCATAATGGCGTCATTTGGCAGGACATTAGTATTTTTATGACTGGTGCTTCTTGTGTAATGTGCAATATTTGGGTTCTTCTTTCCTCATTGTCCTATTTAAGGTAGCGTGGTTTGGTGTGTTAAATTCCAGTCTGAAGAAAGTTGGATTGATTATTTGGCAAAATTTGTATACGACTGTTACAGAGTTCCAAAGCTCCCCCCGTTACTTCTCATTTATTAGTATTCTAAGAAAAAGTAAATTTAGCCATGACATTATACACGTGCCACGTTTGACAAACAAGATATAATATTAATAAAAATAGCAACTTTTAACCTATTAGCGATCCTGTATTTAATTTAAAAATACGAAGAATACAAAATACAAAATTCGCATTGCTTCACGCGGAGTTGTTCATGCAAAAATATAGCTATTATTTATTTTCTATTTGCGTAATAAAATTGTAAGGTAACCTGACCAATCTTAACAGTACATAAACACCCTTTCAACTAAAACCCCATGCACTTATTGCACCATAATAATAAGTAGCAAAATGACTACACAAATAAACTTGCTAGTTCATATTCCAACTTTGAGAACTTGACTTAACTTTGCTTAATTAATTTAACTTGGACTTTATGAACTAGTGTATGAAGTACAAGGAGGAGTTCTCAATTTAAATTATTAGCTGGTCTTTCAAAGACTTTGCAACTTTCAGAATAAGTGAGATTAATTTTCTTACGACAAAATCAATGTCTGCTATATTTGTGCCTCCCGATTCTAACTTTGTGCCAACCGAGGTTTATTTAACATCCTTCTATCCTACAATCCAGCACTTTGCACTTGTCTCAAAAATTATGACTATGTGAACAGAGTACTTACATGTAATATACTGTCATGGATGAAGTAAATTTTATTCAATTTAGACGTGCCAATTTATATAAAATATCGAAACCCATGAAAATAGATGCAATTAGTGTTGAGAAATATTTACAATCACACTGTTGTTTCATGTTACATAATTTCAAATAAATGCATGCGTTCATTGCAATATTTGCCGTCTAACAACTAAGTTTTGACGGAGTAATGGAAATCATATGCGTATGCCAGTTACATTGGCTGGGCGATAATTGGTTGTCGTCTGGGTACAAAATGTAAATTAGGTGATAAACAATTAATCTAATCCGTCCCTAGGACAACGACGGCTGCATTTGTAGACAAACATATTCCTGCTTGTGATTTATGGCTAACTGGATGTTCTTCTTATCTTGCAGGCTCTTTGCAAGGACCCAACGAGAGACGACTACTGCATCATTTGCTTGATAAATACAATACGTTGGAACGACCAGTAGCGGTAAGGATGATAATAATAGTTCCCGAGTTCATAAATATTAAACCCAATCACAAGATACACCTTCAAATGTATCCCTCTGCACTGTCTTGTTCAATTCGTATTTCATAAATTCAGGGCTTTTGGTCTTCTAGAATAACGTGATGAGGTAATCATTAGCTTTTAATGATTCTCAATGATAATTCTTTTTTATAGAACGAGTCGGATCCACTTCAGCTCAGCTTCGGTTTAACTCTGATGCAAATAATAGATGTGGTAAGTGCCGAATCTTGTGTTTCACTTCTTGTGGTCCAACCCAACATTATGACACTACAACAAGCTGTCGGACAAGCCTGTTATGATTTATTAATGTGGATTATTCCACGTCATGCATAGAATATGACAAACTCATTTGTCTTCCGTTTTACTATCTGCTTCAACAACATGGTCTACCCTAGCTGAAAGATGGTCAATTACGAAAGCAGCCAATTTATGATGTGCATATTTTTGTCAACATAAATGATTGGAAGTGTGTATGGCAATGCCGAGTACAGAATTTAATATTCGCACATCATAATTAGGGCTAAACTTAGTGACTACGCTGCCTATTGTTGCTCCCTATTAAACACACAGCAAACAATGGATGTGATCCATTTTGGTTCACACTGCCACTACTGTTATTACTATTACACACTTATTGCAATGTTCGTCGACAAAGTGCTCTCGCTGTGTTGAGAAAGGAAGGAAACTATGTTTGCCAGAAAATTTGTTGGAAACTTGGGAAGAAATAAGGGTGCACACGAGTACAGACGTATGTATACAGCTACATACATGTGTATAACACTAGGACCGAAAGATCGTTACAAACTGTAGCACCCATATGCCACATTTTCAAACCAATGACCCGTGATGCACTACCAAAAACTGAACGTCTCATGATTAAACACACTCACTTTCACCAACTAACCACAATATTCCAATGCGTTACTCTACTTTGTGTTCCTGGTGTGCTAAAGATGTGTGAGTAGACTGTTGAAATAAAATTTTATTTTGTTCCGAACTTACAGAAAGGTATTTTTCAGAATATGTAGTAATCTATAGAATATTATAATTATAATGGGAAACATAACTCCACATTGGCACCCAAGAAACGTGGCGATATATAAATATGTACTTTCCAAACACAGATTGCAATTTGATACGGAACGCTCGATTCATTCTCATTACTTTCTCCATCCGACAGCCAGCCTGTCATTTTGCGCAGAGAGACAGGCGTTTGAGTGCAGCTGACACCGCAGGAATATGTAAGAGAGCAGTTATTTAGTTGCTCTACAGAGCACTTATTTAGTTTGTGCAATAATATGTCACAGTGAGTTTGACAGAGACAAACGAAGAATCCCCACAGAGAATTTTGGCTCTAGTGTATCCTTGGGACTTGATAAAATGTGAAGCAATATGTACGCCGTGCAACTGGAAAAGCAGCTCTTTAATTACCTTTGGTAACCTTTATTGTTTCTTTACAAGTTGCTTGTAAGTTGTGTCGGCTGCGCCCAATTTATATTTCACCGAGATGGAAAACAAGACTAGAAATGAACGCCATCAGCAGAATGGTTGCCGGGAGTAGAAAATGGACATTTATCATGCCGGAAGTTAGGAAACGACGATATAGTGAACATATCTTGGAAAAGCCGTTTTTGAGCCAACCACTTTATCTTCTCTTTACATATTTCGCAAATTACATTCTCCTCCTTTGGGAAGCATTGATGGGAAGAGAATATGGAAATTTCATCATCATTCCCTTACACCAAACCAATCCCCTCAACCCTATAGCAACTCTCTCACTTGGAACTATCCTCCTTGTACGTACTAATTTCGACTGAAATAGATCGGCCAACAATTCTTGGCTGGCATTCATTCAGTTCCAAAAATTTCGTTGATGTAATTGATTCAGCCAAGGTATGAAGTTAGTTATCAAAAACATACATAACTTACTAGATCAAAAAGTAGCCTTTAAACTTTAGTTTTTTTCTAAAAATGCCAGCTAGTTCTTGTGTCGCATTTGTGTTAGTCTACAGACTTTACAGCACATCTAAATTCTTGGAAGTTATTTGAGAATGAAGCAAATAAACAAGGAAGAAATGTAATTTTACTTTTATCAAAGGTTTTGTTATCAAAGAGTGTTCAATTATTTGGAAAAGTAACATTTCTCCAAGGTTTAAAGTGGCACAATCTTAGAGCACTACAAATAATGAAATATTTTGCAATAATCAGGGGAGCTTTCTAAAAGCATGAAATTTTATATTTTTTAAGTGTATTGCAAATAAAAGCGATTGCGATAACGTTTCAAAAGACGGTCGTCGTCGATAATTGACAACTCAAAAGACTGTTTCGGAGAAAAGTCAACTCAGCCCAAGCACATTAGAAATTTATAAAACTTTGTGGTCCTATGTATGTAGGTAGTCTTCTTGTGCGATGACGACCAAGGTGTGGTGCAGTGAAAGCGGAAAAGATGAGAAAGACCTATAATTCATTATACTTTATTTATAATGTGGGAAGCTGGATGTGGACACACTGGCAGTTGGGACCAGTTGGGAGTTTGGTCCGTGAGCTTTTACTTTGCCCTTTTCCAATCGATCAAATTGTTGAAAGGCAATACTTTTAGTTTTCCGGACTCTTACATATGAAGAAAACCATAAATATATTTAGTAGACTTTTACTTGTTTTTTTTTCGAGACACTCGCAACTAAAGGGTGTGTGGAAAGGGGTTGGAGCAGACATCTAAGTAGGTTTCCTTTGCCTATCACTTTGTGTAAGGCTGGAATACAATTTCACAATATTTATTTGTGTGGTCGGTCGAGTATCTTCATTGTGCAATCAGGTTCTTTCCCAAGTGACAGTCAGGTGACAGATAATATTCGGTTATACTCTTTTTCTCACTTTCTTTTCTTTTCGCCAGCAAAATGGGAAAGTAGAGCAGTGCAATATTCATTTGTTATTTATTTTATATACAACAATTTGGCTGGCCGTCGGAGGGTAAAAGGTCAACTAAATTTGAAGGTGACTTGGACATTTTCACATTCGATCTAGAAAAGTCGCATTTCGAGAGGGATAAATAAAGGTATTTTCACAGTTGACAGTTTCGATGCACCGCAGCAAATTCAACGTGTCGCGTTCATCGTGTGTAGGTATCTTAAGTACTTAGTCCTTAGTTTTAAGCTGGGGATGCGAAGCATATTTTTGAAGGCACAAACTATATTTCATTAATCCACTATCTTCGTCATAGTATGACTCTGACCAACAGACGATAGTCGCAGAAAAAAGATATGAATCGCTGACGTTTCTTGTTTAGATTCGTAACAGGATGTCCGTTTCCGACAAACCAGTAGTCCTTTGATTTCTCTTGCCCGAAAAAGACATGTCTTGACTATAGGCTGGTCGTGCCTCACAAATCGATGATTATACATAACTGAAATAGTAGCCGTTTTATTACCCTTCTATCTTATAGTTCATATTTAAATATTATTTATTATACAAGTAATAAATGGCTGAATTTTTCGGAAAAATTATTCTGACTTTGACAAACTGATGAGATGTGACCCTATAAAATCTATATACATAGATATCTGTCTAAAACATTGGGATATATCATCGGGATATAATTAACGGAAAGTTTATTAGTGATAATAAGTTATGCTGCTCATCCATTCGTTCGATAAACTAATCCTACAAGGAAGTTATGTAACATTAAAAGGGTTGAATATATACGTTTCGTGTTGGAATTTGCGTCAAAATTTGTGATCACTTTGTTTCACCCGTCTCCTCAGCCGTTTGTACTTGATTCGTTAGCTATTTGTGCCAATGTTTCAGTTTAACCATGGTGAAAGTTACCAAGCATCGAAGCATAAATGCACCATAATTGGTTCTGTCTGTGTGAACATGGGCTTGATCTAGCTGTATTTTTTAGAATTATGGGATAAATTGTATTGAAATGGATCCCTCGCTGAGTGGAATTTGTATTTATTTATATATAAATGTCATAACCCTACGTTTCTTCATTCATTGAGGACAGCAGAGTTGGAGGAGGTTGTTGGCGAACAGTGCTGAGCTTCATCCCTGTTGATGTCGCAATGCGTCTGTTCTAGTCCAACGTATCCAAGCGGAGAGAATATGTGTACGTAAAACGTTCATTCGATATTCTTTCAGTCTGGTCCTAAAGCACATCATGCCAGCATCAAGGGGAAAGCTCGCTTTGCTCTAAAAAATATTTGGATCTGGTTTCTCTCTCTCTCTTTCTCTAATAGTAAGTTAGATCAGCCAGCCAGGAGCAGCCAGGCACACCACCACTACCACAAACTCTTTTACTACTGCTACTTCAGGGATGTTTGGCCTGGCCTCCCAATGCCTAACCCTGAAAAATCTGCAGTCAGCCTCTCGATATCAACTACTACTCTCACTTTCACTACTTTCACTAGATTTTCGATTGTGGAGAAGAGCAGATGCTCACACGCCAAAGCTATCCCCGCTGCCACTCGTCCCACAAATTCAACAACATGAATACGAATGTTATGTTTTTCACTCGTATTAGTGAAACCACGCCAGATTAGCTTTTAGGATAGCTGACTTTACCCAGGGTTGCAGGAGAAAGATTATAGACTACAACGTCATAATGGGAACGAACATTGTAGAAAACAAGATAGAAAGTAAGATGAGCCAAACTTGCGATAGAATCACGTAGTTTAGTCATCCTTTGGCAACTCTCTTTCCTCCCACACACACACAAGAAGTCGCTCCCAGAGAAAAAGAGGTTAGGTTGGGTTACCAGCGCACGTTGAGAGAAAGCTGGCTACGGCTAAATAAAAATGGGCAACGAGAGACGTGACTCTTTTTGTCTGAAATTTCTTGCTCTTTCACATAAATGGAGAAATTCGATCTGAGATAATTTCTAAGATATCGGATATAGCAGGCAACATGTGTGTATAGTTTTTCACTTAGCATGCCCTGCTTTAAAGGATTTATTTCGTTAGACAAATATATCGGCTTCCTCCGGCTCTTCCAACGTTGTTAGCCATCTATGCAGGCAAGGTACATAATATGCTTGACGAAATCTATTAATTTCAAATCCCCACAATCAATCTATCCTTCCCCTCCTTTCTCTTAGTAAATCTTTCCTTCTTTCCAGAAACTTTCTGGGTGTTTGACATGCAAAGCACTTCCAACTTGGCTCTAGCAAAATCTCGCGGTTTATCACATCAACTGTCTGTCAGTTGTTTAAGAAGTTTAGCTAAATTATAAATGTACACGTATAGTGAAATGGATGGAAGGATCAGGTTGGATTTTTACAAAATATTTTTTACGCCATGCCCAGACTTTGGATTTTCAAAGCTCTGACTAATGGATGTTTCTTTTTAAATTTATTGACATCAATCACTCACGATAACCTGTTATGTGTGTATAGCTTGGTTGATCGTGAAACATATTCTGCAATTTCGTGTACATATTATTTCAAAATGTATTAGTCAGATTAAGGATATTAACTTTTTTCGCTGAAATACGTGAAATTCAGCAAAAACACATTTCCATAAGTTCACTATTGTATATCTTGGTATACAATAAAATTAGTAAATATAAATCAGTAAGCATCATTTTTTTTTACTAAATCTATGGATATAGACCACCAGTCAGATGACTGGTGGTTAAGATAATGTCGTAGAGAAGGCGTATACTTATCTTCTATTTATCATTCTCTGAGGTTACTCGTAAGATTGAAGACGTGTAACGAGTCTTAAAAGCCTTTTACATGGGTAGACTAACTAACTTCAAGTGCACATTCAAGTTTGATCCCCACTTGAAAGTACAGTGGATAAGTGGCCGTCAGTCCGCACAATCCTCCATTCACTTCCATCAAAACCCTTTCTTTTATTGAGAATAATAAATTAAGACTAATGCTGCTTTGAAATCATGAAAGTAGTTTGCCGTGCTTAGATACATACGTATATGCACACAACATTATACTTACTTTCACCTATCTTAACTCAAGACATTAAGTTTACATTATCAAGTTTGGGACGTGGTGAAAGTGTTTTGCAGAAGCTGTGCTTGGGTCATTGGTTTGAACTCTTTCAGATGGCTTAATTAACCTTAATTTTCTATAATGGTGCAATTAGGCTTGTTATTTTAAATATTTATACAGTGAGTAAAATGAAAGCAAAGGTATAAATTTACTTCTGCAATTTCTACGTGTATGTACTTACATATGTGTGCATACGATATTGATATGTTTAATATTTAATAATATTAATGTAATTCTATCTATTTTCTCACTTGCCCTCATCGGTTTAAAATTTACAGGAAGGATTAACTAATCATAATTTTGTTAATTTTGAGTGTGTATTTTGTGTTTGTTTCAGGACGAGAAAAATCAGATTCTAATCTCAAATACGTGGTTAAATTTGGAACGTGATATTTCATTTTCTTTCAATCCCTTCACCAAGCCCCCGAATTCCGAACCTTTTTTTCCTCTAACCCCCTCAGTTGCCCAATTTTTTTAAACAGGATGGAATTGGGAAATATGAGATTAAAGTTTGAAAGCGATTTTGCGTTGGAATGTTATTACTGCGGATTATTATTTTTTGGGCAATCGTGCATTGGTAACTTGTGTGTTTAAATTAATTAAGATTATTTTAAATCGGCAACGTGGCCGATTTTCACTTTCAATTGTTTTGATAAACTCCGTACACCATAGTACACAAGACGGATAAAACAAATAGAATGGTAGGACTATGATAGGACATACTGTAAATACATATGTACATATTCTCACAATGAGTTTACATATTTATTTGATCACATTACGTAACATTTTATACATAAATCAGCAAATTTCCTAATTCCATCCTGGATTATATGTATTGAAAGGTAAGATGGTGATGAAATCTTTGAGATTCCTATTCCCTTGTCACAATGGTTGTTACTTTTGCGCAGTCCCCCTGCAAAACATCCCACTATTCATATCTCTTGCTGTTTATTAATTTTTCTTTCTCTTCAAGTTGCAATGTCCTACTATGCTGTATGCGTAATTGGTAATTAAAGTAGATGTAAAAAATATTGTGTATCACTGTGTCCCTTTTACTTAGGTGGCTTACCCCTGAACTTGTTCCCTGTGTGTATTTCCTCGGACGTTTGAAAAATGTAAAGCACAAACCGACCTGAATTGAGATGCTTGACAAGTATTTTTATTTTGTCCAACGGAATTTTGAATTTTGTAACAATGTGTATGAATAATTTTTCCACGTGATTGATATGCCGCAGAACAATACATATGACCAACAACAACAACAATTATTATTGTGTATTTTGAGGAGGTCATTTTTTGATGTTCTCATACCAACTTTGTCTAGTGACCTTACTCTATGTGTGCGTATGCTATTGTTACAAGCCATTGTTTGGTGGTCGCAAGTCCAACCAGAAATTATGTTGCAAACTCCATGTTCACTGTCGAATGCTGAATGACGTGTTGTACACACACTTTTTAATGCTGGTTGTTGTTAATTTAACCGAAATACAATTGTGTGATTTTTTGCATGTCCCTATGCAATGTCTCAATGTAAAGGACGAGAAGAATCAACTGCTAATTACCATGATTTGGTTGAAGATGGTGAGTTATACACCAAATTAGTGTGGTAGCGTATGTACGTCTCAAAAAAACGAAAATAAAACCCTCCAGCAAGCACATACATAATAATATTTATTAGTATGTGTTACTTTCTATCCCTCTTTTCCATCCTGTCCTCCTTCATCACATACCAAACAAATCAATCCCTTCCTCAAACGTTTTTTATAGATTTTTTTGCATTTACAAATTTTTTCGACATTTTTGCAGTAGACATAGTCTCAACTTTTAATATATACTAATATTTGTACAACTTTACAATATTTTGGGCTACTGTATACTTGTAATTTTTGATCTACATCCTTCAATATTTTAGTCAACTTTACTCAGAACACTTTTGTGAAAATAACGAGTGGAGATTGGATTAAGTATAAATCAGTAATTGGACCTGTCACGCCACATTGCAGGCCACGGTGAAAGTGGGGTGAAAGTGGAGGGCACAGTTGGTTCCCTATGTCTGTTGTGGTGGTGGTGGTGGTGGTGAGACTTTCACCACTCAGTCCTTGCCTGCCTGCCTGCCTGCCTGCCCTGTGTGTGCAAATGTTCATATGTGCTTTGCTGCTTTCCCTGGCTATGCGATCAAGAGAGCTCACTATTACATTCCGCCTGCTTCAGTTTTGCTTGCCTTTTGCACTCTTGGCTACCTAAATATAATGCCTCCCTCATTATATATCAACCCATAACCACCGTCTGTCGTCTACTTTTGGCACAGACGCATTGCACGAACCATGGAACGAATGAACTGCTGGGTTATCACCTCAGTTGTGTGTGAGAACTTTTGTTTGTAGCGCCATCCATGCCTTGTTTTTCAACTTTCTTCCTGGAGAAAGTCATTCTCCTCCTCACAGATTTCATCACTGACTTTTCCTCCTCTTTTGTGCCTGAGTTTCGTTTCTTGAGATGCTTAACCAATTTATACAATTTTGTTTCACGTATGTTTTTAAGTATTGTAAAAACTCCTTTCCCTGTCCCCTCACCCGTAGTGGGCGCCGTGCAATTTACGGCGTCATTTTGAATTCAAATCTTTATAATAAATTTATTTTATTTCCCTCCCTTCCTCAATGGAAACAGGAGTGGCTAGATACGAATTTAAGCTGGAATGAAAGTGAATTTGGAAATATAAGCGATCTTCGCATCCCACCACATCGAATTTGGAAGCCTGATGTTTTAATGTACAATAGGTTAGCACACGTGGTTACAACGCTGCTCTGGGACGTGGTCCAAATGTAAAATGTCTTGTTCGTTTACAGTGCTGACGAAGGGTTTGATGGAACCTATGCAACAAATGTAGTTGTAAAAAGTAATGGAAGCTGCTCCTATATCCCTCCAGGAATTTTTAAGAGCACTTGTAAAATAGACATCACTTGGTTCCCGTTCGATGAACAAAAATGCGAGATGAAGGTTGATATTTTAATTACATTTCAATTCAAATTTACGTCAGTAGGACATTTCAATGAATTGTCTTTGCCGAATTTCCAGTTCGGGAGCTGGACCTACGATGGATTTCAGGTACATTAATGCGCAAAATTATGTTGCTTGATTTCCAAATAGGAAAACTATTTGTGTGAATATTAAAAAAATAGAGTTGTAATTAAATTATATGAATTACAGTTGGACTTACAATTACAATCAGAAGATGGAGGAGACATTAGTAGCTTCATTAAAAATGGAGAATGGGAGCTTAAAGGTACGGCAAGCGTCTGGAATTCAACATATTAATCTATAATACTCATAATACGTGTTCTCATGTGAATGTATGTTAACTAAACATTTCTACATTTTCTCGTAATCGTATTTCGCTCCATACGTACATAACTGAAAATAGTGTTGGGTGAGGGATTTATTCCTTGGAGGTCAGATGCCTCTTGTGCCAGTCTCATCGATTTTTTCATTGGCACACAAAGGGCCCAGTTCATTGCGAGAGACTGAGGGGTGGTCGATCCCCAACTTTCACTTGCTTTCTCCCATTCACTATCTCATACAACTCTTGGCTCACTCTCTGTCTGCGGGCCCTCTGGACCAGTCATCATGCAGCATACACTTTCTCATGATATTTTTGTTGTTTTGACCCACTACGTATTTATTTGCAAGTTTGCATAAACTTGAATTTTAAAATAGTACTAATTTTTAAACTATTTTAACAACAAGTAATGCATTGCAGACAATTTTTTGCAAACAAAGTTTTGTTTTTATAGGTGTTCCAGGAAAGAGAACAGCAAACTACTATGCTTGTTGCCCGGTACATTTTTTGAACACTTTGTTGAATTCAAAATGCGCTTTATTGAATTCAATATTTTACTAAATTGGTGTCTATTTATTTTTCAATGTTTTTATCACTTCACCTGATCGATGTCCGTTGTCAAACAGGAGGTGATTCCCATTTACCTAAATACATACTTGCATATGTTGTTTCTTGTTATTTCTTCGCATCAATTAATACATGCAACAAACACTGAGAAATACTTGAACCTGAAATGTGATATTGATCAAAAGGAAATTAGACTTAAAACATCCAATTTTGCAAGTTCCTAATGAATGTTTTCATTATATGCAAATTTCTAAAATGGCATCAATTTTATGAGTTTTTAGATAAATGAAACTAGTGTTGGTAGACCCGATGCGATGGATGCGATGGTAAATAGTCGGATAGGATTACCTACACTAAATTCCACTTTTAATACTTTAATATAAAGTTAATTTTTGGTACAACAAAACTATTGATTAAAAAAAAAACGCCAATTTATTTTCAATTTGTTCACAGTAAATTGCCTCAAAAATAAATTCTGGTTCAATAGGTTCACTTTTAGTAAACTTGACGTTTGGTATGCGTGTTTGATGCGAAGAAATATAAAGCACACAGAAAATAATAAGCATAATCATGTGATCCTAATTTGTCACATACTATATTTTTTCAGCCATATGTTGATATTACATTTGTGATTCACATACAAAGGCGAACACTATACTATTTCTTCAATTTAATTGTAAGTGTACTTTGAAAAGTAGGAGTTAATCGAACTTATTCAAATTTTCCTTCTAACCGAGTTTACTTTCTTAATGTAAACTTTATTTGATGAAAACTTACACTAAATGAACAATGGTTACGTTTTTGTCAGGTGCCATGTGTATTAATAGGTAGGTAGACCATCTGAATCAATATGGCCATACATATAATAGCACTTTTTATCACAAACAAGCGTATTAATTCATGTATGTTAATAGCATCCATGGCGGTACTTGGGTTTACACTGCCTCCAGACTCGGGTGAAAAGCTTTCTTTAGGTAACCATGACCGATATTTTTTTGACAAAATGACTTTTTGAACCCTCGCAAAGTAAATTCTTTGATACTCTGTATTTTTGAGCATTTGACGGTTTTGCTCGCACACCATCAACCATATCATAAAACTTTTGTTTTTACGTGTGTTTAATTTTTGTCCATGTTGCATGGCAGTCGCCGCATTCATGTTTAGTCATGTATGTAAGAATATGTAATCCAGCCTTTGGAAAAATGGGAGTGGTAAGTTATACGGGAAACATATTTAAAAGTCTGGGTAAATTCCTCCACTATCAATTACATGTGTATGTCTCTATTGGATGTATTTATGTATATATGTACAGTACAAAAAACACGACTAAAAGAAAATTTCACGAATAAAATTGATTTAATATTCAAGCATGTCATACTTTTCAGGACTTCCAGGAAAGCGGACAGAAAAATTTTACGCATGTTGCGAAGAGTATGTCTTCCTATTATGCATATGTATATGTGTAGCAATGGGGAATATGAGATTATTAAATGGTAATGAAATGTTCAGGCCATACGTTGATATAACATATACCATAATAATACGCCGACGGACACTCTATTATCTCGTTAATCTCATCGTTCCTGGAATCATGGTAGCATCCATGACCTTGCTAGGATTCACACTTCCACACGAATGCGGCGAAAAATTAACTCTAGGTATTTCAGAGATGCAAATTTATTGGTGTTCCCCATTTACCCAAGCCCATTGCCATTTCAACCCAACTGCATACATGTTGTTCTTACATGTTAGCGATATAAAACGGTCAACTGTTATACGTTCGACATAATTTGAAGAATTACAATAATTATTATAATATTATTTCTGCGATTAAGATGTGTGGTAATGATGGTGTGCGCAAAAAACAGGTCATTACTAACCCAAAGCTAACACTAATTTTACAACGTTTTTACTCGAGGGTCAGAAAGACATTTTTACAAAAATTCTTTAAAATACATATCAATTTTAATGAACCATTCATGTAATATTTTTGTACTGTTTGAATTTTAACCACTTCACCTCACCTGCCCACGCCGATTGTGCAACACAGGAGGTGATTCCCTTAAATTTAAATTTACCTCTATGCTAAGGATTAAGGAAAATGAATTTTTGAAAACTTTTTCAGTCACCATTCTCTTATCTCTGACTGTGTTCCTTAACATGGTGGCCGAAACGGTATTGTCTACTATATTACAAGATTAGCGTCCTTGAAGTAATAAATATTAAACTTTAAAGATGCCTGCTACCAGTGATGCAGTTCCGTTATTGGGTACGTTTTACGCGAATATGAAACTGATTTTAAACGATTTTTTCATGTTCAAATTTATAACTTATAATTATTCGCATCCTCTCCTGTGAGATATTGGTTTATGTACCTCAGAGCCTTTTAATCTCCTAAACTTTCACTGAAACTACTCATGTGCAGTATTGCATAATCGACATGAATCACAAACTTGTATCTCACAAGAGCTGTCAGTTATTTTGCTTATGAGTATAAATATTTGGACATGTTTTTGATGTTTTTTTTTTGTAACCAAATAAGCCATCAGGCAATCTCGACAATGTCTCAATGCTATCGATGCTTTGGACTTGTACTGTACAATATGTTAAATCTTATGCTACTTGGCTTTTGATTGATAATCCATGTTTGATGGCAATGATATAATGTAATGGTGACATGTAAATGGGTTCACATATAGCGTCCTACACTTTAGAACCAAAAACATAGATGTTTTTTTAGGGTGTATGTTTGTCTGACATGATCCAATATGCCACCCCTTTAGACTAGTACTACTACACGCACATCACTCCTCACCAATTTTTGAACAACCTCTAGTCATATGTCAAGAAATATATTAATCAACAAAATACCCACCATATATCCGGTTAATATATGTGGACACACATCGTACCAAAAATATTAACACGCATGAAACCTGTCACGCGGACCTTTCACTTGGGCAAAGTTGTATTGTGTGCACAAGGACAATTTATTCTTGTCCTACGGTAACACAAACCAAACGGAGGTGTAAGTGTGGATTTTGTACAAATCATATTTTGTGTTCAATGATGTGTCATACTTTTGCTCGGATGATGTCATACTTTTTGCTTTATTTTATACTGTGCAAAACTAAAAACCATTTAGTAGTGAATACTTTCTGATGATGCCACGATCAGTCAGTTTGAACAAAGAGAGACCAGAAAGTTTGACTTTACTGATGACTTTAGTGAAAATCTTGTAGTATTAAAAATAACATTTGGGGTAATATCTACATACGTACGTATTTAATTTTGTCTTGAGAAACTTGGGAAAACCTAATTGTAAATATGTAAGAATAGCCTAAAGTTGACCGTTTTATATTATGTGTGTCTATAACATTGATCTCACACAATTCCTAAAGATGCGATTTACAGCGTATTTTCATGTAACTAAACATATATAAAAAGGTTGAAAGGTTGGGTTGAAATATTTATATTGGACCAATAAATCATCCTTCACCTATAAAATAATTCCAAAAACTCCTCTCCTTAATATCCATCCCACTAATTAATTAAATATTAATTGATCGGTCAGGTTACTAATTTGGTGTCTATTTATTTTTCAATGTTTGAATTTTGATTACCTCACCTGACCGACGTCGGTTGTCAAACAGGAGGTGATTCCCTTAAATTTAAACTTATGTACCTGTATTAATTACACATGTTGAAAAACTGTACAGTAATTTTAATTATATTGCAAATTAACTTAAATTTTAAACTTTTCAGTGACAATACTTCTTTCTTTGACCGTATTTCATAACCTAGTTGTTGATTCATTACCCGTGGGAGAAAAGTTACCTATTCTCGGTTAGAATTCTACTTTCTTAACAATCTTGCATTATCAATTGGCCCCACATGTCTACCATTCACGAAAAAATTACTCCTCTTGCCATTTTCCCTTGTATTTAGAAGCCTTGGTGATGATGATGTAATAATTGATGATATAATCACCTACATACCCATATCTTATCCTCATCTCTATCCATAACCAGATATTTCCCCAACCACAGAGAATTTTGATGTAAGGCATTTTTGATGCCATTTTACAACCTTTACATCATTTTTTCACAATAACAACGTGTTTTCCCACGTTTCTGATTTTGCAGACATATAAAAAATCCAACAATTGTGAAACTGTTGGACTATGATACACATGTATGTATATATGCGCGTGTGTATGTATGTGTATGTCTATTTTGACCATGTTTTTAATTGGGTAACCTACATATTTTGTGTGAAGTGGTAACAAATTTCAAAATGGTGCAGTTTTGTGTAATAATGTTCTACTTTTTTACAGTTTTATTAACAAGTTTTTCACGAACGTCTTACTTTCTTGTCTCTCTCGTGCTCTTTACTTGTGTGTTAAAATTTTGCGGGTATTTGACAAAATTCTGTATAAAACAGACTGAGAGCAAGGAGGTATAAAATGGTTTTCAGCAATTTCACGAACCAATTATTTTCACCCTTGTAATTCCTTGTAAGCAACTTGAAATTTTTCGATTTGGTCCATCTTCTCCTCACAATTTACCCTTGGTACTACATGGTAAACCCTCTTTTTGGCATGACATTTTTTAAACAATACAAATAGTATTTTTGACGCATCAATGACTAACCAAAAGTTAAAAGTGTAAATGTATTTATATGCCCACCAACCACCCCTCCCCTGCACATTTGAACCTTTGGCATGAGTATGTTCATGGTTATGTAAGTAGTTACGACAAGGTGTTTAAGCAACATTGGCTTTCTTAGGTTTAAGGACTTTAGAGCATTTGACTTAAAAAGTCTTGAGAAATGTATTAGTATTGCTCACCCTTAAGGTTGGGGAGAGAAATTGATGGAATGATTTTTAGATTGAATGATAACTAGGAGGAGGAGATGCATTTTCCATGAAATGTGGTATTTGTTAAGTATTTATCCCAAGTATTTTAAAATCAATTATTACAAGTGTTAAAGCGTTAACATTTCATTCAAATGCATTTCCTCCTCCTATTAACTAATTTATCACCCAATCTTTTCATTAATTTCTTTCCATTCTAGAGAGAGTAAAAAATTATAGAAATTGTGAGAATTTCTCAAGCTCCAAAACTTTTAAAAGTCCGTTTACACCTGAGTAAAGAAGGGGAGGAAAAACAACGATGTTTAAATACCTTGATGTTATGAGAATGAATAATGTATTGCCTGCTATTATTTATTGAGATGGAAAAATATATATAGCTTGTTTACGGAAAAAGATATTGCTCATTTTCTATTTCCAATTGGTATAATAATTTGAATACGAAACTTTGCAGTTTTAAATTGAATTTAGTTCTATTTAAACAAAGCTTCATGTAAGTTTGTACATATAACTCTTTAATAAAAATATTCAGTGGGTACTAATGAGTACTAAATAAGATCAATTGGTGTTCAATAAAATTAGAATAAGCATTACTTTTGAGCATGTGTAACGAATTAGTAGTGATGAAAGTGAGATGCATAAGAAAATGCTGATATGAATACGTACATATTTATGTCAACGAACGCATGTTGCACGTTTCCATGTTTGCTATATGTATACCGGGTCGAGTGCTGCCTTTGTTTGTCTGCGCATTGTTTTGTAATGTACCTCGTACCACAATTTATCCGTGCAAAAAAATATATTGCTATCCAATTATATTGCTATCTGAACATGCATTAAGATTTATTGAAGACAAATTTAATACTGATGTATGATCTTCACACCACATTTAGGTACATACTTCAATTGTATCATGTTCATGGTTGCATCCTCGGTAGTCTCGACCATCTTAATATTAAATTATCATCACCGGTCGGCCGATACACACGAAATGTCCAATTGGGTAATAACACTTTTCATTGAATTACCATATTTTTGTAACCTATGTGAACACATATTATTATGCCTTTTAATTCTGTGACAGATTCGTGTTGTATTTTTACAATGGCTGCCCTGGTTTCTGAGGATGAGTCGACCGGGTGATAAAATAACTTTGAAAGTAAGACATTACATTAAAATTTGCTAATCACAAAATGTCAGATTTAAATGACCATTTTTTGCATTATAAAGACGATGGCTGCAACTGCCAAAATGCGGGATCAGATTAGGTTAGCAAATTACTAAATGCTGATAAAGAAGGAACATGCAGATTATGAATATTATTAATAATAATTTTTGGTATACAGGGAGCTCGAAATGAAAGAAAGATCTTCCAAAAGTTTGTTAGCCAACGTCCTTGGTAACACAAACAAATGTTTGATTAGATTTGGGACATTTTCATAAGAATGATGTAATACATGCTCTCTGGTTCTTGCATTGTTATTGTGATTTTCACACAGATATGGACGATGACTTTAGACCAGCTACTTTACGAACGCCCCATTCGACACCAGGATGGTAAGATTCTTAAAAAATCAATCTGACAGTTAACCAATTATAATAATTCAATTTTTGTAGGCGAATTGGTGGGTCTCACGAAGACCCAATTGCAGCCACAGTGAGCCATCACCCGTGTAAGCCACTACCGAATACTTGTAGTTACTGAATAGTTGCAGGATTGATCAAGATTCATTTTGTTTCAGGTCTTGGGGCGCATCGTGAACTTTCGCTCATACTCAAAGAGCTAAGATGTATGTTCATTTCATATATATGTAAATGACTTTACCATGAGATACTCAACTTTAATCTTAAAATAATGTTTTACATTTTAGTAATTACGGACAAGATCCGGAAAGATGATGAAGCCGCGGAAATAACAAACGAATGGAAATTTGCAGTACGTTGTAATTATCACCTCGTGTAAAATTAAATAATCAAAGATTTCGAATCTTCTTCTGGCGTCACTCTGCTCCTCCTTGTATTTACTTGTATTCTGCTACAGTGCACAACGCACATCAGTAAATTCAATGCCATTCACGAGACATTTGGTTTGGCATGACGGACGGGGGTTTATTTCTCACGGGTCGCTACAACTCTATAGTCCCTTTGAAATCATAACAAATTTTTTCTGAATTTATAACAATATCCAAGGATTGAAATTGCATAGACATTACTGACCATAATATTGCTTCTGTGTGACGAATCCTTCAGTGGTTTACAATTGCGTTATTTAGCTTTTATGCAACATTTCTTAATACATGGAACTATTTCTATTATAATAATAGAATTTAGAATCTTTCCTCAAGTAAAGTTATGAAAATTATGGAATAGCAAACTATTACTAATATGGTTACTTGTGAAAAAATGTCTTTACAATGTTTTAGTTGTAGTTGTGTATAAATACTTAACACCTAAGTGTATAAATACACTTAAAGGATATACAAGGAGAAGCCTTAAAACCTTCATAAGTAAGAGAATAACAGCATCGGGAGGAAGAAGCATTGTGACAATAGAAGCGAATATAACATTTTATACTTTAACATTTATTTCGTAGCCGGTATATGCACGTTTCTGTATGTCTAAAATCTATTTTTTGCAGGCAATGGTGGTGGATAGGCTGTGTCTTATCGTCTTTACGTTGTTCACCATTACCGCAACGATAGCGGTTTTAGCTTCAGCTCCACAGGTAGGAACGATTTTAATTGTTACAATATTATTAGAAGTATGTCATTCAAAAACGTAGATCGCCCAAAGGTTTTGTACAAAAATTGAATGTACGCTTAATTTAATGCGCAAATAGATATTAAGACCGCTTAACGATAAATTTTGAGTAAAACTGTGCCAATTAGTCATCCATTTCATATTTACCACATTTTCGATTACTGTACACGAATTTGTGTGTACATCTTGATCGCTAAAAAATGTTCAGGGACAAAATTTATACAAAATGTCCAATGTACACACATCTCTGATGAGATGACAAATCAACATGCATACGCTAATAACGTTTGCTTTATAGCTTTTGTTTAAATCAGAGCCTTGTTCTCATGTATCAGTTGACCACTGTAACTTTTCTTAGCTCGTATTTTCATTTCATTTTTGATAATATAAGCCGTTCTCAATTCCGAGTTTTAAAATCTAACGTTTCTAGCTGTTATAAATTTTTGGACAAAGTGCGCGGATTAAGGAAACACACAGTTCTGCTGAAATATTCACGAATTCTGATTTAGCCTGATTTGTTATTGACATGAAATTTACATAATTGTGGAGCTGATACCGATTTTTTATGAATTTTTGATACTAAGCACCGCTCTTTTTATAATACCATCATGCATCATGCTCATTAATCACAAACGCTTATTTAGAACCTTTCAGAATTGCCGTTGCAATAAATTATTCTAAAAAATTGTTTTAAATTTGGTTTCCAGGTTTTTGTTGCCTAATTCGCCTATCAATGTCAATATCAATGTCAACAATGTCCCAACCCCAATCTCCTTCTGCTTTTCACACTAAATCTTGTGTATATTATATGTATACGAGTTAGTGTGAAGAGGAGAGAGAAGACTTCTTTTCATATACTCAAGCTAATCACTAAACCACATTTAATTAACCAAAACCATAAACCAAACAACTCAAATCAAAAACAACTTCCAAAAAAACAAATCAAAACTACGACATCAATAACCAAGTTTTTCTGTTGCCGTTACAGCCGTTGCTGTCTTGAGAAAGTAAACAGATCAACAACATCCCTACAGAACCATTTACCTACTTCTACATGATCTTCTACATGCGATGATGAAGCTGACGATGCCGATGCTTTAAACACATCACCCCTTTTCCATGGGCCAACCAACAACACGTCACCACAACCAACATCTCCCACGACTTGTAAGCAGGTTACGGATGCTTTAGGCTCAATCTATCACACAGTAGAACCACCATTCAATGCTATGAAGCTGGTCATCGTAATTACGCGAACAATAAATCCATTTCCATAACTATAAATTTCCATGTGCGCCAGGAATTCCTAGAATTTGCCTACTCTACGAGAATGAAGACAAGAGAAAGTCTCATCATCCCCATAGATTTACTTTGTCAAAAAATCAGCCAGCCAGTCAAACATAATGTCTTAAAGAGGATTCGCATCAAGTACTTGAATAGGACTGATAAAATTTTGCAGTGAAAGCAAGACAACGTGGGCAAGTGACAATTTCCGACAACGTCAACCATTTAGAGGACCCATCAGCCATTGCCTACCTAGCGACGTATATCTATATAAAAAAAACTCTCCGATGAATCTGTTTTATTCTCTATTGACACACATTGCCATGCGAAACCATGCTCCTCTCCAGACTTGTTCAAGTGGTCGTCGGGCTCAATTTTCTTAGCGCAGTCAGAACCAACGGATCCTAAAAAGCAAATCTATATATATTTTAAAAAGGATTTCCCCCTTTTACACACACACACTGGCAATCGTGGTGGTTGTAGAAGAAGAAGCTGGATTGCCACTGACTAACTGATGACCGACCGACCGACGGACGGACGTGCAGAATATATCCATTCTCCTCCTTTCTACTTTCTCCAGTTAGTAAAATAAGTTGAAAAAGAAAGATTATGGCACATGTACACGAGCTGCCTGCCGTTCACAGAGTATCAAGAAAATCATCATTCCGTTTTCATGTTTAACTTCACGATCCAAACCCAACGACCAGCAAGCCAAGTTTATCCTCTGTCTTGAAAATCCTTCACTTTTATACTTCTTACTTTATTTTCTACAACCATTTCGGAATAGTAAAAGTCATGCGTCCCACATTATCACCACCACCACCACCACGAGAGCACTGCTACCACTACTTTCCTCCGGGAGACTTGCTCTTTTCTCCCTCCTTTCCACAAAAACCAAAAAGTTGTGAAAAGTAAATAAGTATGTATATACAATGCTCGAATAGAACGAGGTCAACTTGCCGACACTTTCGAGAAGAACAGATGTGAATTCAATAGTTACATTATCCACTGGATGATAAGCGCATGGAAAAGAAAAGCCCTGAAATTTTCTCAACATTATTAGCTCAATTGTTTCCGAGTGGTGGATATCTCAGCACCCACGAACACGTCCGTCATCCTTGAATGTCTTCAGAGTATGTCCCATCCCCGTGTATGCATCGCCCCTCGAATTTCCTCTGCAATTGAGCCACTCTAGTTTTTCTTTCCACTTATAGATTACCCGTCAATGTATCATTCTGAATTCTTTATTTATTCAACCACTTTAGAATTGTAGCCAATCAGCAATTTGCGAAAAAAGTTTAGATTTTGAATATGCGGAACCAGTGCGCAAGAAACTAAATGACGTGATCTTTCCATCCACGTCAAACTACCTCGCCTCCAAGTCCAACATGATGCAAACCAATAAAATAATATAAAAATGCTCTGCCATTAGCCCTGTAAAGCATCGAGTTATATTTTTGCAAGAAAGAGGAGAAACTCACCGGAACAGCGACATCTGTTTGTATCATCTGCCCGACTTGAACCCATCGATCTTTTCGTGTACAATCCATATCATCCCATCCAGTTTACCACCTCATTAGAACTCAAAGTGTGTCCCGTACTCTGGTGTGTCCTGCCCTTTGAACAGTTTTATGGCACTTTCACTTAATGAGATTCCGCTCCCACTTCGGTTAGGGTCCCTATGAGAATGATATTCGCACCTATGCAGCCATGTACGTCCGTCTGTGATGAGAATCAGAGAAAACCATTCGCAAAGTGTGCACCACTCAACCTCACCTCTTCCACCTTTTTTTACCTCTAATTCAACCGAATCTTATATTTATATATGATAAAGTGAAATTCACATACGAATATTCATACGAAAAGTGGAAGGATCAATGTGGAATATGTAGCAACCACACAGCAAAGGTAAAAAAAATCTGCCAAATTGAAGTTGCTAATTAAATATTGTGAATGCTGTGCCAGTAATGCATGCACGAAAAAATTAGAACAGGACAATAATGAAAATGCACTGCTTGTTTTCTCATGTGTTTAGCAAATTTGTGGGAAGTGAGGAACGTGTATCCTAAATTATCCTTGCATTTAGTACGTACCGAGTTCTCTGTGTGCCTCAACGTATGTAGAAAGTCGAGGTAATTGATCATTCGACAAATTATCCCCAATATTAAATCTAAAAAAGACGGGATAAATAGGTCCCTTTAGTGTTTAATAAATAAATAAATAAAATAAAATAAACTAATTCGCAAAGAATCAGTAAATAAATAATAAAGAAATAAATAATATAATTAAGTTTACTTCTCTCACCCAGCCTTCACATTAACGAATGGTGTTTCTACTGCAACTGATTTGCCTGCGATATACTAAGGTTTGCTATTAAGAAAGAAAGCAGGCTATCAATCAAACGTCTGTTGATTGAGTAGCAATTACCTTTCGAAAGAAAAAAAAGTATCGCGAAATGTGAAGCTATTTATGCAAATAAGTAGTTTGGCATCCTTACATTTTATCTCTACATATTGCATGTGTTTTTATTATATTCTTTATATACAGATTCAACGTTCAATATTTTCCTGACTTCAACTTTCACTCCAACTCACATCTTCCCTTTCCCTCAACTTTCTTCGTCGCATCCGATTTTGCATACTCTTCTTCCTGTACGTTACAAAAATACTCCAGAAAGAACGTCTATGTATAGATACGAACAAGAACATCACCACAGCTTCTCACCTGCACCGCTATTGTTCATCAACTCATCTCCAAGCGACTACAACAATAAAAACAGTAGTTGAAATTATTAATGTGCATACACGCATTCAGATTTACTAACAGCCAACCAACATAGTCACCTTTTTAGGGGTTACTCAATACTACCTATTATACAATAAATCCCAATAAATATGTACCCAATAAACCACACGGAATATAAAAGACGTTAAGACGGACTCGGAGGGTAAATTTCATTTTTGATACTTTATGTCTCTATGCAGTGAGGTGCAGTAAGGTGTCTTGGTGATAAGCGATTTTTTCCAAGAGTGCGGACGGAACTCACAACAACTGGATTTTATGGAACGACCAATATCTTTACTCGTGTGGATAATTCCATTTCCAACCAGTTTGAAAATTCTTCAATGTTTCATTCAAGATGACGATGATCAACACGTTTTCTAATTTCAATCAGATTCAAGACGTCATTATTCTGTCAGTTGCAAAATGAATGATTCAGCAATTAATTTTTTTTACCTCGTATCGTGCATTAGTGAAAGTTGGAAATAATTCAAAGAAGTGGAAACGCTCTCACCTCAAGATACACCTCAGCGTAGAGATGCAGTCAATATTCAGTATCATCCACAAGCCACAATTGACGATGGTCCAGCAACGTGGTTTCTCAAGTCAACATTCTTCAAAAATTTCTTTGCAATCATGGATCACCCACCTCATGTGTTTGTACAAAGAAAAACGTCGTCGTTGAATACTTAATTAACTGTTGACGATGATTTTATAACGAAGCAGCAAATACGCCAAAAATAAATAGTAGTAATATACATAGTAACGGTGATGACATGAAATAATAATAAAAAATAATACTAAAATAATCATAAAATATAACAAATTACAAGTGACACGAGTAAGACGACTGAATGTGATTGCAAGGTTTTTTAAAAATAATATGTGTGCTAAAATCATGTTAAACTTTCAAGTCCTAAATACTACGTCTGTGTACTGTGTCAAGTCAATTAGTTAATTTATACATATACATTTATAAAACTAATAGATTTGTTAGATTGCATTTAATTTAGTTACTGACATACTGAAGAAGACAGACAGACGTTGCTCAACAAAACGACAGGGACTGTTGGGATATAATCCTCGAGAAAGTACACAAGTTCTCAAGGAATAATTGGCCCCAGAGAGGAAACGGGTTTTAAGGTCATCAGCCAATAATGAAGAAGTTTAAAGGTTCCCATACAAGTTTATACCAAGTTTACTGCGATTAATAAATGTACATATAATTCAAGCCAGACATCGTCGACTGAATAATTTGATACGTTTCATTCTGCCCCTATGAGTGGTATATTGTTATCGCGTATGTATGTAACTACTGCCCTGCTCTGTACCGTTTTATAACGCAAATCTGTTACATACATACCTGAATTATTTTATAAACGTAATTAAGTATCAAGTTAATAACGACAATTAGAATTTACAAATTCATAGGAGAACCGATAATACAACTTATTTGTACACTCTTCGTCTCATCTTGCTCAATCGTCTGATTATAGTTTTTCTTCACCAGCCAACTCCTGCGCGATGGACTGAACATTTGTTATTTATTGTTACATATTTACTTATCATCTCATTAAGACCAACGTTTCCTGGTAATTTCATAACCTAACACTTGGATAAGTAATTTTTCGCATGTTCTTCCAGTCACGTAAGGTTAAGGGGAACTATAGTTGGAGTTCAGTTTTGATTACTCCGTAAGCCGCATATGCATATTATATACCTGTCTGTAAATAGTTAGTGTCTGTGTCCAACTTTGCATTGTCCAACCCCAAACCCTAAAAAGATTGCAAATCGTTATCCAATTACTGCCACGTCACAGGAACATGTGTAGAAGGATTATTGTAACAATGGAACTTTACATCAGTTGTGTTCATGTGCCAAAATATTTTCCAACCAATTAGTCCAAAGTAGGGTGTCCAATTATTGAACATGAGACATGCGACATATTTACGTACGACATCCGTACAATACCTTAATTTGCACTTTACTTATGTATAATTTTGACCGATATGGGCTATGACTGGCAGAGCGAGGAGGGAGTCACGCTTCATATTAACCACCTCATATTCGCATATCAAAGGAAAATGGCAAGGCACCAGCAAGTGAGAGATGGTGGACGAGACAGCTCAGGCAGACACAGTATCCGAATCGCATAATGCGACCGCAGGATGTACAACTGGAGGAAAGCATTATGGAGAAAGCACCTTAATTTCTCAATTACTGTTTGTTTCTCACATATATTGCTCACATGCTTACGTTGGCTGACACAACTACTGTCACTTTATATGAAGTTAGACTGAAGCGCTGTTTGTAAAATATGTAGCGACATGTAAGCCCATAATCTGAGACATAAACATCTGCTTTCACAGGACATGACGATAAAAAGTAGCATAGAAAACTGTAGAAATACAGTTACATATATGCAGTCAATCATATTTTATGTATGAGTTATTCATATTAGTTTGTCAAGTGTAAGAACATTTTACCCTCTCCCGTCAAATTCTTCCATGTGGCACGCTTCATCCTTGAGTATATGTAGCTCTCTCAAATTTATTATTTTGTTTAGATATGAAAAATTCACCAATTCATCAAACGCATATTTATGCTTACGAGGGTTTTTATTATAATTTTTTTATCGTACCAAAGAAGTCGTCCGCAAGGTTGGCTGGTGAAAGTAAGATACATACAACCTACTCCCATTTATATAGTGATACGGAATAAGTTAATAAGTTTAGGGTGCTATAGTGACCACTTAGTCCTTACTCTCTGAACTCTGTGACGAATTCAAGAAGATATATATATACTATATATTTCTTACATCTGTGTCAGAAATTCTGTCGCATATAATTTACTAAATCTATGTATTGTCAGGCGTCAAAAGTGCTTGGCAGATCTTGGAAACCCAGTTGAATATTTTCACCCAAAAGTATTTAATAATGTTTCGATGGTTCTGTAATCAATTAGTGTAGCGTAAACAAAACGAATATTCGACAAAAAAAACCTTTGCCTCGATGTGCTAAACTTTTTACACTATTTCAATTGTTGTATTATTCCTTTAGTAAGAAACCTTTTAGCTGTTTTCAGCCGGTCTGAATTCCAGTCTTTTGTAATGACTATCTTCTTCCTTATTCATCAATTTAAATATTTTAAGTGCGATGTAAATTTATAAAAACTAATTACTGTATAGAGCAACCTCACTTTCAGTCAATAGAAACCAACATTTAATGTTCAAAAGTTCTACTTTGAGCTAATAATCACGAGACATTGTGAAGCTTTACGAATGTATGTACGACAAGATCAGCTAAATAAGAAGTATGTATCCAATAGATTAAGATCAGCACGCTGGAGTCAGTCTCAAAGAATCGACAAAATTTTTGATGAGTATGACGGTGTTTGTACGTACGTAAATTAGGTTTGTTTGTTGAGTTGACTCACTTTTCCCTTTTCCATTTCTTGTCCCTTCTTGGTGTGAAAAGTAGCGGCTTCTGCAATGAAATGAAATTTGCATGAGGCTTGAATGTGCTTAGCCAGAGTTAGTGAATGCAACTTATTGCAAATAATATTAATAATAATATCAAACTCTACTGTCAATAATAGTCATCTTAGCGGGTAAATTATCTATACTTCTGAAATTATTGCACAACTTAATCGAAATAAGAATTTTTTATTCTAACGTACTCTTAAACTTTAATTATTTCATACCAGTACTGGCGTAGACGATGATAACGAAACCTAGAATTAATACGCGGATCAAGTAGAAAAAAAAACTTTGTATTTCCAAGCAACTATTGTGTTTTAATAATAATGTAGTTGAGCTCTTTGAGTATATGTAAATACGTATGTTGTTGTCCTTGTTGTATAAAATCATAATGAAATATATTGAGCCGCTCACCTTCATGCACGGTGATATAGCGTAATAATAACTTTCGTGCAACCATACATTAATTTATTATATTGAAAATAATAATATTAAAATAAGATAAACCTATATGAAACCAATACTTGATCAATTTCAATTTTAATCCTGTTTAATAAATCAATGACATTTTATATTACCGTTCATTTCTTGTACACTTGCCTTGTTTTTGGTACAAATATTTTGTTTTTGTGCATACCAGGAAGGAAACTGAAACCTTGAGAAACATGTAATTATCCACCAAACCAGAATGCCAACTATTGGCGACAAGTTTTAAAAATCAGCACTGGTTGACAGGTGCTGGAAATGCCACTTTCTCCGCTTCTTCATAATATTATGAAAACTTTGTAAGTCTAGCCAACAACCATAGCTGCATGCCTGCTATAGGAATACCTTAGCAGAATGAGGCACTTTATTATGATAGGCAACATATACCATGTAGCACTCCAGCCACCCTAGTCAATAGTTTGAGCGCAGCCTGGTTTCTATATTTTATATTGGAAAAGTACCTGCTATGTATTCATTCAAAGGATGAGGAGACCTTTTCCTGTGCTCTACCTCGGAGCCGAGAAATGGAACGACATGGAGCTTTTTCTCCTTCCTCTAATCATAAGAGGTTGGCCTTTGCTGTGAGTTGCTCTCATTCCCATGAAACTGCTTGTGGTGCTCACGAGAGAGAGAGAGATCCAAGAACGAGAGAATTCTGTTCTCGGGATGGTTGGTTGTTGGGAAGCTGTTTTTCGGAGAAGAACTTTTTGCACGGATCGATTCAACTCCATGCAGCGTTGCTTTCTCCACCGGACTGCGAGTCGGCAACAATGGAGAAAGCCGGCTCGCTTTGATGTTCCTATACAATTCTCCGCAGCAGAGCATAGAGAGATAGATCTTCGGCCGGATCTTATCTGTCCTGGTGGAAGATTGCAGACAGAAATTCAGCAAGGCTGAACCCTCTTCTGCCACTACGACCATTACCACCACCACATACGGAACATTCCTTTCTTTCGCCGTTTTCTTACTACTTTCCTCTTCGATTTTTCTATCATTTTGCTGTGTTGTGCTTGACTTGCACTTATTTGTCTGTGCTCCTCAAATCCTATATACTTCTAGGCCGAATGGGTACGTGTACCACTTGGAGATAACCAATCCTTATGCTACATATTCTTCCATTTGAGATATGTTTCCACCAGAAAATTAGCAAGTGAGACAAGCGCAGCTTCAGAAGTTCATCTGGTTTTACGGAATTCTGGAGAAAAGTCATGCCGCGTTTTGATGAATTATTATGTGCATAATTTAAAAATCAGCACTCGAATTATCAACGTATTTACATGATTACTTATATCATATGATGAACCAAGTACTTTTTGTATTTGCTACAACTTTGCCGTGAAAGTTGTAAAAATACGACCATATCATTAGCAGAAAAGAGGAAACTTCACGGTTCGAATTCCTGCTCTCCATCCATAATTAAGCAAGGCGGCGGAACCGTTTATCTGTGAAGACTTTCTCTCCCAACCATGTACAATTGCCAAGCTAGCACATGACTCGGGTATTGCATCGCTATGCTATGTAGATAAGGCCTGGCTGACACTCTTCCTCTTTTCCTAGCAAAGCTCAAAACAAAAGTGGTGAGCATCCGCCTTTTGGGAGTGTTGGAGTGAATAATAGCGACGGATAGCTCATAAGTATGACTCAGATGTGAGAGACGAGAGAGATACACAGCGACTATTGCAACGATATTATAATTGTGATCATTATGCATTATTTAAAGAGAGAGGAGCTTCCCAATTTGCACAATTGGGATGCTGATTCAACTCACCATTTGGCGTTGTTTACTTGTGTTCATGCCAGAAATATTCCATGTGGACGGCAATACCTCGTAGTTAGAAATATGCTCATGCAAACAATGTTTCTCACCAACACGGCTGGTTGTTGATGACACCCAACTGACTCGTGAAAATATTATCACGGCAATTTTTAATTTATAAGGTGCCAGAGCTATCGGTAAATGCAGATAAGGTATGTTTCTCAATGTGCAGGCATGTGTATAAGTATGCAACTTGCCTCTCTTTCGAACATGATGGTACACACGATTGTACACACAATGTTCCATGTTACATACTTATGTGTATGCAAGTCATCCCTCCAGTGTTTCCAACCAAATATTCCAAAGTTTCTTTTGATGTACTTCAAAACGCTCTTTGTTCTAGTCTGCTATTATCATTTCAAAACTTTAAACCTTTTGTTTGTAAGAGAAGAAGTCACATCCTCATTTCGAGCAAGTTCTTTCCTCTTCCTCCGTATTTCATTCTACTCATAGATTCTATTTACCACTTCTACCACTGATAGTTATGCAAGCACACATATGTACTTATTACTACTTATGTATGCATACATACATACATACACGTACTTTCGACATTAGAGAAGCGATTCAATTATTTTTTTGTGCAATTGTGTTTCTATAATTGTACTTACTGCCTCATATAATTTCAATTAGAATTGCAATTTTGCACACTACAGAGAATGTGCGTAGATTGTACGAACGTTATCTTGTAACTTTTAAGACGACGACTCTAAGTGGAGTATAACTGGTCCTTCATGGGGTGTGGCCCTCCAACAAACATTAGGTCACCCTACCTATCCAAAATTGATGCAAAAATTATACTGCTTACCAAAAGAACGCATGTAAATATGTATGCATACACTCTCTAAGCGCTGTAGTAGTAGAAAAAAATTCCATGAATATTTGATAATAACGTTCTTCATTTGAGTATTTTAAATTCCTTGGAGACATGTAATTAGATTTTCAATCTGTCTGAATAAGTGTAAATTTCTATCTGAATCTGACTGAAGAGAAGTGAAATAAAACCAAACCAGGTTGTATATGACATTCTGCAAGTGTGGCCTCATTTTACTCCTTATTTTAGTCAATTTAACTACCTCGCTAAGCACATTTACAGCAAAATGGGAAGCTACATACGCGTGCACAGGTAAGATTTGGTGGAATGGCGGGCATCTTTTTGGAAAAGCATTCACATTTATTTTACAGGGGACAAATTCTCTCTTGAATTCCGCGTGCGGTCCTCGTTCCCGTCAAGGAGACAGTGAAACCCGGCAGTCTGCCTTAATTTACGTTATTCCACCGAGTAAACACAGTTAAATCCATCCCATTATTTTCCTTGTCTGGCTTCTTGTAGCTGAAATTGAAGAAAGTCAGCTTCACTTGTACTTAAAAGTATTCAATTATGCAGCGCCTCTAGCATAACCATGTTGCATGCATGTGGAGGATATTGCGAAATAAGCAGAATCCCTCGCCATGGAAATGTGACTTTAAATGGTCTATCTACTTACTACTGATATGTAATATTAATACCATTTTAGGTTGCACGAGCACAAATTATTTTGTGGAATACCGTTTAAAAAAATGACTACATTTATGTGAAAGTGTGTCATGGCCTTCGAGTATTTTTCAAGCATTATCAAATCAATCAGAGCACAAGTTTGGTTCAACTATTCATCCCCGATCGTTATGAAAAAGATCTTAATAACTAGCCATGGAGGTTTGAGACATGAGCATGTAGCATACCAGATTCGTTTAGGATACAAATATTCTCAATTTTTGAGAAGTTACTACAATGGATAAAATGAAACAAAATCAGTTGTGTTATCCTATTAATAGTTGAAGGATATCAGAGTAACTTGGGAGCAGGTGAACAAAAAGTGAAAGTTTTACGTGAACAAGTTGTTGTTGGTTTTTGGTTCTACAGAATTGTTTGCCTTTTTGCAATGGGATGACGGCGGGTGTTGAGTTGAACACACAATGAGACCATCATGAACTTTCTATAGAGAGAGAAAGGGGAAAACTCCATAACAACTTTTGGTTTATTGGATTAATCACAGACAGATGGTTCACAGACAGCAGTTAAGTAGTTTCCTTTGCCCATCATAAAATAACGCTACCTGTTCAATGTTCCATCAACTCTGGTGTGCACGGATAATCAAAACTAATTTCTTTAGCTCACCAAAGTTAGAAACGTTGTAGCAATATTCGCAAAGTATTCAAACAACATTTAAAATATGAAAATACATAATTGCAATCATGATAAGATGTTTGTAGTGTAAACAGTAATGCCGTCTTTCTCTCATTCCATTACTTGTGCTTGTAATGTACATAAAATATTCAACATTTTTGCAGCATGATCGGTTCATATGTGCGAAGCAATTGAGTTTGATCTATTTAATTCTTGGGAAGTGTCAGGGTCAGCGGTTAACCCTGCTTGAAAATGATTAAAATACTTGGAACGACAGGTGTATGTTTGAAGAACTGAAGGTTGCGTAGGCATAGTAAAAACATATTCTTCTGTTCTGTTGTTTGTGGAAAGGAAAAGAGCCACTCTTGCACTGCAAAAGTTATCTGCATGTAGAAATTGCTAACCCAATTGAATTCTGTGCTATCCTGATAAAATAGAATTACGAATGAGACAACAAAAGTGTTTTGTTATTGACAGCTTCACTCGTTCACTTTCTGCGTAAGGTTTTCCAGGTAGAACTGCTGCCTTTGCTTGTACGACTACATACTACAGATTGTTTTGGAATAGGTTATCTCCTCGTTCACAAGCCACTTGGCAATTCTCCTTGAATTCTTTGTTCTACCGCCGTTGTCCTATGTCTCGTTGGAAATTGCAAGAAATAGAAAGCAATGGGAATGCCCAATCTGCAATGCAATACATCAGTCCATAAGACCATTATTGGAGACGGAAATTGTCCGCGGGTATTATTTTTCCTCCAAGAAGGAAAACAGGTAATTGTGTTTCTTTTAAGCCTATTGTATCGTGTCCATTTGAGACTTTTGGCATACCGTTGTAAGGAGCAATGCAATACACCCTGGCTGCCAATTAGGAGAATGTTGATTAAAAGTGAGTACGTTAGCCGGGTTACATGTACACCGCGGACAATAATTCCCACTTCAGCCAGCGTTTTGTAGTCAAGTTAGGCGCTCATTCAATACGATCTTTGATTAAAGGTGGCAGGACTTTTTGGGAGTGGGACTCAAGTTCACTATTGAGATGGGGTGGTTGCACGAGGGTGATCTTCTCTGGTCTGTGGGAGAAAGTGGTTTTGGGCTGCAGTGATAATAATGACAAGTGGGTATCAGCGGAACAGCGTATGTATTTATGAGCAGTGTTGGAATTTAGTGGTGAACCCCTGGTGCTTATGGCTCCTTTGCCTACATGGGAGAATCAGGAGGAGAAGAAGTGGAGGTAGGCACAGGCGGGGCAGCAGAGCACTGGCACAGTGAATGACTTGAGAGAAAGCTGTGGTTACGTGGCATGCCACGCAGGAGAAGGAGTCAAGTTGGTGTGGATGGTGAAAGCAGCAGTGGGGAAGACAATTGCAAATTTGGCGGTATATGTAGGACCTCGCTCTCTCCGTATGGATGTGTGTGTCCGATATTTGCTGGAAATAGGACCGTCGTCGTCGGGTCGATAAAGTTCCTCCACTTGGTACGTGCGGGAGTATTGGTGCGCGGAGCATGTGGAAAAGGAATGGGGCTGAGCCCGCACTGCTCTCCCCCACTTCCCAGCCTCCTTTTCCTCCACACAATCCTCGGTTCAGACCGTGAACAGACAGTGCCCGAGCTCTTCCTCTCCCTTTTCTCGCTCTCACCTGGTCACACCACCACCGTCAACCAAGTCTTGCTTCGAGGTGCAACCGCGAAAGCTCACTGTGCTTTCTCCTCAACCATTAACACACCTTCACGCTAATTGCAACAGTTAAGACGAGACAACATGACGCATCACCACAAACTACCAGTAATTCACCCCTTCCGCACCAGCCAACAGTCTTCCACTCCCACCACAGCTTGAACCTTCAGTAACGAGATTTACTATTATGGAAAAACAGTCATCACATCTTGGACCGTACTACTCTCGCACCGTTTCGAGTGTGGTGACTACTGCTCTGGAGAAAGTGGTTGTCTCAGAACTCGTTGAGCAAAAGTTTGCGGCAGGTGTAAAAGAATCTCTCTTGTAGTTTCTCACGTTGTGTGAAGAATAATGTAAACTGAATCATTGAACGGAGGACACGATTGAGTTCAGGATTTGTACACATTCTGTTTTTTTAGTTTTTTACACACGTCGAGGAGTTATTTAATCACCAAAAGTAATGGTTGCAATACTCATTGATTCCTTGGTCATGTTTGGTTTGTCCTCATGAATGTGGAGCAGCTGCCTCTGATTGCAGCAGGAGGAGGCGGAGTGGGAGGAGTGGTGGGAGGAGGCGGCGGCGGTGGAGTCGTTGCGACCGAGGAAGAAGAAAACATTTCGTTCTTCCTTGCCGACCGTGAAGGTGGGTGTATAAGAAAGCCAGTCGATGGTTTTAGGAGCCACTACGTTGCTTCGAATGCTGCAATATTTGAAGATCTAGGACCCTCTTTAATGTTAAAATCATCATTAATGTTTTCTTAGTGATCCCCAAACGACTTGCGTAATTCCCCAAAACTATAATTAAACACAATTAATAAAAATAGACTTAATTCTGTCATAATTCTATAATTCGCTGGACAAGTAACAACCATACCCGGAACATTTAATACAAAGTGTGAAGAAAGTGAAGGTATTTTTTAACATTGCGTTTTGGAATGAGGGTTGACCATGATCCTGTATAGTGCTTGCTCAGTGTATTATTATACATTTATAACTATGCACTTCTCGTATATTTGACTTGGTTATTTGTGAAATGACTTTCGAGGATATAAATACGTACAATTACGACATGGATCATACCCCTTTTTTCCTTCCCCAGCACTAAGAAAACTGAATGCCAGGGATGATTTCTACTGCATTTACACTAAACTTGGCAATTCCTGTAACTCACGTAAGCAGTGAGACGAATGAAAAAGTGGTTGATTAACACGTACAAGACAATGAGCTAGTGATATGGCTCCTGAAAGTTTTGCTCACAATTTTCTATTCTATTTTCTCCTCATCGTTTCCGGAATACTTTTGAAGCAAGGTAAAAAATTATATTTATTACTAGTGCGTATATTATATGAGCTTATCGACGTCGGTCGGTTGAGATAATCTGTTCTAGCCATAATAATTTTTTTATAAATGTAATGCTACCTGTGCGGGAAAAGTAATCTATGTAGTTACATAACGTATATTGATTGGGTTTGGAATTAATGAAAAGTTGAACATGTGCATAACTCCCTTTCTCTGTGTGTGCCGCATACAGAAAGCTTTCAAATTTCCAATTTTGTAATCTCGCTGTCAAATCTACTTAAATTAGGCTACTCACGTGTGTGGTGCTGCTTAAGTGCTCGTTTTCATTCCAAGTGTGAACTTATTTCTCGCCAATTAATTCTTTTTACATACGAATGGAGAATCACAAATACTCCTTCAAGAGATAGCAGTTTAGTAGACGTTCCCTTTTTAGAAATAATTAATACCGAGGGTTTATAGCTGACCGTACAGCCTATTTTACGCAAGTACATACTTCTCAACGGCCAATCACTTATGTATGTACAAAGTGCTACATATTGATGTATATGCGTACACATTTATTCCGAAAATCATGGTTTTGTATTTATATGTCGCAAGTGTCACATGTCTGTCTCCTTCTGTCGGATGTAAATAGGAATGCGGTGGTGGTGTCAAACGTTTTCCTTATCTGTCGAACGTTCAACAGAAAGTAAGTAAAAATGAGACAAAGCAGCAGCTCAAGAGTTGACTGGCTTGGACTCCTCGGTCCCCCACTGCGTCCACAGGCCCAACACATATAGATATGAAGCCGGAACAAAACTTATGTCAGTCTCAGACTGTATCCTGTCAATGTCGCTGCGTTGGGTTTCAAAAGTAGCCAAGAGCTTCATGCTCTAAAAGTGTGCACACGTCTTCCATCGCAGAATCTCAATACTGAAGGAAAGTAGGAAATACATATTTGTTCACACACTACAACAATTTCTCATAGTAATGTGGCCCCTGCTTGCGTATGCATATACGTATTTGTGAAATTACGAAACTCTCGAATGTATTTGATTAATTATTCAGATAGTTTTCAATCAGCAAGTTGGGCCTAAAGTATAACCCTGAAGGACGCAGGATATACATGGTCTAGGAAATATAATAATTTGGCAAAGGAAAATATCCAGTTTTGGAAGCTTCTCAATAAAGAAGGTTCTAAGAATTGCCATGAGGATAAAAGACAAAAATATCTGGATTTGGTCCAAGGATACACAGGATCCAGAATGCTCAGCTCGTAGTGAATCGTCTAGTCCATCTCGTCGAATGGGATTCTTCTTTTGTGTTATGATGCAGCTTTCTGCCCATTTTCATAGTAACTAACACTCACCAAAATCGATCGTTGTAGTTTTTTAGCGTCAGAAAGAACAAGCTTGAATAGATTAATATTATTATTTTTAACTCTGATTAAAAGTGTCGTACACTTTTGACAGATTGAAAAACCAATTCATTACAGATATGACGAAAACGTATGTACCTATGTAATATTTCAAATTGACTTGTTTTGCACCAACGCATTTCGCAATGCCCACCGAAGTCAGATCATCAGAGAGTATTGTCGTGCAGCCTAGAAATTGAGAATGGACTGTCCATTAACTTGAGAACATTATTGCTGCACAAGAATCTTTGGCTGTGAAAAGCAGTGAGTGGAGCAGGAGAAAGCACAAGGGAAATGTGCTCATGTTCGTATATGTACTTGCCCATCGGGGAAAGGATCGAGAATTTCACAATGTACAGCTCAGAAGAAGTTTGACATTGAGATAAGTGCTTCCCCATATATTCAACTGCCCCTAAAGTTATAAAGCACAGAAGTAGACGCCAAGAAAAATGTGGTGACTATGGAATAAAACATTCCAAGATCACACGCTCGTCGCCCCAGAAATGAGATTTACAAACTTCTTAACGGTTCCAACTTGGATGTATAAATTTTAACCAGAGTTTCGTCATTTGTAGGTGAAGCATTTTACTCTCACCAGTTTTAACATAATTAGGAAGCGAATTTGACTATACTTGCGACTAAATTCAAATATCATGGTCGTCGTCAATCATCATCATCGTTGTCGTCGCTTTAGACCAACACCGTTCCGATTGTTAGAGTTAAATGAGGGGGTGCAGAATGGCACTGCAAACCACTGTTCTTATCTATCAAATGTCTCTTAACTTTGGTGGGTAATTACTAATCAAGAAACAATCTGATAAAAGTCTTTTGTTCGTTTGCCTTTATATCTTTTCGAGCTCTTTGAACTTCCAATGTATTGTACGGAGAACTTCTAAGAATAATTTTTATAATGCCTTCATGTACCCATGTATATACCATGTACTCATGAGCATGTACCCATGTATACAGAGAGATATTCGTGCCTATGTCTAGCGATGCCAAGAGACACGAGATAAAAGTACGAGAAAATATATGTTAAAAGGGTGGAGATATTGGAATAAAATAGCTCAACTTACAAAAAGTAAGAGAGATGCAGAATTTAAGAAGTATGGGATATAAAATCCCCAGTACAGCTTGATAAAGCCCGAGCCAGTGTCATCTAAACTCTCGCAGATATTTTTTACTATCATTCTTAAGGAAACGCCCAAGTACATACATTCAATTTACACGAGGTGGGAGATTTTCTTGCAAAATTTGGTTCATTTCGGCAACCCCCATTGGTCACCCCACTCTAAACGTTTTAGCAGACTATCCAACCTCTTGACCTGTCCTCTATTAAGTTTGGCGACAGTCTGAAGTCCATCTGATGAAGAGAGTTTTCGGGTCACAGACGAACAGACAGAAAGTTCCATAAGCTCTGGGTTGGTTGGGGTACAAAGTGAAATGTAATGAAAATAGATCCGAAATCAGATTTTGGTAAAGTAATATCACAAAGAGACTTCATTTGACTCCTCCAAGTAGCCAGCCAACTTGCCGTAACCTTACAGGACGATTTTTTAACTCGGGTAGATTTCGCTTCTCTCTTTATGTTTGACCATTTCAAGCCCAGATGTTTCCATGTAATTTATGAAACGGAACAAAGTGGTAGTCCTGGAGTATATAGATACGTACGTATATATCGGAATATACGCGGAATGTGTACTAAATCCGCATCCCTACATCTTTCTCCTCTTCTGCCACTCACTCTTTCAACTAAATGACTGAATGACTTTCCAAACTCATCATCATCATTACCACGTTATCGCTAAACTTACCAGTTTCCCTTTTCGCTCGCACATGCGGAAATTAAACGCCTTGTTCCTTCGTAATCGGTATTGTGTAAGCTCCGTAATTCCTATTACAAAGTGGATACAGAATACCTCCCCGAGTCAAAGTAGCGTTGTGTTTGCAGTGTAATATTAATGTTTCGTTTAACATTTTTACGACACAAATTTACATCAAGTCGCTTCGCTCGTAATCGTATCTAGTCACCAATTACCAAAAATACGCCATACGTTTACGACCAGACATTACTTATTGAGATGCAAAAATATGTCAAAATTTTAAAGGATACATATAATATGGAGAAAATACTGGGTTCCGAAATATGTGCATACTTGTATAGAAATTTGAATAATCTGCTACCTGCATTAGACGAACTTTTTGTTGATTTAATCGTTATACTCATTCTTGTTTTGTGGTTTTGATATAAGGCAGAAGCATTATTAAAGGATCACGTCTGCGTCATTACCCCGGTTTGACTTTGCACGACTTCCACGTAATCTTGTCTACATATATACATACATATTTAGCTGTGTGGAGATTAGCATAGCTTTGAAAATGGGAGCTTAAAGTAGGTTGAGAAGTTGGGAATTTCTGAATATTTCCTGAAAAACTTGATCACAAAACTCCATTGTCTTGTATTAACGTTTCTTTACTCTATTTGCGACACTGGAATGTAATAATACTTAGCCGTGATCACTAATGCAATAATGTCTGAATTTGAATTGCTATAAAAGTACGGTTGCAGTTCTATATGTGAGTGAGAATACTGAATATGCATATAAATATATATATATTTCTAACTATTGTAAAAATGCAATGCCCCATATGAAGTAGTAAACGGAAAGCTTACGTATCGAACGTATTGAATTTCATTTCATTAGATACATAGAATTTGGATTACCATCAAAGTTCATTGTGAAATAAGATATACAATAAAATTTCAAATCCCTGCTGAAGAGGTATTTAATATTAAAGGTATTAGTTGGAGACCTGAAGTCAGTGGAGAGAGAAAGTCAGCAAAAGATAAAAGATAAAGCAATTCTCTTGTCTACACTTTTCTAAATTCTTGGAGCAATAAACAGCTTTGCTTCCGACAACTCGTATTTCACTTGAAAGAACAGAGCACTGAAAATTCCGTCGATAACATGATTCTTGTGTCAATCGCTTTTAACGCTTGATTCTATCTCTTCTTCTCCAATACATCACTCCTGCTCGCGTACCTTTCCAAAGTTCTCAACCTCCAAGTAAAAAGAGTTAAGCGACTTTTGAAGTCTATGTAGTTCCAGCAGCAAACGAATTTTCACAAACTTTTACATCTCCTTTTCGTAGACCTTGTACATGGAAGTATGCACACAGTCTCACAGTCCTATCCGGACTTGGATATGTCGTGCTGGTCTTACCCAACTGAAATTTATAGATTATAGTCCAGGACGTATTCGAATGCACATAGTAATCTCAGGATAAGCGTCTCCACAATTTCTTTTTCACGCTAGACATCTGATTTGCTGTGTATATTCAGTCAGTATTTGCAGTCGAGATCTTCGTATTGTGTCAACATTGATTGCTTCACATCAATAGACTTGTTTTCATGCTTTCGTGATTTTATAAACCAAGTTTCATCCATGCAATTGATAGACCGTAATAACAAGCAAACTTTTCCTATTTAACTTTCTCAAATAAATAGTAGTACATGTACAGACAAACTTGTGTATGTATGTACATACACACTTATAATCGATATCAGTGAAAAGAAATGTTTATCTGTATATAAAATTGAGCTGCGACATGAATCTAGCTTTCACCGAAATTACATAAACTGCCTGACCTGCCTTGAATACGGCAACAATAATCTCTAATGAGGCTCAATTTAGTTTTAATCTTCATAAAAACCGTACATTGCGAGGGTGTGAATTATTCAACCAAACAGAAGCACAACAATATTTCCTCCCACCCTTCGACTAACAGGCACAACTTTGTTGCCATTCTAAAGTATTTATGCTAAATATAAACAAACACATGTTTCTATGCATTATGGCGTACTTCATTTATTCTTCTTGATTTTGTGTCCTCGTTTTATTGAAACTTGCAACAGGAAGCAGGGAACTTTGGCCTGCATATATTTTGGCGTAGTCGTGATGTGATGATACTTTACTTCAGGAAGAGAATAAGGCAAAGTTTTTTTTTGTGCACACCTTTTAAACGTTCGTCCTTTTATCTTCAGCTCCCTTGTTTCACATTTCACATGTGGAACTCTTTCCACTCTTTGATTTCGTGTGTCAAAAGAACTGAGAAAGTCAATTGGGCCAAACAAAATCTGTGTGAAGTTCTTATAACTGGCAATATTTAAACTCACAAATGTGGATAGTTTGATGATAATATTTCGATATTTTCATGTCTAATCATTATGTTTAGGAAATGAATTTATAGTTTATTTTGGTTGGGATTGATGAGTATCAGTTTACAGTAGTTCATAAGTTCATAAAAAAACATAGCAGGAGTATGTGAACCATACTAATTTATGCATAAGTCTATTTTAAGCTGATTCTTAGGACGACCTGAAAAATCAATGCACCAAAAAATATGGATTGTTTTTTTCTTTTGTTCACTTTTCTTGGATTCGATTTTCTTAGAAATAAGAAGCAGAAGTCTCATCAGAGTCCGATGATCGAACTGCGATGGCATAAAGAAAGAACATACATATGTGCGTGTAATGATAAGCACATCATTCCACCAAGCATAACGTGTTTCTTTTAGTCGAATAATGTATGCGTTAATAGGAAATGATTTGAGAAAATGTTTCGCCTCTTGCCCCTTTACGCTGGCATAACTAACGAGTTACACACATATTGCCTCACAAACTTCTGTATTATGTATGTACGCGTTTGGAGCCGATCCACCAGTACTTTACTAAATACTTTGCTATCCTCCATATTCCACTATCCAGTTTGTATCATGACATTGAAAACCGAAAAGGGGATAGTGTATCCTTTTAACCCATTGATATCAAAGAACAAAAAATACTTGTGCTTGTAAAGTGCCTACATTAGAGTTGTGTAGCAATCAAAGGCAGTTAGCTCTCACGGATGGACATAATTTTTCATTTTTCCATCACCGGTTTCATACTAGCATAGCCAACTTTGGTAAAATTTTGAAAGGTAAAGTTAATTTGCCCTATACTTGTAGAGTTGTCAATGGCTATTTCACAAGGTAGGTTTGTATAATGCTATGAAATCGCACTTAACCTCGGAGTATTTATTACACGAAATAAACGTGTAATTCAGTCTTTGTAGCGTGCAAAAGTGGAGGAATAATTCCTCAGGAGATGTCTTACTTGTTCACTATGTATAAATATTTAGGAGGCACAGGATCTGTATGTATCTATTTACTCCAGCATCCTAGGAAATTTCTTTTCACACTGGGAGCGAGGAAGGGAGAAAGCAACCCTAACTGACTATATATATACACTAAAAGCAATCCATCAAGTTGGGTCGATAGTTTGAGACACTTCCACATTCAGAGAGAGCTTTATCTGAATATTCGATGAAGAGGGAAATAAAATTCACAAACTGATGGAGTATAAGTTTCGAAATATTAATACATCAACCTCAATAGTGAAGAGTTGTAATTAATTAATAAAGTTTTCTTGTGTATAGAGGAATGAGCAATTTCTGTAAATGGATGGAGAATATTCTAAATTCCATCTATTCGAGGTGTCATCATTGTAAATAATCGCATGGCAAATTCTTATTTATAAAATTGAAATAAAACTTGGTTGACACGACGTGTTTCGCCACTTTTGTCACTTTTCATCTCGTTATATAAGCATCGTATAAACGAACAAGTTATTTCCTTTGACCTCAGAAAATCTCTGCAGCCAACGAGGAAGAGACGCCTGTGAATAAACCTGCATCAATTTGTAGCGTGAAGGATTGATTGAAATTCTGTTTCAGAGGAGTGAGCACTCGGGGACAAGGCGGCCTTATCAATATTTGCGTTGTTGACTTTATGACCCGATTTATGTCAGAGTTGAATTTGGGGAGCGTGAATTACGTGCATCGCCTCTGGATATGAAGAATGGCAGCAGATGTCGAGACGCTTGGTTCACTAGCTTGGTGTCCATGCATGTGTTGTCTCCTATGCTCCGCTTAAGTTGACACTCATTTCCTGATAAATATATGATTTTACCGTTAGTTCATGCACGAAGGGTTGGGCGTCGGCTAGAGAATACAAAGTTGGATAGATTCCATTATACTTGAAACTCTGCTGCCTGATCCTTTCACGCTGTTCTGCGGAGAGACCGAGATACTTTACCCTTTGTCAACCTGACGTGGTGTTTAGTCACAAAAATTATTAGTGTTTTCGCACGTATACCCTATCACAGACATTGACAAGGAATCGATATTAATTTCCGGAGCTTCAAGGACTGTTTCCTGCCATTTCATTCAATCGCTTTAAAAAGCGGTTTATATTAAGTCAAGTATTCTTCTTATACGAGTGGGTGTGACAACAACACTTCACTTCAGATGAGATACTTATCTCTGCGGTTTGATCTTTAGCAACTTGCTGAACTTTCATGTATTCATCGTATGGATAGTGTGCTACCATGTATCTACATATGCAGCATACCACAAATATTTTTATCTTATGGTGCCATTACTGCTATATACATATTCATGCTTGCAATGCATAAAGTTAAAATTATTGATTGTCTTTGTGTCCTATTTCATTTCAGTAAAACAAAGGCCAATCGCTAGGGTGCACATTTAGGAAGGCATACCGACATGCACACTTTCTTAAATTTCAACAGCGTAATGGAATTATATGACTCCAGAGAGGCGTGTTTATACATGTGGATCCAGTGAAGATTTTGTCCAGCAAAAGTGCAGAGAAGAAATTCAATAGTTCTTTTGTGAGATGGCTGGTAAGGAGATAGGAGTTAAATTAAGAAGGACTCTCGGTTCTTGGCCAGTGTGTACAGATATAGTAATAAGTTTACCAGATAATGATGGCCATTGGTATGGAAATAATGGGGGTGGGAACCTTTCCAAGATTCTGCACATAAAATAATGTCATTTTACTTGAGGTTTTCTAACAGTCAGTCGGTGACTAACTCAATTTTGCAACATATCGAAAATTTATTGTTTAAATCGTACGATACCACCACGCCCCCACCGCCGTTGCAATGATTTTAAGCATGGTTTCCAAATGCCGGCACTTGTGTTACTTCCATCAGCAGAAGCAGTTGCTTTCTCTTCCATTTTTGAATGAATTAAATTCTTTCACTTTCATTAAAATTCACATCTAGCTCAGGATCTAATGTTATGTTTCAGGACCACCAACATTAATATTCAATTAATTGTAATATAAGTTGATACATTTGAGATAAATATTTATATGCAAGATTGGAAATATTGTTTCCGACTAGTCCAGGAGGATATTTCTATGTCTACAGTGTACAAAAAAGATAAGCAGCCAGTAGTGCCGTATTTATAAGAAATAATTTATTGTCTACATCGATCTTTGTGTCGACCGAAGTAAATTGTAAAGGAAGGAACTGCGACTCACCGCATCATCGAAAGAGGCAAATGAATCTGACGAAGATTGCTGGTTCTCTCCTCAAGTTCTAGCAGCACGGCATTTCCGTGAAGCGATGATTAGATGGTTTAGCTGGAAACGGGAAGTGGTTGTGATGGCGTGGCACACAGGCCGTGTGAAAGTCGAGGTTTTGGAACACGGCGATATTCTATTAAGTCTGAAGAGCTCTTAACGTCATAAGTCTTCTTGAAAGAATGACATGCTGCTGACTTTCCAGCGATTGTTGTTCCCAAACTACTGCTGGTTGATAATGGGAAAATCTCAAAAGGTGAAAGGATTGAAATTGTAGTCGGATGGATGAAAGTAATTCCCGAGTTTTAGCAGAAAGTGGCTCTTGTGTGGCTCTTTTCTCGTTCCTGCTTTCATGTCGCCATACTTAACTTGCCCTTCACAAAAGGCTTGGGTATATCCATTCATCATTATAACTCCTTGCCTAGCAAAGTGGATCAGAAGAGCAGACTCATTCACCATGCACTACTCGTTCTCATTGTTTCATGAGACTTGGTTTGTACTTTGGTAGCACCTTATGCGTAACGTTTAATCAGCCGGAAATTTGGATTTCTTGATGATCTAGTGTAACTAATTCACATTGTTTCTTAATTTTCTAGGTACATGCTCCGAAGACGAAGAGAGATTAGTACGTGATCTTTTTCGTGGCTATAATAAATTGATAAGACCAGTGCAAAACATGACAGAAAAAGTGCATGGTAAGAAAACAAAAGATTTGTTAACATAATGTAGTTCTAATACATAATGTAGGTCTCTCCTAATTGATTCATTAAAAAAGTTTTAGAACATTAACATAAGTGGACACGTTATAATGTTAAGATTTTAAGTAAAATTTGTTGTTTTTTTAATTACAGTGAAATTCGGTCTTGCCTTTGTCCAGCTCATCAACGTGGTAAGCATCGCATCATTTTCTTACGCTTATATTTTTTACTACAAATGTTTTTCTGGAAGTTCAAATATGAAATTCGTGTTTTGTAACTTTCAGAACGAGAAGAATCAAATCATGAAGAGCAATGTGTGGTTGAGACTTGGTACTTTATTTTAGGCGTTTACTCGCCTTATTCCTTTATTGTTTAATTAGTTTGCTATTTATTGTTATGTAGTTGTCGCTAAAACCGCCATCCCCCATTTCTTTGTGCTACATGTAAAGGTCTTGACCCCCACGTAATAAGCCTTCTTGTAGTGTTTTTGCCACTTTGAGTGGGTGTGGCAGGCGCAAATGGGACAATGGAATGCAACCACTTCAACGTTTTAGTCGACTCATAGGGTACAATAATATAACTAAAGGGCATCCTAATTTGGGGATGAAAGGTAGGGGTCATTTAGCATACAAATTACTACGTATTTATATAGGTTTGAAACGAGGGGTTTGTAATGAGCAGTTTGTACTTTCAATATCTAAACATACTGACTCAGGCTATATGAGGCTGAAGGTTACAAGATTTTAAACTCTGTTTATTTTGGAACTTTCCCCAGACGAGAAAGAAAACAATACGGCCTAGGAAGCATTTGCAAGCTCAAATACATCACTACAAAATTTTATACCCGCAGATGAATAACTTATATTGCCTTCAGAGACGTATAGATGAGTTGTTCACTTGCATATATGATTGTTAAGAGCCACTCGTGGATAGTGAATAACTGTCATTCTAACTATAAGTATGAATCACGTGTTTCAGGATAATGAACGACATCGAGACGAGAGCAGTGTTAAATTTCTTTCAGCGATCGTACAATCCATCTTGTTGTTGGTTTGGCTGCTCTCTTATGCGGACAAGCAGGCAATGTTATATTTAATGCCGTCATCGTGTCCAAGTAGTCTGTGCCAGGAATCAGCTTTCCCCGCTATAGCCCGTTCTATTTCTATCCACCCGTCTGCTCCACTTTCACTGCAGTGATCTCTTGCTCTGCCTGGAATATAAACTGGGCTTAACTTACAAATGTAGCGTCTTAGATATATGACTCCGATTTAAATTTTTACCCCAAGCCCACGCTCAGCACTTTATGCGAGTATTGTGCTTATGTATATCCTGTAAAATGCATGTTTTTTTTAAAATTATTATGGTTCAGATGTATGTATAAATAATATGAATATTTGTTTGGTACACTAGTATGGTCCGATTACCAACTAAGGTAAGAATCCTTTATAAGCGTGTGTATGCATGTAAAATTCCATTGGTCCATGCATTTCTAATGAATGAATGACCAAATAAATCAGGTGGGATGAGGCAGACTATGGAGGAATAGCAGTACTTCGATTGCCACCCGACAAAGTTTGGAAGCCAGACATAGTGCTGTTCAATAAGTACGATTTTATTACCACTAAATTCCAGTGAAACCCATAAGAATGCATTTTCATGTTTATTTGTCACTTTGTCATTTTCAGTGCTGATGGTAATTACGAAGTGAGATACAAATCAAATGTTTTAATATATCCAAATGGAGAAGTGTTGTGGGTCCCACCTGCAATTTATCAGGTAATAAAAGCTCAAAGTGTGTTAGTTATTAAGTATTATTAACATACTAAATATATGCAGCTTATTAGACGTCAAATACAATTCTATAACTGATCTTGTTGAATGCATTTTCAGAGCTCTTGTACAATAGACGTGACCTACTTTCCATTTGACCAGCAGGTAAATTATTAGTGCATTTCAGAACTGTCACAATTTTTATGAAAATCCACCCCAAATTCATGAAGGGTGCTATTTGAATATGGGATAGATTTAATCAGAAAAAATTATTCATTGTGTAAAACATTTGTCTGATCATTTACTTTCTTGCAGACTTGTGTCATGAAAGTAAGGAATACATATTTATTTCATAATGCTTAAATCCTTGTGCACTATTAACACCTTGTCTTAATTGTAGTTTGGCAGTTGGACATTTAATGGAGATCAAGTTTCACTCTCATTATACAACGATAAAAACTTTGTCGACCTGTCAGATTATTGGAAATCAGGTGAGGATTATGTATGATACATGATGTTAACTTGGGTGGAAGTTTTCCAGGTGAATTTTAACTGAATTGACAGCTCATTCACATTTAGCATGCATATTGTAGTGGTAGGCTGAGTGAGATGAGCATCCTAATGCATAATGATTAAAGCCAGTTTTATTGCTGGTTTTATTTTTACGCCCTTTGTGAAATGGCGGAATACAAACTAGATTATCTTCCACTCGATCTTGACTTGAGTGGAACAAGGAAGTTATGTGTGTACTCTCTGCGTTCATTGTCTCACTGCTCCTGTGAATAGAACAGTAAAGTAGAGCGAGTGTCTTGGTCCATCCCACGCATTCCGTGTTCAAGCAGACGTAAACCAGTAGATAGTAGACCAGTCAGTCTCTCGGCTTGTGTGTGGCGTAATAAATTGAAGTTGGTTCACTCAGGATGAGCGAGTTGCGCCGCTCGAGAATATGTTTTTATCCAGCCAGCTCGTCCCTGGTACGAGATAAATAGTAGAATAACGCCTTGTCTCACACATAAATGCACATTTTGCTCGCCATCTAATTTAATCTGTTGTAAAAATTTTGTTATGTAATTATTATATGTTATAATTCATAATGTATGTGTGTAATTTGAGGACTAAAAAACTTTGGAGAAAGTGCAATCTCATACTTATTTCCCATTTTCCCTGCGTAGTGGTAAGTATTTAGTTCTGACTGCATGAAGCTGTTTGCTTCTACGGCGAAGAAAATGAGTCGGTCTCAGAGAGAGTGGAATGCTTTTTCGTTTTGTGTCGAGTTATCAGAGAAGAATGGATAAGTATGAAAGATATGTAGTTGCGAGGCGTTGCTTATGTACAGTCTCTGGAATTGTTGGTTAAGTTGCGGGCTCTGAACTTTTTCGGAAACGAAATTAAATATTTGATGAAAGGAAGAACGAGTGAGTGTGGGGTGGGATGTGTGAGCAAGTTGAACGAAAAAGACTGGTCTGTTTTTTACAAAAGGGAATGATGCGTTGAATGACGTGACATGAGATAGAAGGAGATTACATTTAGTGGCTGCAGGCACGTTTGTCTACCTTGTGAACTTGTTTGAAAAGCAAGGCAGAAAGGGAGAAAGAGATGGGAAGCAGTATAACCACATTGTGTCTCGAGTTTGCGGATTTGAGAGAGATACATAAATATATTCTTATTCTGATCATAGCAGATATTAAGTGGGTTTACCTTAGTTTAGATAAGCATTCATAACATACGAGTATCCATTTAAACTAAATTTCCTTCCACGAAAACAAAAGTCCGCCACCCAAATCCAGAAAACCAACTAATTATGCAATATGACATGTAAATTTATCGTTTTTTTTTCAGGGACATGGGATATAATTGAAGTGCCAGCCTATTTGAATGTGTATGATGGAAATCACACTGAAACGGACATTACGTTTTACATAACAATTCGAAGAAAAACACTCTTCTACACTGTAAATTTACTGCTCCCCACAATGTTAATTTCAACGGTAACTTATTGTTTCGACTTTCCTCCTTGTGCTTATGCAATTTAAAAAATACTACATAACGTTGCATGTGTTTCATTTATACAGCTCTGCGTCTTGGTTTTCTACTTGCCAGCTGAAGCAGGAGAGAAAGTGACTCTGGGTATATCTATCCTGCTTTCACTGGTTGTGTTCTTGTTGCTCGTGTAAGTAATAAAAGGTTGGCTCTTATTAGTTGATAGTTAAGAACTTGGAGAGTGCAGCGAATCTTCAGCACATAATTCATGAGCGAATTAATAACTTATTTTGCGTATTATATTTGTATCACCTCTTGCACATGGCATAATTACTTATTTTTGGATAAAGGTCCAAGATCCTTCCACCGACTTCCCTTGTTCTCCCGCTCATCGCCAAGTACCTCCTCTTCACCTTTATAATGAACACCTTCTCTATTTTGGTTACCGTTGTCATCATCAACTGGAACTTCCGAGGGCCACGAACCCATCGGATGCCCCATTGGATACGCGTGGTCTTTCTCAAATATCTCCCGGTTAGTCATATAATTTGACTTTTCCTTTCTTTCCTAACTAAAACTAACCCTTGGCTTGTCTTCAGATTTACCTATGTATGCGGCGACCCAGGAAGACCAGGCTCCGATGGATGATGGAAATGCCAGGTGCCGAAGTTCCGACGTTCGGAACTGCGGAGCGGGCCCCTCCGAATCCAGGCTTCCATATACCTCCAGACATCCCTGCCAAACACTCCTTAGGTATTTGACAGAATATTAAAACAGTGAAAACATGGCCAATGTGAAATGTTGATAACGAATATCGAAAGTTTAATGGCAATGTAATTGATCACACATGTAAAGCAAAATTAAATTAGAAGAAACGGTTCAAACTTCCAGCTCCACGAGCTAAAGTATGTAGTTCTGTCTAGTTTCCAAACTCCCTTTAGTCTCGTGTCGTTTGCGTGACACATTAATAGGAAAACTCATCCAGAGTAAGCAATCCTATGGTCCTCCCAGAATAGTGATGCTTAAAAGGGATAGTTATGACAGGACAGCTCGTACCCTTTATTTTAATGCTTACCCCCGTGTTTATACTCGTCATTTCATTTTCATTTAGTTTTAATTTCACTATAGCTTTCGCGTCATTTTCATCTTTGTAATTTATACTGTTTCACAGAAATTCATGAAACATTAATTTTTCGATCATTTCATTTTGCTTTCACAGCAACTAAAAATTAAAATCCTGAATTTGGAAGGAATCTTAATTGTTGCCCTAAACTACGGTTCAGAAAAGCAAAATAAAATAAAAATATTTAATATGTCACAAAATAAAACCTAGGATACATGATGTAACAAGTAAAAATAAAATAAACAAACCCTACAATGCAGCCTGATATAGTGCGACCATAGTTACAGTTGATTATAAAGAAATTAACGCCGTTTTCATTTTCCAAAGTTGAATCACTTTCAACTTTGGAAAACGGCGTGAAAATGAAACCAAAATGAAAGCAAAATGGAATGAACGCAACTATAAATTGCAATCATTTTGCTGTTGGCATGGCGTTAATTTTTCATGAAAGCAAAATGAAACCGAAAAAGTATAAATTGAGTTGATCGTGAAAGTGAAATTAAAATGACGCTAAAATGACGAGTATAAATTAGGCCTACCGTATTAAATCGAAATATAGAGAAAGTATACTATAAAATGGCAAATAGTTATTTGTATTTTTTCTAAGTCGTAGAAATAGCAGAAGAAACTCGTAGAAATTGCTTAGCTCTCTTCTGCATAGATTTCATGCATAGTTATTTACAAACAGTGTACAACAAACTGGCCCAAATTACTCTAGAGGGTTGTTTCTTGTACCGACAAGAGAATATTATTCAAACACTACAAATACCTTTCTTTCTGTACAAGAGTTATTAATCAACGTTTTACGCATGCCATTATTTGTTCAGTAAACCTCCGCTAACTAATTCTGGACCAAATTATTTTTACTTTGCTCCATAGAAGCCCTGGAGCTAGCTGACCTTCATCATCCTAACTGTAAGTTAGGGGCACACTACAAAAACGTAAGTTCATTGTGGACCATTGATGTTAGTGTAGAAATTAATAAATAGGAGTCGCACATGATATTCATGATACATACAAATTCTCAACAGGCTCAAGAGCGAGAGCGAGAGCGAAGGGAGAGTGAAAGCTCAGATTCCTTGCTACTAACTCCAGAAGCCTTCCGAGGTAAGAAATCTATGATTTTATTACAAAATTTTAATCACCAATTTAAAAAATAATAATTTTTGTTTCAAAATCTCCAGCGACGGAGGCCGTGGAATTTATTGCCGAGCATCTCAGAAATGAAGATGAGTACATCCAAGTAAGTGCCATCAAATTAATCGCATAATAAAACATGAATATATAAAAATTAATATCTAATCATGATTGTAAATAATATAATTACAGATTCGTGAAGACTGGAAATACGGTAATTTGTTTATGGACTAGAATACTTATTTATATAATATGTTCAGCAACAAAGTTAAGTATTTTTTTGATCGGTTAATACTGCATAATATTAATTTGAGACGAACCTTGTCGGTCAAGCTGATGACTTATTATTATTATTATTTATTAATCAAGCTCGCTTCTTTACAAAGCTCGTTATGCCTGACATATTCGTAGTTTACAGTACATACATTTGTTAAAAAACAGGTCATAAAATATAATAAATTGAAGAATATGATTATACCTATTACAATTAAGTGTCATATAAAGATTTCGTTATTGTGTACAATGAGTATAATTGGAATGTATTCAAGCCTTTAAAATGTGATTCTTTAATTTAGCTCTGAAAGTCTTCTTATCCGTGCAGTTTCTTATGTCTACCGGGAGAGTATTCCATGCACTAACAGGGTGAAAATGTATACTTCTCTCGCTAATTTTGTTTTTTGGACAGAAGTTACCTCTCAAATTAAGAGCAGATCTGGTTGGATATCTATAAAAAGTCATGCATTTTTTAATAAAACCTTCAAAAAATGGAATTTCGTTATTCTGTAGTGAATATAAAAAACATAGAGATTTATAATAATAGTTTTGTTTAGGTAACATCCATTTCAGTTCGTTCTGCATTATGATACAAATTGGTTCATAGCTTTTGCGACCTAAAATGAATCTTGCGACATGTCGCACACCTTTTTCAATTATTTTCAAACTTTTTGCACAAGAGGACCCCCATATTGCAATCATATAGTTTAAAAGTGAAATTAAGCATGCATTAAAAACCAATATGAGGTTCCTCTGCGTCATTAGAGGTTTCAGAGGATATATTGACCGTGCTACATAATGGAATTTTCGGGATAAAGAATTTATGTGGTTATACCAAGACATCTTTGAGTCCAAAATGAGCCCAAGACTTTTTATCTGGTCTTGGCTTACTATTTTGACCCCACCAATGTCAATGCTAATCTGACCTACTTTACTCAGATTTGAGGCACTACCAAATACAATTAATTGACTCTTTCCCAAATTTAGTTTCATGCCGTTACGTTCCATCCAGTCAACCACAGCAGTCAAATCAGTCGTCAATTTGTCAATAATCTCATTTATCTTACTAGGGTGACTTGTTTTGTGGGTTATATTTTTGTTTCCAAATAATTTACATATTAGCAACTGTCAGACGGAAAAAGTAGTAGAAGTGCCCATCAGACCTACGAACATGAAGTTAATTTCTCACAATTGTTGGCCAAAGTGGCCCATAATCTAACCCACTTTTCTTCTTGACCACTTTCGATCCTAATTTTACCCTCTTCTTTCTTTATACTTTTGCAATTGTTTATGCAGGAACGGATGACAAATTAATCAACTTTGTCTGTTTACACCAATTTACGGTTGAACCGAGTTTCAACAAAAAAATATACATACGCATGAATACAATGTACAGTCTCACTTACAAATTGCATTTTGTTGGTTTCAGTTGCAATGGTAATTGATCGGCTTCAACTTTGGATTTTCTTCCTAGTGACAGCCAGTGGGACTTTTGGCATTTTGTGCAATGCCCCCCACATATTCGAACCTGTCGATCAAGATAAAATTATTGAACTGTATCGTGGAAAATAACAGCGTCGAAACTTTTATTCCTTCCTTTTACACTTTGTAACAGTAAAACTTGTACTACTAATGCTCCCTCTTCCTCAGCCGTCTTGGGATTATACTGGCACATCAAAATTCTGACAAAATGCTCTTCACTGACGGTTTTATACGAGGTGAAGGAATCAGTGATAACTTATAATCCATGTGTCAACCCACATACATATTTATAACGCGTCACCAACATCCATTCATGGCCATGGACTGTATGACGGTCTACACTTTTGTATGTACTGTTACTCTGATGTAATAACGTGTTTAAATTGTCTTTTGGAATTAAAATCTTAATTCTCAGAGGTGAAAGCTTCTAGTAACAATACCCGCAACCTCTGTGTGCTGAATAATTTTGTCAATGTATGTCAAGGCGAGTTGTGTTTGTAATGCTCGAAAATGCTCAATGGTAGATTGATACTCTAAAAAGAAAGCAAAGGATCGAATAAGCCAGCGATAGATTAGGACAAAATCATACCACTTTAATACCAATATTACTTATTAATTATAAGTTGAACTAGTTTCTTGAAATCTTTAATAACATAATTAATTGATAAAATACATGATTTGGTCCTGGAATACCATGAAATTATGCAATTTATGTGTAACTATAAGTTAACGAATCAACCTAATTAATATTAATACTGCTATTTATACTATTGCAACAAAGAACCAGTGTCGAGTGCTAATATTGAGAACCCTCGTAAACTTAACAGTTTAATTGGTTAACATATGTATGTAGACGTTGTATAACATGCTGTAGTGAATACAAATCATTATTATTATGTCAACCTATCCGCAATTAGTTCGAGGAAAATATTGTGAATTATCCATTTACCCGTGATTACGAGTTGTAAAAACCTGTCGATTATGTATTTACTGGTGACACCAAACAGTTTAGTTGCACAAATACTGCACATTAAGATGCTTATTAATCTACCTTCCAAACCTGCTTCTGTGTATTATTGATCAGTCAATAATTGCAGTTTGACTCTCCAAAAGTTAGGTATTATTATTAGAGTGGCATTTAGTCGCCCCTTGTCTATTCTTAGCGTATGTAAATACCCAAAATTTAAAGTGTTTCAATTCAATGTCCTTCTGCTTTCCTTATCAGTCGACAAACTTGCTGGTGCTATTTTTCGTTTTCTTTTCACATTACTTACCATCACAGTTAATTCGGTGCTGTAAGATTGTTTTAACAATTTAAACACAACAACATGTAAAGAAAATCTGTTGGGAGACAAATAATAATACATCACTCCATCTACTGCTTTTGAATGTCTTAAATAGAATACGATACAATAGTTTGGATTAAAAAGTGTGACCGTGGTACTAACTAAATCAAGTAAACTAATCATAATAATATTTCACAAACTGCCGTTTTGTATATACCAATTGAACACTTATCCGTAACTAAACTAGCTCATGTATAGAAAACGCTAGTGGATAACATAACATAGAATAAGTGTAAGTACAGAAAATAGGTAACAAATAATAAACAACGTCGAACTTTTAGTTTAAACTAATTGTAAGTTAACGCGACTACGACGACGCGACGACTATGAATGGGTCAAATTTCTGCGTATTCCAATACACTTGATTGTGACCACACAACAAAAGCCGAAATAATTGAGCGTGATTGGATTGGAAATACTTAATAAATGTTCATTGCATGTTTTTATACAAAGGTATGTACATGCTACTACATTACACTATACCTACACGTAAGTGATACGGATAATAAGAACTTTGCTATTGATAAACGTATTGTTTTAATTCTTGCAAGTATTTTTAAGAGTGAGACTAGGATATACAAACAGTCGGATGAGATCCATACATGCAATGCTGAATATTTATTGTATTATTCCTAATTTATAATTCGGATAAAAACGTAACACGACAACCACGACTTTCACCACGAGTGGGTTGTCTCGACGGATGTTACATCTCCAACAATCGAATTACTTAATACAATACTCTAGACGACTCTGTTGATAAATAATTCTGGCAAAATAAACAGTTGAAGAGTGGATGAAATTTCTGTACGCATAAGTATGTATGTACTTCTACATACCCAATACTACTCCTACAACATTGTACATTAATAAAAGATTAATGAACGTAGAGAAACACGATTTAAGGTGATATTATACTGAACGCCGTGGCGGTACCACTTTTGTGCTACTACACTGCATGTACAGTTAATAGGTCATTGGAGAGGCTCTCGTACACTACAAGCCCGTGTACTTACATTAGTATTATTACAACATACACGCAGAGATACTTATGTACTTCGGTTAACTTAATAAACAAACTGTTGAGACTTAAAACAAACACGACAAGGCATACATTTCCAGAGGTTCCTCATTTCTTCGAATTGCACGTCACTACCAAAACGCATAGAGTCTCATCTCACGCAAATCACAGAACTACAACTTTTCCATGAAGCGTAATGGAAGCCCATTATTTTGTGCCTGCAAATCATATTTCAACATTATGGAAGAGTTTTGAGCAATTAGAGGATTTAATACAACACAAAATAGGGTTGGTATTGACCATTTGCACAAAGACGAATGATACAAATTATAACAATCCCCATCTCATCTTCCCCCTCATCTGTGTCTCTGCTCTCATTCTTACCGTACGAGTAGTTTAGCTCGCATTTGCGAACCACTTTTATAAGCCCGGCCAATCTCAACCTGCCCCCATTGTGCGGGGAGAAAATCTCGTCCAAAAAAGCAGATACACATCAAGTGGCTATTCTTTAGCTGATTACCGTGGCGTAGTCGTAGTATTTCTTACGAGAAGCTCCACAACCACAGTTAATTGCCCAAACGCAAAACCAAATAGCTGATGAAGGAGGGTCGATGAGACTTTAATTTCCAAATGAAAATCGTGATCGTTTCAATAAATCCATATTTATATACATATACATACATACCAACCAAGAGAGCAATCATGATTGATTTTAACAACAATAACGAGACGCATGATTCGTAAAATCGCCATTGGATTTACTAATATAAGTCTTTGTGTACATTTTTTCATTATGGTGATTATGTCAAAATTATATTTCCCCATTCAATGCACTTTATCACCGTCGAACTTAATACACAGTTCTTATTGTCTTTTTGTTGTGAATCACAATAAAGTTGTGTTGTTGCCGTGTATATGTACGTTAACGTTAGTCCTTTCATCTTAAGACATGATTTGTGATACTTCTGGAATTTCTGCTTGAATACGTAGGCAACAGATATATGGACTCATATACACATATGTCATTTCTCTTTTTGATCATAAAGTCAATAGGTATTGACCAAACTCCTCGGAAATTATATGGTGGAAAGTGTGTCAAGAGAAATTATCCAGCTTCTGAAGTTGTGATAGCTTCGCGAGGGCAGGTATCCAGGAATGTCAGGAATAATAAACAGTCAGTCTCCTCAGTCCGTAAAGAAAGTGAACATTATAATTGGCTTTTCATACATAAATTTGTGTAGAATGCAATTTCGTATTATTGTCATAAATTTAAAGTCAGAGTAAAGACGTTTCTGCTTGTAAAATGCATCGCTGTACGCACTACAGTGATTACTACCCCACCCCTTTACAATACCAATATCGCTATTTCTACCCATCCCCAGTCTTGCCTGCCGTAAGGACGGTAATATCTTGAAGCTAATAAAACTACAATTAAAATTATGTAGGTGTGGACAATTATATTTCGTACCTGATTTTAGATTGCTTCATCTCGTGTTCACACTTGTGGTGTTCATACAATGCAACATGGTTGTAATTTGTGGAATAAAATCGGGTCTAGATTCTCCTGTCCAGAATTGGATCCCAGTAATGTCAGAGATCACTCATTCAAAAAAATGTTTCCTTGGCGTGTGACCCCCAGTGCTGACATCCTTAAAGATTCGTCCTTTTAGTAAGCATTAGTATTTTGTAGCTACTCGTATATTAAGTATGGTTATATTTGTATCCATACTCCATCATTTTATGGCGACTATTATACCATCGCCTCATGCTCATAATTGAAATAGTGTCAGGAAGGATCAATATTAAATACAAAATTTAACAATGGTTTCAGTACTGGGAAAGGGATAACTTATAGATGTGGAAGTTCAAGGGAAATGAGTAATGACTTGCAATCATTGGAAAAGTTTCCAAATTTAGTGAAGTCATCCAATATTTGTGCATCTCATGCAAGCCAAAGCTACACGTTGCCAGGAATAAAGTAAGATTTGATATGCAAATTCGCTTAAAAATGTCTGTTGACTATGATACATACTTTACCACAAATATTACTTGACTAGAATAGATTTTTATTCAGCTAAACTCATTTAAAGAACCTCTCGGAATATTTGCACTAAATTTAACTGAACTAACTAGCGTCGATTTTGCCTATTTTTTGACATTAAATCTTTGAAGTGTTTACTCTCTTTTTCATGCTTATAGATATATGAGATTTATTACAAAAGCAACAACTAATATATTAAAATCCAACTAATAGCAAATTGTAGGAAAATTATGCGTAGCCCGAAGTTCGTAGGTCGGAAAAATATCTGCATACTTACAGATACTAAATCAAATGCAATTTCACTATTCAAATCAAGTTAATGCGCCATGACTACAATTCTTTTAGTCACTGTCACAATTAATAGTAGATATTTCAATAATAATTTAACATTCAGTAACATTGAATACTTTCAACTTGGTACATACCAGTGAGCTTTGGTGACAGTTAAAATAGTAGAGTTTTGCATTTATAATCTACAGAGTTTCTCCCGGAGAGTGGCGGATCAACAACCATCAACTTACTTCTGGGGCCGAGTACGCTCATAATGCTGCAATAATGATGAGAACAGAAGCTCAAGGTTGTATAGAAGAGGCTGAGAAGGAGCAAGTACGTCGACTAACTGACACAAACAAGGATATCGATGACCGACTCAAAGATATCGACACTTGGGTGAATAATGAGAAGGACGAGCTAAAATTCAATGTTAACCAAGCTCATGAGTTGTTAGAGTTAAAAGAGCGATTGGAGGTTATGATGAAGGTACTAAGGCCCACAAAATATATAAATGTAGCACTTGTCTAAATAGTAGTTGTAATTACCTAATTGCGTACAGAACATTGAAACGCCACTAGAAATTTCGCAAGAGAACGTTCTTGCAAGAGAAAGTAGGCAAGGTGCAGAGTTGGTACACGATGCGGTTGAAGAGTCACTGCTAAAAGAGGTAAATTATACATATGTATATGTAATTTATGCATAAGAACTACGAGAAAGATGTTCATATTTCCCTGGCTGCTATCATCCACATTTCATCTGATGGACTTTTGTGCCATTTATTGTGGATAGATTGAAACAATGCGGAGAAATCAGGATAAGTTGATGGACGAAATGAATCGACTAAACCAGCAACTGACCCGACTACGAGCAGCTCGTCATGAGATTGAGATGGACATACGGAATAAGGAGGATGCTCGCAAGACCGATGTATGCATTTACACGAACCTAATTTTATAAATAATATCTAAATCCATATTTACATAAATCCGTACAGGAGTGTGTGAGATTATTGAGCAAACTTTCTAATGAAATTGGAGGAACAGAAGTCATCAATGGATTATTGACGTAACTACACTATTTTTTACACAAGACTGTTAATTTTAATACTTTGGTATGCAGTTTAAAATATTTTTGCTCGTGTACAGAAATAGTTCCCCAACCACTTGGATACTAAACAGTCAAAATTTAATTCAGAAATCAGTGGAAGAGAGAAACATGTCTCAAGTTCTGTACACGGAAGTAATTCGCACCATGCTGGGTTGCGCAGACGAAACATTCAACGTGTGGTATGAAACTAACTCAAGTTTCAACACCAGAGTTTCTGAGATCATTACAGCCAAGCAGCAATTAGAAAAGCAACTGGTGAAGATCACGCAAGACATTGAAAGCGTCAACAAGCACATGATCAAAGTGAAGAATGCATTAGATGAAAAATTACCACAGCTGAAGGTTTTTATTTATATAATCATCAGTTTTTCGCATCATAACTCACCATTAAATAAAATTGGCGAATAATAATTTTCAGCTAGCAACAGCAAGACTGGATAAGCGCAAACAGCGTCCAGGAATTGAACTTTGTCACGATAAAGTGATGCTTGCTTTGTACAGAGAGATTTACGCGTTGAAACATGCCGTTGACATGCTCAGTTCCAAATTACACGACTTGGTTTTGAAAATTACTTCTTTAAATAAAAATAAAAATAAATAACAAGGTAGCTAATCCATGTTTTTTTTAATTGAAGGAAACTGCAATGGATCAACTTATGCGAACCAAAGGGACTTTGGAACACGACATCAAGCTCAAAGATGTGGCGTTGTTTGTTGACCGTGAAAAATGCTTATCTTATCGTCACAATTTTCCAATTTCAACTTTTAAGGAAACAAGATATTCAACAAAGAGGTTGACTAATTCAAATGGAATAATCGCATAAAAATAAAACTCGTAGAACTTTTACGGGTAGAAGTAAATAAGTACATAAACGCAATAGAATTCGTAACTCCTACAAATATACAATTATACCGTTGAGATTCGAATAATCGCTACAATATCCATTTCTCATTTGCTCATAAAATAAATTTCAATTAAATAAAGTTTGCAAAATAAAATCTACCATACGTATCGCAGTATAAAAAGTTATAATCCAATATGTTTGCACAATTCTGCATACAGATAAACCTTAGTAGCACCATTACGCCTACATATGCCACAACCGTTGCTTATCTTATCTTATCAGTTAAGGATGATAATTGGCATTTTCATTAACTAAATGGCGTATGTGCAGAATCCCAATAGATGTTTTTGCCCTTGTGTATCAAACTGTTCGCGTCATAATTACATACATTACATATAAATATTTGTGTGTATGTGAGTCATTTTTCGGCTTGACTGATTGAAAGGAGGAGAAAATTAGTTTTTTTACTGAATAATAATTCTAATACCACCAGCAGAATGTCTGCCGTAATAGTGGTCATTGTTCTCGTAGTTATATTTGTTGCCGTCGGGGTTGGCGTAATTTGTACATGGTCATGGTGGAAACGGGTACGAAACAACGTTACAAGTCTTTGTTACCTTTTTTCCTTAGACAAGGAGAGTATTTAGTATTATTGATGTATGCAAATATTTCGTACACGTTATTAGTGGCTGAATCGTTGTTTGTCAAATGGCGATTCACCTCCAGATGCGAGATGGGAACCAGGTCCACCAACTTTTGAACAATTGGACCCTACGGCTCTGGACAGGTCACAAAGAAATCGAGACGGGTCAGTGATCATCGACCCCTTGCCCAATTTGAGAGATTTGAATATTGATCCACGAGAAAGTTTTGAACTGAGGCGAACTAAATTTCCCCAAGGAATCATTCCAATTGGTGGAGAATCTAGTGTCCATGCTCATGATTGGTTTCGTAAGTTTGTCAAATATTACAAATGACTAATCGAAACTGTTAATCTAGATTGTATATCTATAATATTTACATTGTGTTTGATTTTCATTACATTATGCAGATCCTCCGTACGAAAGCTTTCCAAAGGAAAACTTGGAATATATCAAAGTCATTGGTAAAGGTTGGTTTGGTAAAGTTATTGAGACTGACGCAAAAAATATTTCCCCAATGACAAAATCAAAGAAAGTCATTGTGAAGCAATTACGAGACGATGCGAATGACCATGAGCAGATGCGTAAGTTATTAATGATAGTGTTCTTATCAAATAAAATGATTAAGGAAATCAGACATAAATTAAATAAAAAATATTTGGTTCTATACATGTTTAATTCCATTTAAATCATTCCTTTAGGATTCCTCAATCAATGTCGTGCTTACAGGGATTCCAACCACGGAAATGTTTTAAAGCTATTAGGTTTCTCAGTTGATAACCTGCCATATCTTGCAATTTTTGAATATTGGCCCTTAGGAGATCTCAAGTCATATTTAAGTGCAAAGAGGAAATGCAACGAAGCAGAATCAATGATTCAACATGGAGTTATTGGAAGGATGGCAATAGGCAATTCATTTAAATTACAAAATCTTGAATTTCCCATATGCGAATTATGGGAGCCACATATTTAAGTAATATTTGTAAAAGACTTTTAATCTATTTACAGATATTGCAAAGGCAATGGAATACCTTTTTGCTCTTCATTTTGTTCATGAAGACTTATCAGGTGACTTAATATGTACCTAAATGCGTACAGTTTACTTATATACTAACGATGTAATAAAACAAAACCCTAAAGAGCTATTGAAAAATTTCCAGCTCGGAATTGCATGGTGGGAAATGTGGCAGGGAGAATAATCTTGGGTGACAATTATGGCCTAGCCCCCAGCGCATTCCCCAGGGATTACTATAAAATTTCGAACATGGCAATTCCCATTCGATGGGTTAGTCACTTCTGATTATTTGTACTTACTAATATTATCATCATATCATGCAAGTGCATAGTGTCATTGGGCGAAATCTTTGTTAAATTAATTTAGGCTGCCCCTGAAGCATTCGAATTCAAAGAGGGAACATGTACCCCACTGCAGGTGTGCAAACATCTTTCTTAATACAGTTATTTGGTGTACATATAAATCACTGAAATTTTAAACACCTTAATCAGATAACACAAGCAGCAAATATCTGGTCATACGCTGTTGTGCTGTTTGAGTTGTACAGCTTTTCGAAGATGCCATATTTGGAGATGAGTGACGAGGAGGTGATTCGAGGGGTTCTGGTCAACAAATCCTACCTGTAATTAACTAGTGTTTCTTACTACGATTTTGTGTATGGATACTTTCACCACTTTCACTTTTCTGTCATGCATTATCTCTATTTTAGGATGGAGCCTCCAAATTTCCCCTTCGTAAATGACTCCACGAAGGATCGTTTGTACAAACTCATGCTCTCCTGTTGGAACAGAATCCCCGAAAATCGGCCCACAATCCACCAAGTTCTTGAAATCATGTCCACACCCTAGAATCTAGTTGAACATATCTAATCACTATCTATATATATCTAATCTTTGACTTGAGTACAATGCAATAATAATTATTTAAAACCATTGATTAACTTCAAGTTGCATTATTCATGTTTACAGTAGTTTGCATGCAATAGTTCATTTGATGGATAGAAATGCCATCATAGAATTGCGAGGTAGAGAGACAATGAGTTGGGCCAAGTGACGAGGAAAGTGAGACTGCTGGATTGTGACGATTTCATCTCCGGAGGCGGATTTCACAACAACATCGGGAATGACTGGATCGATTCGTTGAACAACACACAAAAGGAGAGCTAAGTACGAGTAAATATGTCGTCGACGTCGTTGTTCGATTTGTTGCGTCGTCATCCTATTAACTTAACTATATTTGAACAAACTGGACTCTCGCACGATTAAGTAAATCTTTATAAACGTCAATAGTAGCCGTTATTGCGGCGTGTTTGGTTTATTTGTTTCATTGTTGCAATTTCACCCTCGACCCGACCGGCTGATCACCCAAATCACAAGGCCGGCCTATCGATTTTGTTGATTACCTAATGTAAGATAGACTTATCATGTTTGATATATGGAGTAAATATTCTTTAATAGTATTATTTTGTCCATCCTCAGAACCAAGACCCAAGATGAAGTTTGAGCTGAATGAATTTTGTCCACCAAACGAGACACTGCTTCCCCACTTCTTGTCAGACAAGGGCGTGTCGCCATGTTTCACAGAGACGGTCATTTCCTCAGCCAGCGTCCTCTACATGCTTCTTTTTGGCTCCATGCAACTATTGTTGTATAAAAGATATGCTACCCCCGTTCAACACTACGCCCTTCCATTTTCACAGTTGTATGGATTACAGGTGATATTTTTTTAATGAAGCACAACAGAATGGAATGCTATCTTTATGCTTTGTTCATGATATCTAATATGTAAATATGTTAATTCGGTTTGATAATAATATGTAGATGATACTAAATGGAACATTGCCGATCGTTTGCCTGTTGACCCTGCTCATCGAACTCTTTGTGTTTAAACCGGGTTTGTAACAGAAATAAAATGCATTGTATTAGTCAAAAAGGAAAATAATGGGTGTGTATTTCCAGGTATAATGTATGGTTACATGATTCTACTAATTCTGCAAGCACTGATAGCGTGGCCAATTGCGGTAGTTCTCATCGTTTGGGAACGAAAGTATATGTTGCCAACTCCGCCATCCCGAGGTCATGGAATTATTCTGCTCGTCTTTTGGACAGGAATGTTCTCTTTTCAAAACTTGGAACTTCTCAACATTCGAAATCAGGAGTGGTTTTTCAAATTCAAAGATTTTCAAGATATCATCTACTTTACACTCTTCTTAATTCGATATATGTGTACTGGCGGAGTCTTTTTATTGGGACTGAAAGCACCAGGCATCCCTTCTATCAGACATAGTGAAAGTTTCGCAAGACTGCATCCTGATGGTGAAGAAGATGATGGAGGAAACAGGGATAGACCAAATTCTAGTCAAGGGTCACCATTTCGAAATATTTGGAACAAACTAAAAATGCTGAGCCCCTTCATTTGGCCCTCTAAAAGCCCACTCTTGCAGTTTTATGTCATCGTTTCGGTTGGACTATTAATTTTTGGAAGACTTACAAACGTTTTTGTTCCCTTGTACAGCAAAAAGATTGGTGAGTGAAACATAAATTACGTGCAGCTACATAATAATACGTATATATGATGAAAAATGTTTTTAATAATCTGGTTGTTTGATGGGAGGATGATAATGTCCATATCTTATTTTATTTAGTCGACAGTATGACCATTCTTACAAATTCATCCAAGGCAGATTGGCAGGACTTTTCAGTGTCAGCCGGCTCCATGTCGTTGGCATTCAGATGGGACTATGTACTTATATATGTGGGACTAAAGGTCGTTCAAGGTGGTGGTGCTGGGGGTACAGGCTTGCTGAATAATCTCCGCAGTCTTTTGTGGATAAGTGTAGAGCAATTTACTACACGTGAAGTTCAGGTAAGCATATGAAACTGATTCAATTATTTGAGCAACTGTTGATATAAGAAACATATCTTGTGTAATGTCCTTTTATGATAATAGGTCAAGTTTTTTGAACATTTGCATCAACTTAGTCTGAGGTGGCACCTTCAGAGAAAGACGGGGGAAGTTCTGCGAGCCATGGTAAGAACCTACGTATTGTATATGCATAAAACTACAAAATTGGTCTAATATAATTATGTTTATACAGAGTTGTTTTAAATACCTCAAAAGTATTTAAATACTTAATTTCTAAATACTTGACTACTTGAGTGGTATTTAAGTATTAAATACTTAAATAACTGAGTTTGTTTTAAATATTTAAATACTAAATACTTAAATACTCGAATTTTGACAAGGTATTTAAATACTCAATTACTCAAATACCTGAATATATCTGAAGTATTTGAGTATCGGTTATTTAAATACTCTTTAAATAGTATTTAAATAGTGGTAGCATCTGAATTACCAACTCTTAGTAGTTTAGATCTATACTCTCAAGTGGAATCGTCAACAAACAAAATGAGTGCTTGTGAATGAATGAATGAATAAACGAACAAAATGAACGTTTGTGAAAATTAGATTAAGACAAGATATGTGGAATTAATAATTTGTATTACAAGCTGAAAATGAGTAACCAATGTGAAGAAGCTTAAAAAAGATAAAACAAATGATTTCTTTAAATTTTCAATTTAACTATAATTTTCACGCATGTTTGATTAATTTTCAAATATTATAAAACACGGGCTGTAATAATCTGCTTGATTTTGCCCTAATAAAATTAATCTATACCTCAGAACACCAAATGAATGCTAAGAATTCGGTAATTATCAACGTCTAAATTCCGAGTTTTGCATCATGTTAAAAAAATTAGTATTTAAATAATTAATTTTTAAATACCTGCAGTATTTAAAGTATTTAAATACTAATTAGTTAAATACATTTTATACGCTCAGGTATTTAAATAATAAATAATAAATACTTTAAATTCAGTATTTAGATTTTAAATAATAAATAATAAATACCCAAAACCGGTAATTAAATACTGATCTTAAATACCGAAGTATTTAAATACAACAACTCTGTGTTTATATGCAATCTATAGGACAGAGGGACAGATAGCATCAACAATATACTAAACTACCTGTTGTTCAGTATTCTACCGACCATAGCGGACATCATCATTGCGATTGTTTATTTCACAATGTTCTTCAACTGGTGGTTTGGACTCATTGTTTTTATAACTATGGTCTTGTATCTTATCTGCACCTTTGCTGTAACGGAATGGAGAACAAAATTTCGACGTACAATGAATCAAGCTGATAATGAGCAACGACAACAAGCAATTGACTCGTTGTTGAATTTCGAAACCGTAAAATACTACGCAAATGAGAAATATGAAACCGATCGTTACGCATCTTCAATTATAAAATACCAAAAAGAAGAGTGGAAAGTTACCGCTAGCGTCGCTTTTCTTAATTTTTTGCAACTAATCATCATAAATATTGGATTACTAATCGGTTCACTTTTGTGCATTAAGCTCGTTGTGAATCATGAAGGTTTGACGGTCGGCGACTACGTAATGTTTACGGCTTACTTAATGCAATTGTATGCCCCTTTAAACTACTTTGGCACATACTACAGGTTATTTATTATTTTACTAAATACGTGTATAATCAATTTAAAAGTTTTGACAGCGGCTGTCTGACTGTGATTTCAGGATGCTCCAGAAATGTTTTATCGACATGGAAAACATGCTGGATCTATTTAAAGAGACTGCAGAAGTGAATGATATCCCAGAAGCCAAGAATCTAATGATCAGCAATGGAATGATTGAATTCAGAAATGTGTCCTTCAACTACGTCCCAGAGAAGTCTGTTCTCACAAATATTAATTTTGTTGTTCCTGCCGGTCAATCAGTTGCCCTCGTTGGACCTTCCGGCGGAGGCAAATCTACTATCGTTAGACTACTATTCCGATTCTACGATCCTTCTGAAGGTGATATTTTAATTGACGGACAAAATATTAAGCTCGTCACCCAAACATCTTTAAGAAAAGCTATTGGAGTGGTTCCGCAAGACACAGTGTTATTCAATGATACAATCAAGTTTGTGACAAACATATACATATGCACATACATAATGAGAAACTTTATCATTTCATTGTCTGGTTTCTTAACACGTAATAGGTACAATATTCTTTATGGGAAAATTGGTGCTGAAGAAGAACTGGTATTTAAGGCAGCAGAAGGAGCTTGCATTCACGAGAAGATAATGTCATTTCCTGATAGATACGATACCAAGGTATGCTTATTTGATTTCATTAAATAATTAGTAATGAGTAATTTGAATAACTTATGCCGTTTGCATACAGGTTGGAGAGAGGGGTTTAAAACTTAGTGGAGGGGAGAAACAGGTACATATGTACAAGGACTTTTAAGGCTAGATTTTCATACTAGAAATTTTTTTGTATCGTTGACCGTATATTTAATCCCATTTATAGCGCGTTGCAATCGCTCGTACAATTCTTAAGAATCCATCAATCAATCTGCTCGATGAAGCAACTTCATCCCTTGATACGCAAACAGAACGCCAAATTCAATCTTCCATTCAACTTGTATGCGCAAATAAAACTTCAGTGATTGTGGCTCATAGATTGTCCACGATCGTCAACTGCAATCAAATTCTTGTCATAAAAGATGGTAGAATTGCTGAGGGAGGAACGTAAGGATCCATAAGAATTTTATATTCACGTATTTTTCGTATGTTATGAAGGAGGCATTCTTCTCACTATTTTTTGTTTGTTTAATCCACTAGTCATGATGACCTGTTGTCACAAAATGGGGTATATACAAGCATGTGGAATGACCAATCCAAACAAGATACAGGTGACACTGTGGTGCCAACGGATCTCTCCGATTTTAATGCCAACTCATCCACCGTTATCGACTCTACAATTTCCACATAACTCGTGTTTTCTTTTTAAATGACTCCTATAGTCAAATCGATATTATTTTATTTCTTTATAGTATTTGAACTTTATTAGGATCTATGTACAAGAATTATTATTATTAGTTATTATGATTAGCATGTGATAAAGAATATATGCATCTCAAACTTTCCAGTCTTAACACGGACATTTTTTTAATGGATATTCGATGATGAATATCTTTTTTCTGGTATATGCTGGTCCACTTTCCTTGAATTTAAAGTCTAAACCAAAGACACTGTTTTAAATATTTTTTTTTGCAGCTTGCTAACATTGCTATATGATAAGTTATGTACCTTGAAGTGTCATTTCATGTATGCCAATTTCATAAACTCTCGCCATTTAGTCAAAGCTGTCCAATTCATCCACAACTCCGTAGATATTTTGTCGACCGTACTGATTGGTGTACATTTCTGTTGGGGACATGTAGTCTTCTGGAATAATCTGTTGCGGCTGATGACGTTCGTGACCTTGTCCAACGAGGACGTTCTTTATGTTAATCAACATCATGATGCTCTGAATGACCATCTGCCCCATACTCCACACTGACAAAAATTTGGTACACTGGAAAGCTATATCTGCAATCCTATAATTTCCAAGAAGGGTGAAACTAACTCCGGCGCATATTGCAGTGATGGTGCCTATGTTGCAAAACTTTTTGTAAACTCCTCTGCGAAATTTCTCCCTATTTTTCCACATGGGTGGAGATGTGAGTAGGTGGTTTTGCATTCTGGTACATCCAATGACCCCACCGAGTACCGAGTACGACAATGTACAATAATTTACCTTGTTTTTATTCAGCATTTATTTGTCAATCATCAGCAATAATGCAGCAATGGCACGATTACTACTAAGGGAACCAAGCGTTACGTATAGTTAAAAGTTTATGATTTATACAACCTAACGTATGCCCTTGCCCATGGCTGAAGTAATATTGGTCGTTTACGTATAAAATACATTGATAAATAAATAGAATTGTCGTACGAGCACCGACCGAGATCGTCCATGGAAAGAACGTCCCATCATTGTGCTTGGTACTTTTGTTTTGAGCTGGTCGGAAGTGGGGAAGAACGCTGGCGACGGTTGTGGGCGGAGTGCGGAGCCTCAACCCCCACTTGGTCGCCCAACGTGACGGCGGAAATAGCCAACGGTTCTTCCCCGACCGCCAGACCCAGCAGTTCAGTGCTGTTCCGTTTAGCTGTTTTATATTATAAGGGAAAACAGTTAACCAAAACCCTTGTGGATAAGAAGGTTAGGTTAGTCATCACGGGAGAAGGACACGAGTTCCTTCTTACGTGGTGGGAACAACACTGTTGAAGCAGAATTCTTCTGCCCGGCAAGAAATTTGATACGATGCATGGTGATGATGGTTTTCTCATCTGAATCCGTGCTTCTCGTTGTTAGTCGTGAATACTTTAAATTTTAAAGCTACAAAAATAAATTTGTTAGACAAATTAGACAAGATTTTTGTATATTTGTTGTAAAAACTCGCCGGTAATTTATATTGAAGAGATACAAATGCAGTAGATATATTCAAATCTATGTAAATTTAATTGTATGCATTTTTATGCTCTTCATCCTTCTAGTACGGTTAAGCCTGGTCCAAGATGCCATTTAGCAAGAATAGCCAAATACACCCTTGGGGCAAGCCTCCTTTCTCCATGAAATCTTCAACGCCCAACCGCATATGTGTGCTAATGATTTAGCACATACATTACATTACCTGAAAACCAATTCTTGTATATATCACAAAATAGCGTACGTGTTCGCTGGGTTCAATAGACAGCATATGAACAGTAGGTAGTAAGACAGTGTGTCGTATATAAAATGTACTGTAGTGTGAATCCTTACATTTCTCTGTAAAGTTCAATGTATTATGGAATCTTACAATTTTAACAGAATTTGCTTTCTGCAGTTTGTTGGCTCTCCCATACAAACAACGGCTTTAAAAACGTGTCTCTCAAGGGATTGATGAAATGACCATGCATGAATCTATGAAAGCTTTTTTACTACATAAAAGCAGGCTTCACTACTATGTTCTATTAAAAGGTACATAATATTCCGTCAAAAAAATTGGTTCAATTCTTGTTGGGGGAACTATATCGCCCACACTTGGCCACATCCCTCACATCCCTCTTCACATTTTTTATTTAAAAGAAAGTCTTAAAAATTGCCATCACCTGAAGTACAGATCATTCCCACAGATTCATCATTGTCAAATTTTGTAGACGGAAACAGAGTGAAGATTTGAAGAAGGCAAGTTTTCTGCACGCTGCTGGTTGCATTAAGATATATGTACGATGATCATCAAAAAGAGTTGTTTTTATAACATCAAGCGTTTAAGCTGAACAGGTTTTTGACTTTTAGACCTTGGCTGGATATTGACCGGAACGGGTTTCTTCGCATACATTTTCTTCCATATTTCCAGACATTTGTAAGAAGATAGAAATTTACAACAGTTTACGTGCAGCACAATATAGTTTTAATTTATTTTCTCAGCACTACATTTCTGTGGCTATTATCTATTGTTTGAGTTTGCATTTATTTGACAATCATTTTACAATGAAATCATACGCAATACGACTTGTATTCATCTTGTGCATATGCTGCAGTACAAGTGCTCAAAACTCAGTGGAAACGGTGCTAAAGTATAATGGTGATCAATTCAAGAAGGAAGTTCCTAATAAGCCGCATTTTATATTCTATTTTGTCCCGTGGTAAGAGATCATGTGATGTCGAATAACTGCAGGCGTGTGTAAATATCTAGATAAATACATTACGGGCAATAAATTTGTTAATCTGTAGGTCTGGAGAATCCAAAAATATTGCCGGAATCTGGGAGGAATTGGCATTCAAGTTTAATAAAAAACCAGACTCTGAAGTAGTTGTGGCAAAGGTCGACTGTCAAGCTGAAAGTGACCTATGTGCTTATCAAGACATTTCCGATTACCCAACAATCAAATTCTATCGACCGGGTGCGGATCCGATGGGTGTGCGTTATCGGGGAGTAGAAGACTTGAACTCGGTTGAGCAGTTTATGAACAGAAATTTGGGGAATAACGCTGAGGTGAGACAGTACAATGTACATTGTACGTATACACATAATTTGTATGTATCTGCCTGTCAAACATGCATGCATTTCCATATTTGTTAAAATCTTAAATTATGTTAATGTGCATGTAGTTTGTATTTGGAGCACGGGTACCTATGATTCCTGAACCTGATGGTGGTAGGTATTATGCATTCTAATATCATCAAAGTACTTATTCATGGTATATTGGATCAATAGGTTTACATTGGTTGCAAGATGAGAACTTTGATGAAGCGATGGGATCAGGTAGCTTTTAATATACGACTTGTTAAATATAAATACTAAAAGTGGTTGTTTTTATTAAGTCTCCAAAGCATTTGTGAAATTTTGCACGCCATGGTCGTCGAAGTGCATGGATTTAGATCCAATTTGGAAAGAAATTGCCAAGCATTTTAGGTATTACTTTACTCGCAAAACCTATTTAAGACCATCTGAATTTGAGCATCGCTTAATTTTGTTCTAGATTTGAAGATGACTTTATCTTGGGACAAGTGGTAAGTTATAGATAGCGTTTAGCTATACTTACGTAGAGTTAATTTATTTTTTATAAATTCATTTTAAGTGTCGACTAAAAATTGTTTATTTATTCAGGACTGCAGTATGAGTAAAAGGTACGTCTTTTTCTTTTCAAAGTTCCTCCCTGGTGAAAGCATCGTTTGCATATATTTGCGCTTTTCGTTGACCATCGTTGTTTGGTTTGCATTAAAAAAATGAGCACTAATTACATTTTTATGACAGCACCTGCAATGAAAACGAGGTTAGGGGTTATCCGACCTTGCTGTGGCTGCAGGATGGAATTGTGGTACTTTAAACTTTAATAGATGAAATTATCAGAGACTGGCGGATTAAAGATATTGGGATTAAGGATTGAGATTGAGGATTAAATTTAAAATCTTGGGATTGAGATTGGGGATTAAGGATTAATTTTCCAAATTTTGGGATTAAGGATTGGGATTAGGGATTGAATTTAATCTGGGATTAGGATTGACACGGGATTAAATTTAATCTGGGATTGGGATTAACACGGGATTAAATTTAGGGTTTACCTGGTTTGGAAATTAATTTACATAGTCGTGGATTAATTGTTTGCATTATTATGCCAGATTTTTAAATTAATTAAACAAATCTCTGAACTTCTGAAAATGGAATATTTTGATCATTTTGCATACAAAATTAGATGGCTTACGAATACAATTTCTAAGTCATAATTAAATATTTTTTGTGCTAAAAATTATATAGGGGAAGAATTCTAATTTTATTCTTGGTACTATTTTAACGAACAGCATCGATCATAGTTTGGTCAGAGTACTCACATTTCTTTATAAGCTCACACAAAATTTGAACATTGCACATTGAGGATACCACGATACGAGTAGTTTTGCAAAATATTTTGGAGTATTTTTAAATGTTTGATAAAAATGAACGAAATGCAATCAATTTTCGAAAGGGGAGCGATCTCAAGAGAAGTTTGCTTTTTGAGTTTTTAGTGAATGCAAATTTAATCCCACTTTAATCCCATTTTAATCCCACTTTTGGATTAAAGTTGACAGATTTGGATTGGGGATTAGGGATTAAGGATTAAAATTCAAAAACTCGGGATTAAGGATTGAGATTAAGGATTAATTAATCCCCAATCCCAATCTCAATCCCCAATCCTTAATCCGGGATTGACCAGTCTCTGGAAATTATCATATATTTTACATATATCAAATCAGTTTATGTGTGACATTAATTTTAGGTGGAAAAGTATGAATCCAAAGACAGATCGGTGGAGACATTGAAGAAATATTTGTTAGAAAAACTAGGAAGAGAGGAAGTGAGAAGGCTTCCAGTGGGTTACGAAGAGGAAAAGGACCCTACGGTTAGGTTCAAGTGTTAAGACGGACATGGTTCATTTGTTTTGACCTTTATAAAGTATATGATTTCCGTTATAGGACGTCGTTGGTTTATCAAAAGACGAATTTTATGAAACTTTGAAAGGCCCAAAGTTGGTTTTCGTGCAATATTGGACGGCGTGGTGCTCAGATTGCTTGGCGATGGATACTGCATGGGAAACATTGGCTGCAAATTACAATGAAAAGAATTCCAAAATAATTATTGCGACGGTCGACTGTGTTTTGGATAAAGCAATTTGTGACGAACAGAAGGTATTTTTTCTAATTAAGAGTAATTTAGATAAATAAATTGTGAATAAGAGTTATTCATAAATAAATATTTGTGTTCCTAATTTTAGGTCGTGGACTTTCCAACCTTGAATTTATACCAAAATGGAAAGCTTGTATCTACATATACTGGAAATCATGAAGTTAAGGATATGACACTGTTCGTGGATATTGCCATCAAAGCAAAACAAGAACTATGAATTCAATTTAAAAGTTAACAAGAGACGTATTACTGAATGATAATTTATTTCCTTTATTTTCCTCTCGTAATTTTATTCAAATAATTAATATAATTGTGTAAATGGATTGCAATGAAATGAAACGATCCACGTGTGAATGTGTCATGGCATGAGTATTCTTTATCACATGAAATGTATGCACCCTGTTATACAAGTACTTTAACAAATAAGTAGTGAAATATTTGAGAACATGTATATTTCACTTTTCTTGGGTAATCTCAATAAAATCAAATTTGTTATGGTCAGAATCTTCTTTGCAGAGCACCATTTGTAGCTGAGCCCCCATTATTGGCTTCCCTTGAACGCCAAGACACTGTCCGGCAGCCAAACTAAAAATTGGTGTTGCTTTGTCTCCAGATTTTTTCCATTCTTGTGACCCACGCAATTCATGACACTTGGCGACTTTTGGAAGATCTGAGGATGCATCGAGACAAAGTAGCTCGGCAAGTACCTAACAGTAGAACAATAAAAATCAGACAAACAAACTCTGCTACATATTTATATAAATTAAATACATTATGCGGAAGCTATGTACATATAATATAAAAGAATAAGAAGTAATAACTATCAAATCATACCAGTTCATGCTTATCAGTTTCTGACCATTGTTGTTTTTTCTTATTTGTGCTTCCGCATTTGCCTAATACCAGTCCAGCATTTCTCTTTGTCACATCTCCTTCACTTTCCACGCAAAAGAACGTCTTAGACAACCTTAGTAAGAATTTCTTTATGTAATTTCGTGGTCTCTTGTCCCAAGGAATGAATTTGGCACTGTCATTTGCATTTGATTTTCCTTGTTCCATCATGTCTGGATACACATTGTCCAGATACCATTTGAAAGATCTACATTTTAATTGATGTCGTAGTTCAACCCTTGCAGAAATATCTCCATAATCCAGATTCCTATAAATAAATACATTACGTACATAACTAAAAGTTTCAATTTCCTCGATATGTGGAATTCAAATTCGTGAATTTTGTTTGGGTGCGTTTTGTAAACAATTGAATGATTTCCGTCATATATGTATACATAGATTACTTTGTATAAGAGTTGTGGATATGTTGAATTCATTATTAAGGGGTGAAAACCCCTTTATGGAAATGTCTTGTCTGTCTGTCCGTCCGTCCGTCCGTCCGTATCCACTATAACTTTAGAACGGATTCGAATTTCGACATCCGGTTTTCACCAATGTGTTTCTAATTTTTGGGGACGGGATGAATTCGAAGATGGGCGTTGTAGGTCGTAAGGTCACGGCGCCACGGTGATGACGCCAACGGTCAAAGGTGTCGAATTTTTCGTTTCCACCGTTTTAGACGTATTTTTGGATGGGGATTTCAGAAATCGCCATCGTTTCGACGTGCGATGACCCTGTGACCGTGTGGGAGGTGTCAAATGTCGAAAAAATGACTTTTGTCATGTGGGGTGTCTATTGAAAGGTATTGTCGTGTACGTTTGAAGTACGCGGGTGGGGGTGTCAAAACGGGGCAAAATTAGACGTGGGGTAATGTGAGACAATGACGGGAAAGTGCTGAAAGACGTTGTGGGCGTGTCACAAAGACAATTCCGTGTGTTTTCACCCCTTTGCTACATTTCGTTTGCAACGGTTTATTTACCTAGCACTCGGATTTGTCGTGTAAAACTTTTCTTTGAACTCATCCAACCAAACCTCTGCAACTCTTGCTGAATTTTTCAAGACTGTGTCGACCCCATTAGTTCCACCACCATAAGGTCGTCTTTTTCGAAACACATGACCGACCCTGGAGCATGGCATGATTTCTAGCCTGAAAATAAATAAAAATACAATTTTATTATAGAAATGCAAAATGGGTGTTGCAAACATGCAAGTATTTGTATAACGCTGATGTTCAAAATTTATTTATTACCTACTACCACACATCCATGCTCGAAAAGACAGCTCCAAATTTTCTCCACCCCAAATATCCTTGACAAATAGAGTTTAAATAATTAACGGAGTTGGCTACATATGGCGTTCTCCTATAAAATGCGTAGGTGTTTATTCATAAAAACTTACCATTCCTTCATCATATTCACCGAGATTCACAAAGTGTTGCTTGTTAATTGCAAATAGACCACCAGAGTGGGTGGGTGATATTATTGGTTTTATAAAGTCTTCTTTTGTTTTAAGTTGCGCTTTTGGAACATTGTCCCATCGGAAATGGAGGCCCCAATTGAATCCTCTAAAATATAAATCCACTGTATAGACAGCACATTTTGCCCGCTAATGCAACTTAGCAACTTGCCATTCGTTTATCATACTCACCCTTTTACAAGTGGACTTGAAGAATATTGAAATGTGTCGGCGTTAATAATGTCGACAATTGGTGCAACCAAAGTCTTGTTATTTTCTGATATTCTCGTCAATAACGGTTCCATCCACATGACACCTACAAAATTATCATGATATATGATCATATCCTATGTACAGATATTTAATGTCTATGTAAAGGTACAGTCAATGAAAGCGACATCTTACCTGGTTCGACATGAGAATCAAGAAAAATTAGGACGTCTCCATTTGCATGCCTGTTTGTATAATTATTGAATATTTTAAGATTGAAAGTAAATTATATAAATAAGCACAGTGTTTTATGCGAAAAAATAAAGCGGAATGCTGAAATCCTTACCGAGAACCAAATATTCTGGCCCTAGAACAAGCATGCATACAAATACCTATTTAGTGCACATGTATGTACGGATAAAATATATTTATGGAGAGACGTGCAAATTAATTTCTACCTTATTAGTCCTTCGCGTTTTGGTGTTTTGATAATGCTAACTTTTGCAGGAAAATGTTTTTGTGCATAGTTTAGAACTTTCTCATGAATGTTGTCTAATTCGCTGCAGTCATCAACGAGGATGATTTCATGAAGTAGGCTCGGATTCGAACGGTCCAATATTGTGTGAACAGTTCTGCAATGAATGATTACCTGGATATGAAGTTATCCCACTTTTGGAGGCTTTTAATGGACCTTACCTTAACAGGGTATTAATTTCTTCGTTGTAAAAACAAATTATAACTGAGGCGTCTGGAAGACTGGATGACGGATAATTCTGGAATGAGCATTGCGGGTGACGTGTGTCAGGGATTTCTCGGTGAAAACCGAGTCTTTCACTGACTAGAACATTAAAGGCGTCTAAAACAATGCAATGGGAAAGTTAATTAGTCTTAATGCTCCATTTAAATGCAATTTTTAACAATTGGCAATTTATGCATATCTCGAAATCATTTTCTAAATTTTCCTTAAAACTATTATGTAAATAACTAACGTTTTCTGTATCCTTCCTCCCGAATCTTCTTATCTACTAACGTTTGAATAAGGCCGAGTTTACCAATATCTTCCAACTTTCCATTCCCAGCGTCAATTTTTACTTTGGAGTTTAAACTGTTTATAAGTTTTTCACTATTTTTATATTTTGTAGATTTATCGTTAATTAGTTGCTGAAACTTTTTTCTCCACTTTCCTTGAACTGATAATTCTTTTATTTGATTGACATTTTCATCGTCTTTAGCATCATGATCTTCTTTGTCATACAATTCATTATTCAAAAATACCGTATTTTTAGGAAAGTAATTTTGAGGACGGTCGAAACTTAGTAAAGATGATGACGATTGAGACAACAATAACTTATCTGATGGAGGCAAATCCTCATCGTTAATATTATTATCCACGCTTGTGCTTGCAGATATTGAGAGTGGTATCCGGTCAGGCGAACTGGACGTTAAGGTGAGATACAGATAAAAACTTGCTGCCCATGTTATCGACGCCAATGTCACACCAAACAGGAAGGACTTATGACGAAAGGTTGTCATTTTTTTAAACAACCCATTATTGCTGCTACCATTATTAAATGTGGATGAGACTGAGAATGGCATTTGTGCCGACGAGAATAAGAAAATTATGTATTATAACTACAAGTGTCACATTTTTTATTGAACGTAGAGTAAGTCAACATTTTAAGTTATTTGCAACTTTTTAAGTATAAAATTGCTTCTCTTTAGAATTTGGCAATATTTGTATAGTCAAGATCTTGTTTGTAAAATATCAAACCTCGCAGGAAACTTTCCCATTGGCTAGTACTCTTATGAGCCAAATAGAGAGCGTAATATACAGGATCTAGCGAGTCTTTGTTTGAAGATTCGGTCTATGATATCGGCTATATACATATGTACATACATGATTTACTACATGAACATGGAAAGAACAATAATAAATTACATGATTTACTACATCGAATTTGGTTTAAATTGTGAGTGAAAGTGATAAAATAGCACATCGTAGATTTTCATAATATGTAGCTCGTCACAAGCATATTACTAAAATTTGAAGTTATTTTTTGGATTTCATCCCCAACTCTTCTCCTCGCGTCGTTGCTGCTTCGACTGCTTTCATGAGTGCATATCTCACAGAGTGAAATTCTAATTGAGCAATTCCTCGAATTGTCGTACCCCCTGGCGAACACACGGAGTCCTTCAACGCACCTGGGTGGCTATTACCCTCGCCTAAAATTAGCTGTGCAGCCCCTTTCATGAAAAAATAGAATTATTATCAATTTCATAACATCCAACACGAAGTATTATTTGGTATACCTTTCATGGTTTGAGCTGCAATCTGTAAACTGAGGTCTCGAGGAATTCCCATATTCACTGCGCCATCAGACAATCCTTCAAGAATGGGAAACATGAATCCAATTCCGGAGCTAAACAGACCACAATAGGCTACATAGGTTAAAATAAAACAAACATTTTCAATGTTGAAATGCACAGTTTATATTTTTATGGGAGTTAAAACATTTTCCAGACCGTTGATTTGGTGTTCCGGAACTAAAATTGTCAGCAAATAAATTTAGTGTGCATAATATATAGGTAAATATTTTATTAAATAACTATATTTAAACTTATTTTTAACCTTCAAAACAGAGTCCAACGGAACCGAGTAGCTTAGAAAGCAGTTCTTTATTCTCTGACGATGTAGCTTCATCCATAGTATAAACTGCGTGTAATCAACAACAACATGTATATATGTACATATAACAAAGTAAATCACAAAAGTTACGCAATATCTTTAAGACACGCTTCTAAATGGCCACGACATGCATTTAGGCATTTTGGGCATTTTTTAGGCCAAAAATGCCTAAAATATCGGACACTTATTTTCATGCCATGGGCATTGTACAAGTCAATATTAAACAAGCGTTATGTCAAGATTAGATACCTGAACATCCACAATCTACTTTCATTGCAATATTTGGCATTGCCCTGGCTGTAGAAATTTTAGAGCTTTTGAATTTGAGCTGTAGCAATTTTGTAAAATCGAGGAGTGGAATTCCGGCCATAATTGAAACATGGAATTTTGATGTATTGTCCACATTATATTCCGTACTCTGAAGGGCAGTATTAAATATTTGAGGTTTCACGGCCCATATAATCGTATCCGAGTCGTCTACAACTTCGCCTAAATTGTTGCTAAATTTTATAATCTATCGTATATAGTGGTGAAACTATGTATGCCAAGTAAATAAATACTTTACTTGCCATTGTGAATGGTTGTTCGACAACCCACCTCCTTCCAGGCTTCCAGATATTGCTCTTCTGGACAGCTAACAAATACTTCCGATGGTTTTACGACCCCTGGAAAAGCAGGACCTCGCTTTCTCAATCTCTCTGAATAGATGAAATTATAGGTAAATAATGATTACCTTTTCGAACCATTGACAAACCAATGGCTTTCGCCATTTGACCGGCTCCTATAAATCCAATTTTACTAAACATATTTTCCTTGTAAGTATTTCCACGATAGAGTTGTAAAATTAAATGGATGTCTCATTTGATTTGTAAGAAAGATGTTGACAACTTATTTTGTTTGTTAGCTACATACGAATAAAAAATGAGCAGAGGATTGACAGATAAACCATAGGATTGACCCCTTCTTTTTCATTATATACGGAAATATGCTTCATAAAGACAGATATGTACATTACACATACATTCATGGTCTAAAATTACGCTTACATATTCTCCTGTATATGCATTCAGCCCTGAAACCATGAACGAATGCCGACACCAAAAGTTAGCTGTGATTTTCCATCAAGAAAGGCATTTCCATAAGTAGTGTATGCATTTTGGGCTCAACATTTCACTTTTCACAGTATGCATTTCACCTTTCAATTAACATAATTTGAAGCGGTGGATGCACAACTAAACGATTAATTTGCGGTTGTATTTTCAGTTTAAAAAATCAGTTAATGCGATACAATTAAATACAAGTAATTCTTTTATTTCATAGAATAACTGTATTCTAATATAATAATCGAGATCGTCAATCGTCACGGTTAAATTCATCACGCGGCTCGCTACATGATATACTATAGTACTTATTCTAAATCGTAATTGTATAGTAAAAGTCAGTCAACGATTTATGTGAGCAGTCATTTTTCACTAATTTGTGTATGTGCGTATATATGTGTGTACGTGTGTCGGTTTCCTTCTTCAAAGAACAATATTAATTACGAAAGTTCACTTGTGGAGTATGTTGTTGGTAGGTCAAGCTCGTAAAATTCATGTCATTATTAAGCGTCTTTCACGTCGTCGTTCGTAACTATATAAATACATTGGTTAACTCATCAAATGCACTATAGCAGGGCATTTGCATGGTTGTCTTGTAACTAGTGACGCAGCTAGACGCCAAGTTTAGAAGCATATCGAAATGTTCTCGGTTGAGTGTCAAAAACTTAATTTGCGAAATTCGAAAACAATAAATATTCTAACAAGGTCTAAATCTAAGAAGATTTGCTAACGACATTGTCATCGACTAAGTAGCAAGCGTATTTTTTGTTGCAATGCGAAGACTGATCCATATATGCACGAGCCATCCTTTGAATTTGTTGTGGAAGATGTTTCTCAAATTTTGAGAACACTCTAAAAGAATGATTATATGATTAGAATCCAAATAATGATAATGCGTAATATAAAAATAAGCTGAATTTCTTTGTATTCACCGTTTCAAAGTTTTATCCAAAAAACTTCCTTGGCTGACTTTACTTAATTCGCAGGACATCCGCTCTACGCATTTTTCAGAGTTCATTACGCTCTTTGCCAATTGTGTCATTCTTGCACTGATATCTCCGAATCGGAGTCCTGGGTGGAGGCTTCGGCCAGTTGGATTACTACATAACGTTTAAAATATTAGGATATTGAAGCTTTGTGCGAATATGTCCCTCTTGCTACACTTTTTCTAGGTATTGTTGTCCAATAATTTAAAGACGGTTATTATTACTGACCTTGGGATGGTGATGACAGGAACTGGGAGGAACAAGAATACAAGAGGCAGTAACAGCAATGCTGGGAGCAAGAGAGCCAGCAATGGAATTCCTGCCTTCAGAATAGCTAAGAGTCCAAGACCCTTGATTCCCTTGACGCCCAGCACCCCAGCAAGTCCACCTAAACCACCCAAACCCCCAAGTCCTCCAAGTATTCCACCACCAGCTCCGTCTTCTTCGTAAGCTGCAATTGGAAATTTGAAATCTTGTATAATTCACAGCAAGTATGTATTCTGCTCCCATTAAAGATAAAATAATCCTTATATTTTACAGCTAAATATAATGCAAGTAGTTTGATGTTTCTCCAATACCTTCCGCAACTCCGTACTCAGCGTTAGGAACACTGTGACCACTTGAATGAACATGTTGCTGATTGGTAGGGTTGTAGCCAAAATCAGAGGCAGCGTCAGCATATGAATCCTATCGAAATTATGTTCGAAAGTTAGTATACGTAATCTATGCATGAACATATTTTTATATGTTTCGACTTTGTGTGATTTATAGATAAACGTGTTTTTAAATTTCTTGCTTTGGGAACATTAAAAAACACATTGGTTACACGAGGGAAACTTTGTTGAAAATAGTGTAAAATTATTCCAAATAATTCCAATGCATCGTGTTAGTGCATGCTGTCGATTTCCTAATCACCATTTCCCAGTCACTAGCTTCATCGCAAACTACAAAAGTTAACCTACCCGATTCCAGACGACGTGTTTCTGATGGGGATGATAATAGTAGCCTGATCCGTACTCCCGATAATTCGCCGTTCCGATGTTGCTAGAAGCAGCAGGAGCAATACCACTGTCACTTTTGGCTGATAAAGGTTTGATTAAGTTGGATAAGGAACTTTCACTTCCTCCAATCTCGTTGGACACCTTTTGTGACTGGCAATGGACATTATGGGCTAAACACACGAATAACAATGATATGCACAGCACAAATTCCGAACGCTGGGTTTTATTTGAAACGTTAGAACAAGTCATGATGTATTTTTTTTAGAAAATCAACTATAAAATTTTTTACAGCGAGATAAATTGCGAGTGGAGCTACTGATCCCAAACTAAATTAATTCCTTAGTGTGTCAACAAGTATTTTTCTAAATACATCAAGTGCCTCCTGCTATTCGGAGATAATCAAAGACCGGGGATGCGACTGAATCCTTTTATGATTCAAAACTGATTGCAAAAAATGTTTCTCTGATAATGCGTTTATATATAGACACAGAGTATCCAATTGCATACGCATTCGTGGCATGATGCTATCGTAGATCTGACCTAGAAAAAATCAGTCCCGGAAATAATACAGGCTGTTGTGGTCTCATATATTACAGATTTCAGTCACTGCATATGAGAACCATCCTTAATTTTCACGGCGTTTCGATTTTACTACCTTTGTGCATTACACTACTGCACACTTTGGATTATCTCTTTAGGAACAAGGATTATAAATAAATCAGTTGCACCCACCCTTTAACGTCATTGTCACAGTCATGTATCATATAAATATCATCGTCGTCTGGCCCCTGGCCTAGGAATAATAGCCACACCACCGACCACACTGAATCACAATGGGGCGGATTTGATTTGATGTACATACAGAGAAGGATGTTTTTCACGCTTATAAATAGAAAAGGAAGAAGTTTTCATGTGAGTAATAAGGGACAGGGATAGAAAGTTGCTTTGGTGAGTGAATAGCAAAAGCGAATAAATGATCTTTAAAATCAGACAATGCATCAATCTCATTGTATGTTAAGTTGTGTGTATGTATGATGATGCTCAGAAAGACAAGCTCCGCTGCATACATACCTGCATATGCCTGTGTCAGGAGATCATCAATATTCACAATGACAATTGCAGTCACATAATCTACAAATACATCTCATTTATTGGGACGATGATATGTATTCATGTAATGCAATAAAATTATTTAAATCTTCATGCTACGAATCTCATGAAACGTTTTAGGTGCAAAACATGTGGAAAATACACGAGTATCAACATCATATTCTAAATGTGTATTTTATCAAAATCAGATTAATCTTTTAAGTTGTTAACTCTGTACATGCATTGCTGAATAGGTATATTACTGAAATAATCCTCGCATATTATGCGAGTTGTGTATCAAGAGAGATACTATAAAAATACGTACCTATTCGCGTGCGTATGCAAATGAAGATTTTTAATAAAAAGTTTTCAAGGTCCAAGTTACCGATACACTGCATAAATTGCAACAAATTTCTGAGCCGGGTTTCTTACATGCATACATATTTCACAAGCCACAACGTTACCATACTGTAAAAAACGGATTCGAAATCGTTCCACGCATAAATATTTTGCATGACAAACCATGTAATAAAGAAGGTTGTTCGACTTTCATCTTATTAGTATTCCCATTGACGTGGAGATACAGTTTCGCAGTGCCGGTTGTTGGACCTTTCAAAGTCAACCATGTGCTACTTAATTTTTGATTTCATCTAATTTGGTCAAAGTCATACGACATATCATTGTTTGGTCCATGCTCGAATTCAAGAAATTTCCCTCGCCAATGATTATTGACACACTGAGGAGAGCGACGAGAAAGATTATTCTTATTCATTCAGCATTGGGAGCAAGTTTGTAATATTATGGCTCGAGGTTAAATTCGGACTCGGCGTGGTTGTTGCGAGGAATGCGGCGTGTCTAAATTAAAAGATTGATGATTCATTGGGGTGCTCATTTTTTACGTGAGTGTGCATTTGTCTGAAATTAACTGCTATACGTCGCACTGTAATTAGAAATAGGCAATTAACAATAAAACGTTGCCCATATGCATGGTTGGGAAATGTCAAACGGATATTGTGACGATTTTCTTTGCGTTGATTGGGAGATCCGGTTTGCATAGCTTTCTCTAAATTTGAGAGAAAGCTATATAAAATGTATATACGAATAAACTTTCATGACGCCACATGATAAAATTGGTAAAAGGCTAATTGTCCTTACGGAATGTCATTGCTAAGGTCTATGCATAACTAAAATTTTGAAATTCTAAAGCATCCATATGAAATTTCAAACTGGTAGAAGGTCAACCATGTCAAGTTTTTTTCGTGCTTGGTATCAAATCATGGATAAGCCAATGAAGCTTACATGACATTTAACCCATATCCTATATGCCAATGTTGTAGCATATTCACTGACAAATTTTTATCTCCAAGCATATACGAATTACAGTCCACATATACGAATTATGTATGTATATGTGGACGGGTCAATATGACCGGGGAAATCTGTCGCCCTACCGGATCCAAACACCTCAAACAACCAATGCCACGATGATATATATATTTTTTTAATTCAACTTTCGTTTTCCGATTTAGATTCTGTTTTGTGCATTTAATTTTTATTTCATAGAAAAATTCTTATTTATTTTGTATAACATGGTATCTAATGTTGTTCATTAAAAATTTTGCGATTATTTTCATCCAGCTTTTACAAACTTCATTACTATTGTTCATCTGGCATTTCCACATCGGCCCCTTCGCCAGTCCAACCTGAAAATATTAACTCAACGGCAGTTTCGACATCACCATCACTGACTCCCAGAGCTAACAAGCTCAATCGCTCGTCATTAATTCCTAAGAGATTCCAAATTTTATGTGCATAGTAGCACCAAATTTCAAAATACCTTTTGTGCCGACATTTATAATATGTAATATTACTTACCCATATCCCGCATTTGACTTAACTGCTGTGCATATGGGGATGTTACTGACAATGGTTGCAACGAAGAGGGTGTAGTCGGCGGAGCTGCAACACTGGAAGGAGGAACAACAGACGTAGTGGCTCCGGTACTGTTGTTGGACCCCATACTTTGAATTCGAGCAATTTGGTCTGACAGAACAATTATTTTGTGTCAATATTTACGGATGTGTAATTAGTGTATGTGGATAGTGTGCATATGAACAATTTGATCGGTTGGAATACCTCGAAGTTCACTGAAACGAGCTTCCCTTGCTTCTGCAGGAAGACTATTTAAAGCAGTATTCATGGCACGCGCTACCAGATCAGGAGTGAGCGCAGGAGGATTAGCGCCCGCAGCCCCAGTGGAAGTATTGCCACTCCTTGAAACACGTTGTTGTAGTGATGATAAAAGGTTTGTGAGATCAGCGGTGGGATTTCCACCACCAGCAGCAGCCGAAGTTCCTCCACCTTGGGAAAAGCGATCAAATAGAGAAGAACCAGTTGCGGATGGTTGTGATTGACTTGGAGCAGAAGATAAGCGTTCCCGTCCTAGTTAGGTAAGTTTTGTTGTCATTACATGTCATATCATGTTCAATTCGTCTAATCGTAAGCAAGTGACAAATGTATGTATACCTAAGGCGCTCAAAGAATTCAACGCTGCAGAAAGTTGTTCTCTTGTTATTCTGCTACTAGGTCCAGCACCAGATTCGTCGTCATCCTCGTCCATGTCATCATCATCGTCTTCAAGAAGGGCAGGATTAAAGAATCCACTACTTGGAACATCGTTTGTACGTGATCCTCCCTTCTCTTGATGGACAGATGCAGCCAAAAAATTGAATGCTTCAACTACCCAAGGTCTTGTATTTGCAAGCCTACATAGACACGTAATTTAAGTTAGATATGGACATTGATGTATGATGAATAGCATATTATCACTACTTTTTCAAAGATTCAAAATCTGCGAGATGGAAAATCATTGCTGGATCTTGAATCATTGCAATTGCGATCGGATCATTCTTGAGACCTGGAGCGATGGCCATGATGTTCTCCAGCATTTCTGACTGTCCCAGTTTCTAAAATGAAAATATTATTCACATTCTTATTATCAATGATAATTTACCATAATAGTAATCATTGTCATTATTAATTAGTATATCAGTATGCTCGCATCATATTCGTCCAGATTAAATATACCATAATGGTTGGGATGAATTTTGGGTTTAAAAACGCCGTTCTCAAGGCAAGTGCAGTTTGAGGAATCTTTCCTTTGATGTTTCCAGCGGCTTCAGCAATATCGACTCGAGGTTCCGGATTTCGGTCCAGTTTGACTACCGTTATCACGTTCATTGGTCGAAATGTTGCAGACTTGACTGCCATGTCATCCATTAGTTTCCCCCCATTGTACAAAATATCTGCAAATAGACAGATATCGTACATAACATGTCATTTAGAGTTCCAAATTTCAACTTCTAATTTTGAAATACCTACCAATTTCGTTTGGAGAAATTGAACCAACAGCTTTGCACACAAATTCCTTTAAAGCGGTCAACGTAGTGTCACCCAATGTCAAATTTGCCTTGACCCTTTTCGCCCCCTCCTTCCCCAGAAAACACCAAATATTGACGGGGATGTCAAGCGTAGGTGTATCGACTTCCATAGTTCTAAGTCTTTTCACTCACTCAATTGTAGAAACAGCTTTTTACTTTGCTTATATTTTTTAACTTTAAGACTTTAATTTAGTTTATAACCAAGTACTAATCGAAAGTTATTAATCGAACGAAAGTAAGTTTTCCTTGAAAATATTGCGAAATTGCGATTAGTGATTGTCCAATATTTATGTGAACTGAACCCCGCTAAGCAGATAGGGGCAGAAAGACAAATAAAGATTTCCGTCTAAATTTTTATGATAAAAAATTCAGCATCAATTCAGTTCGGGTTCATTATTTCTTTATTTATTATATAAAAAAATAAGTTTTCAAATAGACCACAGATATTAAAGCTCTGACTTGGAGTGCAACTTTTCCGTAGCGAAGAGATTTTTATTTGCCATGAGTATTTCTGCCAACGCCAAATCATTTTGCATGTCGATTTCTAAGCTGTGATGTTGGGGTACCTCGACATAATGCGACCTGTGAGATATTTAATAGTTTTATTATTTCCACCTCATCACAATAATATTAACATGAACCAATCCCGTCATTTTTTCTAACCTTGGTCCTTGGAAAGCATTTTCATTTACAAGAATATCCCTCATGCTAAAGTAAAACATGCCATTTTCGATCATTTCTCCCATCCAATCTTGTCGGCGTGGCCTGGTGTAGGGGTCGAAGTTTAATGGTTGGGTAATTTCTTTGTGATAAACGTTTACACTTTTCCATCGTAATGCTGGAAACACATTAAAATATCTAAGAGTTCATTCCTAAAAGTCATACATAATGGGAGATTCATTTGTTGTTTCATAACTGCCTCGATTTATATTTTGAAATTTTATGAGTACCTTTGGAGCGGTATGCAGAAAATACAGAGTCTCTTTCTGATAAGAGTGCAGAGGCCTGCTGCAAATATGTGGGCTGTACAAAAGGGGATGTCGCCTGAACAAGGCCTACTGCATCAACCTCTGTTCGAAGAGACGTCATTAAAATAATTTATTAGTAAATGGGATATGCAAGATACATAATTTAATAAAGTATCGCGACTTTCGAACAGTAACTTAAATTACCTGGATGGAAGCTGAGAAATTCTTGAACGGCTATAATCGAGGTCGCTTCATCCGTCGCAGTGTATGAGGATCTGGCGTGAACTTGTACCTCGGTCGGAAATTCCGTCCCCACCCATTCCGAGACCAGGATGTCATCAGTGGAAACCCAGATGCTTGTGAATACTGAGTGATAAATGATAGCATGTTATTTTATTTGTACATATTTAGCTTGTGGAATTTGGTTTAAAGAGGGAGGAGTAGAAATCACCTTCACTATCGACCATAGCTTTCAGTGCCCAATAAATCAACGGTTTTCCATGTAAAATAGCCATATTTTTATGCGGAATTCCCTTGCTGCCACCACGAGCCAAAATGACGCCTGCAAGGTGGTGATGCCCTTTGACATAGGACTCAGGACTGAGATTTCTCACGATCACGGTTTGGTCATCCGAAGACCATTTGAAGTATGATTGGCACAAGACAAACACAAGTGTCAAAGCTCTTGCCACAGCAGATGCAGCCATGCTCAGGTCACATTCGCTAAACTATGGCATACCAAAACTTGCATGTTAATTTGGCATGCAACACAATTGTCTTGCAATTTGTTAGTGTTAGATATTTGTGATGATATTCCAGTCACGTAAATTTGACATATTCAGACATTTTTACCAATTATGTAGAAAAATCAGTTCCAAATTAAGTTAGGTTCACTTGTTTTCTTAACTACTGACCGGATTAGGCTAATGTACTATATACATTTTATTGGTATTCTCAGGTCGGTATTTTCCCACCAAGTAGCCCAGATGTAGATCCGTAGATCTGTCATCTGTACATACTGTATGTACATACATAGATCTGTAGACGTATAGGCACTTCATATGTAATAAGTGTGCCTGATCTTTCATTTTCATATTCAAGATTTCATATTAACTTACATACAAGATTATTTGACACTTTATCAATCTATAAGGTTACGACAAATGGCCGAGTTACAAAATAAATTTTCATTTTTAGAAAACTAAAACTTGTTGAAATTGGTTAATTAGTTACAGTTGGAAATGTAATTTTCAGTCAAAGTGCTTATGGAACTGTCATGTCCGTCCGTCTGTCCGTTTGATCATTTTACGATAACTTTCGTTAAACTTGTCCTAGCGACTTTAAATTTGGTATATGTGTAGTATGTGGCAAATGAGGAGTTAAATTTGAAGATGGGCGAAATCGATTAAGTGGTTGACCGGTGGTGGTCATCTGGGTGGGTGGAGTATTTCAAAATCTGAAAATTGGCATTGAGATTGCTAATGGTGTCTAATTGAAGAATATTAATTTAAATTGGGAAAATTTTCGATTGGAGGGACCCGATACCATACCGATTGTTGAAAATTATCCAATCGAGCTGAAATTAGTGCAGAGATTGCTAATGCCTGATGAAAGAATATGAATTAAAACATTTTTATGTGGAGGGACCTTTAAGGGGTGACCCATATCGATTTTTAAAAATTGTATTAAAAAGATGAAATTCGCTCCAGACACTCATAGAAGACTGAAATTTGGCATGACCCCGCGGGGGTAGACCAGATTGAAAAATATGAAGTAAATATTAAGATTTTTTCCACAGAGATTTAACAAGGTGACCCACATTGCTTTTTATATTGGTAGAATAAACATGAAATTCTGTATCATGGGTAAGGGCACATCAGACTAAAGAATATGAAAATGAATATTTTTGTGGGCCCATGAGACCCGTACTGGTTTTAAAATTGGTCAAGGAGCTGAAATTTTGCATGCTGGATTATGGGAACATTTTTGCCGATTACGAATAGTAGTCAGTAGTTGGTGCAGGTCGTCTGACTAAAATTTAGAAGCTGACACTGACCCTGACTCGGGCTAAATAAAGGCTGCACGCTGCAGATTTCAAATTTAATTCTCGAAATAGTAGCCTCGAGATTTTTTGCTTAAAAAATCAAGCTAAAAATTACGATGATTTCATCTTTAAGAATCAAGTCTCTATGTCTGCCCTTTCAAAAGTTATTAAAGGTCAAAGTCGTTGGTACACAGGCCCAGGGGACGTGTACCAACGATTTAAAAAATAATTATTTTATTTGTAACTCCACCATTTGTCGCAACCGTTAAAAGAGCCAAGAGTTACCTAGATACTTAATGTCAAGCAATCGTGACTTACATACGTATGCGAAATTAATCTCCTTAGTGAATTAAGAGACTCGAGACAATTTAATTAAATGTTCAAATTTCTATTATAACTATTATGTGTAACTGTTAAAATACTTTTGTCTGCATACTTTTAGCTGCATATACATATGTACATACATACGCACTACTACATGAATAACTACTGTGTCAACATGGTGTTAATTGGATTTTTTCGTTTACATGCATGTCCATATTTGTTTTATTCGGAGACATTGATTTACAAACAGTTTTTGCCTTTAAATACGATCTTATAGACATGTCCCATTCCTCATTATAATGGCATTATCAGTAACTTATAATATGTGCAGGTAAGAAGACATGCATGGTATTTGCATTCATTTCAAGGTCTTTTCATTCTGGCATTAGTAACACAAAGATCTCCGGGCATTACACATGGCTGATCCTGAGATTATTCATATAAATCACAACGTGATCACAACTTGTGATTCGTGTGTTACAATTATATAAATAAATGACGATATATGGGCAAAGTAATGTTGACCATTAGTGTGTGCTCAACAAAAGTAAATCAGACGGTTATCGTGGAATGCGAATGAGGCGGATGTTTAATTGGACTTGCTGAACTTAATCGATTCTTCGAATTAAGCAACTATTGTCACAGCCATGATTGATTTGACTTTCTACAATGCGGTCGCACTATGTTTAGGAGGTGTGTCCATATTTGTAGCGATGAAGATTTTAAACAACCAAAGAAAAGTACGAATTTGGTAAGTTTTGTAAAGTTTTATTTAATGTAACTTTAGAGCGAATTTTATTTTAATAAAGGGTAAACAATTGTTAGGTCAAAGTGGTCGGAGCAGTCTAAAAACAAAGTCGTTTTGCACGGGATGTTCGGAGGGCGACAAGTACCAACTGCTTCGCCATTTGTGCTCAAAGTCGAAACGTACTTGAGAATGGCTAAAATCCCATATGAAATTGACAAGGTGGATGTTTGGGGTCCCAAAGCGAAAACGCCATGGCTGAGTATTAATGGAAGAAACATATCGGATTCGCAATTCATTGTCGAGTATCTTCGGAAGTATGGCGCATTCATATTCAAGCATTAGAATCATTTAAAATAAAATTCAATAGCATATGCACAGAAATGATAAAAAAATCAAATTAATTCAACTATAGGAAGTATGACAAACAGTTAAATGCTGTGTATTCTGAGGAAAAACAAGCAATTGGGATGGCAGTGAGAGTTATGATGGAGGAATACATGTACTGGTAATAATTTCAATACTTTTAACTTTGATAAATCCTACATATGTATTGATAGAAAGATGATTAACAACTTCAAATCAAATATGTAGGGGTGGTATTCTCTGGAGATTTACTTTTGGTGGTCGGGATACATTCGAACAACTCAGGAAAGGGAACATCACCATTGGCGAATTCATGATTTTTAAAATGATTGCCCCAAGTCTTACCTCCATGGCGTGGACTCAAGGGCTAGGGCGTCACTCGGAACAAGAAGTTATTGAAATTATGTCAAATTGCTTAAAGTCCGTTAGTAAAATTTTGGGAAATAAACCATTCCTTCTTGGGCATCATCCATGCGAAGAAGATTGTGCTGTTTTTGGTCAACTTGCGTCTGCTGTATTTACGGAAAACTCCCCATTTACAGAGCTATTTGAAAGTAAGATTTAGAAGTTGCCATTTTTTAAACATAACACAACATTTTAAAATATGATTACAAAATTCAAATTCAAGATGAGTTAAGAAACCTGAAGGATTACTGTCAGCGAATGAAAGAAGAGTATTGGCCGGACTGGAATGAATTGTTGCATCATTAAAACCAGCAAAGATTATCAATTACTTATGTAAAGAGTATACCGTCATATTTGTTTTATGTATGTAAAGTATTAATTGTAGTCTAATAAATGTCTTTCAACACATTAATACGTTAACACAATTTATTTCGTCTATAATCAAACAATTCGAACAAAGGTTAAATTTCAATGTAGCAAAATTTTAGGGTGACAGAGCTAAAAGAAATTAATATCACGGGTCAAAGTGGATGTGATCAACGGGATTTGCTTTTTTCCATGCATGTGCGAGCCTGGAACACAAGACTCGAAATTGAATGCAACCTGTAAACCACAAATGCATTTTTACATTTATGCAACTAAAAATTCACATGCGCAACAAAATTCCACTAACTTTTCTGATAACAATTGTGAGCATTGATAAAAAATCCCTTTTACTCGAGTGCTGATCAAGTACTTCACATAAGGCTTGAATAAACCATGACCCTTGTGTTGTATTTCTCCAAGAGTAATATCCTTGATATTAAATGCGAAAGTAAGATATGCGTAATAGATTTTACTGGTATAAATGTACCATATTGAATGTTTTCTTGTGGCAACGTTACCTGGAAATGTGGAATTTACCAAGAGAAAATCTGCTTTATTGGGAATCCTGTATTCCATTTGACTGGCTGCTGCAGAATCGACCATTGTTTTTGCGTGTTGAATCATAGTGGTCCCACTATCGAGTTGATCGCCCTGACAAGCCTAAATATTTGCAGAAATGAATGTGATTAACTAATCATTTATTAATCTCTTAAAATCCATCGTGTGCTGTTAAATTTAACCTGAATGAAAAACATTTTAGGTTTGCCTGCTAATGTTGGACACACGTTAGCATCAAAAGCATCCCACAGTCGGTTGGGCTTGTAGTCGTCATCAAATGCATGAATTAAATTCTTGTCACCGTGAGAGAACACCGCAACTACGAGGCAGTCCCGGTCTGAGTGATCATCCGCAGCCACTGTCAGTATTTTAAAATAGTATTATATCCACTCACATATGCAAACATAAATATTTAATATTTAGATACCCAGATCCAGATATACAAAAATAAAATAAAAATATTTTTTTAATCCTCACATTTGTCGATGACATCAAAGACTTGCCGTTTCGTAGGGTCATTATAAACGCAAACGTCAAAACCAAGGGATTTCAAACTTTCTCGCAATCTGTCCCGGTCTTCGTCCGTCCCATTTCGCTTTCCCAGGTTTGATAATTTAAATTCCTGAAAACAAAATGTAGTCGATGCATTGAAATGACTACGTAGCAGAAAGTTATTTATATAATCACCTTATTATTAAAAATCACAGCCTTTCCACGTTCTTTATGCTTCATGTTGTATACGTCAGAATCTCTGTGAATAGGCATTGCTGCGATCGGCGGTTGTTTCCCTGAAGTCCAAAAGTCGCTGAAAGGCTTCGAATCAGCTTCATCGGGATGAGGAGTTGGACCATCTTCAACTGATGGTTCAAGAACCAACTTCTTCTCAATATCCTGATCAAGATTGTCTTCCATTATTATGAAATCTTGACGAAAATAATGTTATTCAGTTGTGACGATGATGAGAATACAACGGTGACTGTGCACAAGTACGTTTATATTTATAGTGATGTCATTCGAGTGCGGCCGGATTAATCGTCCAATCGAATTCTTATCATATATTGAGATAATCAGCACAAATACATTTAACAGTTTACATATTTAGTTTATTGCGGATGAATACCATTTGCTGCCTTCTTATAAAAACTTCACAGCAATACAAACATATATGACAAAATATTAAAATAGATGTAAAATACTGTGAACATTTGCTCAGCAGAATGTTACCATAAAACAGTGCCATCGCAAAAAAATATCAACTATGTAAACTGCTCTTACTGTCAACTGTGATTTTCCTTTCTTTTGAGAATGAGGTGCAGGAGAAAGAAGAAATCCAACAGTGCTTTTACGACAAGGAATTTTTATATGCTAATTTGCGTTGTGTTCTCCTGTAGAGAGATTGCTATAAATTATGAAAAATCCTAATTCAATCCCAATAATTTCTGACCCTCCCTCCCCCATCTTGTTACGAGCTGCCGATTTAACATGAGGATGAGGAGCTAGTGCACAGCCCTCCCCCTCCCTCAATACGAACGTTCCCAGAAGAGCTAGTGCATGGACGGTAGAAAATTATGAAGTCTTAAAATGTCGGCAATTAGCCTTTAATGTGCTACCGCCGCTGGCCTGGCTGTCTCTATTAATGAGGAGTCTGGTCACCCCACAAAGTACATATGTAAAAGTCTTAAAATGAGATAACCCAGCCCAGACCAAACCAATGCATGGGAAAGTTATACGTTGATTTTTGTATTTTTTTCGGAAGCATAAAAAGCAATGGTTTACAGCTACATATTATATTTACATAAGTAGTTTTTGAATAATGTAAACAAATTGTTTAGGTTAAAAAATGAATCCATTTTCTGGGTAATATTTTTCTTGCAAAGTCGAGGCTTTTGTGTCAACCTTCAAAGATCTTTCAAGATTGGACCAATGAATGGAGAGTAATTCGGACGGTTGTATGGTCTTCCTTCTTTTTTCAAGGTAGATTTCTCTGTTTTCCGACGCTCGTATTCTTTCTTTCGCTCCTCATGGGACTCCCAAAGGTTCGGATGACGTATTTGAAGAGATTTTCGTCGGAGCTTTTTCACAATTTTTCCTTCTACACTGTCCTCTGAATCGTATGACTCCCATTCCTGAGCTTCTGGCCGTCCTTGCTCACGAGCATCTTGAGCTTTTCCATAAGCTTGGTTCTCGATTTTCTACAAACGACAGAAATTGCAAAATTTTAAAAACTCAGAAAGCGAGGGATTAAATTTGTGTTTGTTACCGTAAGCTCATCTTCAGATATCTCATTAGCTAAATATCTACTAAAGTATCTGGATTTTCTCTGAATTTTGATAGCATGATCAGTATAGTATCCTTTAGTCCAGAATAGCCCAAGCTGAAGTACATGCACATATTTATTCTCATATGAAAGATACCAATCTACAGTGGTAATTTGTCGCCTAAAAAAGCTGGGAATGATCGTACCATCTTTTTTGGAGGCCATCGCTTAGCAGATTCTCGAAAGTAATTCTTCATTAGCGTTCTCCAGTGAACTCCGTCAAACTCACCAGTTGTAGTCTTTTTAGCCACCAACGAAACTTGGGCGAGTATCATCTAGCATTAAATTATTAAACGGTGAATAAACACAAGCATTAAATGACTTATTGCAATGCGTACTGAGATACTCTTCCGACGTTCGAACAATGCGCTTTTTCTTCCAACTCCCAAACTCTTGCGCCTTGGTGCAGACAGATCAATCTCCAGTGGGAGTGGCTCAACTTGCTCAAATTCAATCCGCCTTTCTTTTCCAGCTCCTCCAGCAGTTGGAGCCATTTCCTTGACCAGATGCATCGGAGGTTTATCATTTGAGGCAGGATTACCTTGAATCCCTGTTGGTTTCTCCACTTTCATATTGTTGAGTTGGACATGAGCATCTCTTGCTGACTCGTCTTTTAGTGGTTGTTGGTTTTTATCAGTCATCTTGCCAAAGTACCTTGTCTCATTTCCCGAAATAATAATTGGTGAAATGTGTTAAGTGACTTATCAATTTAGTGACTCTGACCACGATTGCCTGACATTAAGTATCTAGGTAACGCTTCTCCCTTATAGATTGATAAGTGTCAAATAATCTTGGGTTTCAGCCAATCGTGCTAATAAATCTAATTAAGCCGTATATGTATTTAGTTATGGGTATGATAGGAAATTCCGGCATCTTGGATCTTAGCATCATTTATTAGCTACAAAATATAAAAACTCTTCTAATGTGATGGTGTGAAGTGTACCATTCCGATTTTGTTGAATCTTTGCATTAGAAGATATGTATTACATAAATTCAGCAAAAACAATGGGCAAACTTACACAATTTACTTTTCATTCCTAATAAAGCGTTGCTCATTTTGACACAGAATTCGATATATTGGACGGTATACGAATGTGTGGTATTATTTTATCTTCGACATACCAATGTTTTAGAATTGTGAAGCAAATTAATTATTTCCATTTGGCTTTATTTTAGCTGAATTTATTCAATTTTTCAATATTCAATTTTATATTATAGTATCAAAAAATTAAAGTGTCATCTCTAATGATTAATCAAATTAAACATGTCTGAAATCTGTGAAATGTTTTGTACCGTAATTAATTTCTGATTATTATGCATCGCTGATTCTGTTGTAAGACTATGAAGGCCCAAGTGAGAAATCAGAGTGAAAATTAATGTGAGGAAAATAGGATAGAAATGAAGTTTGCTTCCTCTGCCTGAAAAAAATTGTCTATTTTTACAACTTTGACCTAAAATACTTGACAAATTCCAACCATCGTACAAACCGCCTGAAGAACCCTTGGTTGCATTAACTTGAGTTTCATAATTCCAAGATTTAACAAAATCGGAATGTTACACTTCACACCATCGCATTGTTAGTAAACATTAAAGTATTCCCAAAGTAAATAGAAATATGTACTATTGTGCATAATTTCTTACACAAATATCTAGAATTTTACAAATGGCACTGCCTACAATTTAACACGCACATTCTGCAAACTAGATCACTCCTGATCAAATTGGGTTGCCACTGCATCGTAATTCATTCACAAAAGTGAATGTAACACACTTCATTAAACGAAATAGATTATTAAATATATTGACAATGAATAAGAAGATGTATTGCGCACGTGTTGCAATATGGAAATGGAAAGTTTTCTCATTTGAGGTTTATGTGCATTATTGATCCTCGCATATCAATATCCTGCTAGATAAATACATATTGTGATCATGCAACACACTAAATGATGTCACGATTGCACCAATTCTAATAATGCACATGTTCTTGCATTGCAGATTATGAAATTGTAACAGCGAAATTATAACCGATTGTCCTGAGCTTTTGCATACATGAAAATATAACTTGCATTTTACAGAATGATCAGAATCAGTCACTCGCAAGTAGTTTATTTCTCGCCAGTTTTGATATTTTCTGGTTGCTGAAAAATTTGACCAACACCATGACTTTGTTTTTCGTAAAATGTGTATATTGTGGAATAATCTTTGTTGTGCTATCCAAATACACTGTAAGTTTTTTTAAAAATACATTTTGCACTTACATTGATACGAGCCTGTCATCAAGAGTAATAAAAAAACTACTTTAACTAAGACCACAGCGCAGGACTTAGGACCGGACGACACTTATACCTTCTGTGGAAAAGGACGCCAAGACAATTCAGCATGTCAAGGATTTTGTGTTCATAATCAAACCATTTGTTCCCCAATTGTTGGAATTTGCTCCTGTGCAGCTCCTGCTACGGTACCGAAAAAAACATGCTGTTCTGCATCAATTAGACAAAAGTATATTGAATTTTCTATATTATTTATTCTAGAGACTAAAAACGCTATCAAGCAATTACAACTGTAAGCCAGCAAGACCAAGGTCCAGATGTCACAATGGTTGTAAAACTTATGCAATGATAACACCTCGGTTTCGCCGAGGGGAAACCAAGATTTGTGACAGCAAAACGATGAATAAACGAATGTGTTTTTGTTTGCCCAAAGTTTAACAGAAACTTTCACAAAATGGGTTATGATACAATAATAAACACAAGAAATATATACGTAGTAACGTGGTGTAACTTTAATTGCCATCGCCCTGGCTATTTTTTTATAAGTCAAAGCTCTATTATTTTCTAAGCATTTATATAAACAACAACATGACACAGGAACTCATTTCTTAAAACATAAGAATACAAAACATTTTAACACATATGAAAATTACATGTTACCTTTCAAACTTGTACCTTGAATAATTGCATTGACATAAAATATAATAATAAAATCATGAAATGCACAAATTAAATACTTTTGTATATATTTCCAAAGACATCAACCTACAGATAGTATTATGCGAGTTTTCCAATAAATAATTATGCACTCTATCGTAATGGTAACACAACAGATATTGAGATAAGTAACTCGGACTATTAAATCTACAACTATCTGGGAACTATTTCTACAAAATGTGCTGTACATCACTCCTATTAGTAGTATTTGTAGTTCATTTATCACCGTGAAACTAGGAGTGAAGCACAAAACCATGTCTAGCACAAGACTGTAAAACAATATGTAATGCTAATAATAATAATAATTATACTAATACATAATATATAGTAATACATAGACATTATTTAATGATGATGATGATGTGTATACATGTGGATATATTTAGTCCAACTAAACTCTACAATTGCACACTGATTCTTGGAGGTAGTAGAAAACTGGATAATAACGATATTATTATTAACTGTTTAAGGTAAACCCAAATCGACTACGACCTTATAAGCGGAAGTTATGGCTATAATTGTACAGACAGACCTTCTATCTCGACTCGACAACGTCATACAATGATTGTCGACTAACTCATCTACTACGATTTAATACCGCACGGTAATATTTTTTGAATCAGAATAATTGACTCAAGGTAAAAAGTACCACGATACAAGATACAATCACACAAATCTAAGATAAGCACACATAACTGATATTAATACAAAACCGACACTTGGCTTAATAAAAAAATCAAGTGCCATCCAGGCCTAGGTAACCTGCTCAGACATCCAGTGTATGTCGGGTCATGAACAGAAGCAAGTCCATGTTGACCGTCAAAAATGCGTTAAAATGTGAACAGTATAACTTGGAGATCAAAGTACTCATATTGTGAAATGCATGGAGCTAACTTAATATTGACCGACAGGTTCGTCGAGTAGGATTTTCTTTTGATGTTATTAAATTCCCTTAAACTTCTCATCCTCGGGATAATTCTTGATAAAGCCATTCAAAATTCGCCTAATTTCTTCCTACTCGAATTTCATACACAAAATAATGGAAACTTTTAAACCATGTCGTATAAAATATTTTCTTAAAAATGCAGGATGATTGCTTGTAACAACTCGGATTTTAATTATTAAATACGCAGATAAAATAAAAGTAATGCATCCCACAAAACTTCAAGTCCCGTTTTTAAACCTGACTGATTAGAGTGCTTAAGCCTTTTATTTTAAAAATGCAAACTATTATATCCTTCCTCACTTTGCCCATTAAATAAAATATTTCAACAAAATATGTACTATAAATTTCGCATGTGCTTTTGAAAACTGTATGACTCAAATAACTTGGGCACAGCATATCTACAAAAATTGAAAATACTGGAAAAATAAAAAAAGTGCAGATGGGAAAAAAGTAGCCGAAGATAATCTGAGTGAATTGCACTATTACAATATTGCAGTGATGTCTGCCAACTATGATTATTGCCTCTACTACCCAATGTATTGTGCAATGAGGGTTTAGACGACTCTGGTGACTGTTGACTTCTATTCAAATAAAACTACTACAATACAATTATTGTATAATAATTATGTAGTCTGATTTCTACTAATCCATGAATGAATCCAGAATCCAATGAGATTAGCTGGATGATTATCGGTTCACGGAAGACATTCTGAAAACGAAATTGACATTTTATTAAAATACATAGTACACATGACAGGGATGCTAATTTACATTTACATCTACATCTACATATTCTTTAAATTTCTGAATTACCTTTCTAACACACCAACGTACATGATTCCATTGATTTCCATGGAAACGACGAGAGATGAGTCTCTTCCATCTCCGCGAGAATTTATTTTGATGTTTGCCCCAGTCAAGGCTGGTATTGAGATGCTTCTTGGAGGTGTGTCGGGGTCGTCCATTGCCAACCGTTTCGGCGGTGGGGGTGCGGCGTGATGGTTGTTGTTGTTATTATTGTGGTGATGATCATGTCGATCATGCCGCTTTCCATTCTCCTTCTCGGGCTGCAAATACAATTTAGTTTACTTTCACTTTAGGCGTTTGTGAATATTTATTACGTAATTCGCAATAACATTATGTATTTTTTCGTACCGTGTACACGGTGGATCGGGGAGACGTTGGGATGTTGTTGGAGTGTGATGTAGTAGGTACTTTCGGCGTCTGTGCCCCTTCGGAATTTCGGGTCGGAACTTCAAGATTTAATGCTTCTTGCTGTGGTGGTGCTTTGCTGTGAGGCAAAATGCAATAATATTAAATAACATATTTATTGATTCACTTGCATAATTTAAGTTCCAGATTTATAAGTTCGATTAAAAAACGAATTTTTAGTAAATACCTTTCTGGAAGCGTTGCTCCACCCCCATAAAGATTCCACAAGGTTAATCTGGACAGTTCAAGCGCTGCTAATGCATCACGTGCATTTGGCGTTGCTGCAGAGTTTGGTGGTGAGTTTGGGCCTGTTAATACATGAAAATTAGTACCCTGTACATGTTATTTATTTTTTAAATTACTTATTTAATTAAAATTACTACATTTAGGTTAAATTTTTTCAACGCCAAAATCTTTCAAAAATGGACTGTTTTAATTTATGTGTTTGTTTAGAGCAAAAATGCAGATATAGAAAGTTGGAATTACACCCTCTTTGAGTTTGCAGTTCTTTGTACTTTTTTTCTGAATATTTAGACCTCCGGAAGAGGGGAAAACAAAATCACATGGTAAAATCGTTGTGAAATAGGTCAGAGAACTCTAAAGATTGTAAACAAAACTATCAAAATCATAACTGCACATAAAACAGTCATTTCATTCAACGTTAGTCAACAAATCATGTATGTTTCAGTTCAGATTATCGTGGTTTAACAGTAAACTCATTCTGGAGAAAACAATCTCTTTCCCAAAGTATCTGAATTGCATGTCAACAAATAAAACCAGGATATACTAAATGGTTGGGTTATATTTCGGAATCAACCCTGTTTTCCTCATTGAGTGGCATCGACGTCCATTTAATTACTTTTTGTGTCCCATTATTACATTTTATTGACTACTAAGCAAGTGATATAAAAGCTGGACAGGAAATGAGACTTATTTCTTTTGTTCGCATTTAATGCATTAGGACTCGACATTAGTCGGCATAAACTCACAAATAAATTTGCAGTACTTATATTTGTGGTACAGCATTATAGACATAAATATATCAGGGAAAACAGAAATTTGATGCAGGGAATAAAAAGAGTTGGACCAGCAGCGGAGGAATATGCGAGGGAGCGTGGGCACGCAAATTGATGACGACGGTGGTTGTGGGGCTAATGAACAAGATTGCACGAATAATAAAGGAGCCACAGAAAAAGTAGTTTTAACACAACAATAAAGATATTCAAAATAATTCGAAGGTTGGAGGAGGATTGCACACAAAGGTTTTCGTTGTTGATACCTCACACTTATACTGTTTTCATACATAAACACAACTACAGGCACATACTTCTCTCCCTTGTCTGTTCCCTGTACCTCAGCGACGACGCCGAAATTACCAACCAAGGGTTTGTACATTTGCGTTTACGGGTGTGCAAAATAATGATATAAAAGTTTTACGACTCTTTGGATTTATTCATCGCCCAGACATTCATTTTCCTCTCCCCAGACGTTCAATTCGCCATTAACTACGACCTGCAGTAATGGGAATGGAATGCCACAGAGTTGTGTGTTGTGGGTCTATCTCAAGGTGGGGTTTTATTTCATTTTTCATTTGATTACATTTCAGGGAGAGAGAGAGGTCCATATCGCCTAAACCATCAACCAAAAACTGCTCCATCCAAAAACTATAAACATTTGCAAACCTGCAAATAAACTATGGCTTCTTCTAGTAAGCACCTAAGCATCCTCCGATCCACCGAAAACTTATGTCCAAAAGCTGCAACCAACGTACATAAATTACCATTTCGATAATCTGGTGTTTACTCTGTTCGCTTTGCTTCACACACCTTGGTCCAACATAACATGCATACATTCAAATGTCTTATGTAACAGTTATTAATTGGGTCGAGGTTTAGAGGACCACAGCGTCTAATCCTAAAAAATACACCGTAAAAACCGTGTCGGGTAATCATAACCTAATATATGCAGGATTGACAAGTTGTAAAAAGTAATAATCTATCATGTGGGAAGAAATTTGTAGATGCTTACAAGAATAAATCCAAACCACATGTCGCATGTGTGAATCATTATTATTGGGTCGTTCGTGTATGACAACAACTTTGATCTTACGTATATTACGTATTATGCATCCCTTCTTTTGCACCTCGTCGTTTCAAATTCGTCTGGCGATGAGACAGGCATTAAGTCAAAGTTAAAGCAGTTAAAGTCGGTGAAAAACACGTTTCCAAAATAAAGTCGTAAAAGGAGTAAATACGAATCACGAAAGGAGAAAGATAAAATGATGCTCAGCTTGATTATAGGTTGTGCCAACTATCACTTCCTCCCCTAAACTTATTAAAACCGAGCAAACAAATCACACTACTTTCTGCGATAGATTATTTGACTAGGTTTATGTTTTCGTTGTTTTACATTTGGTCTCGTTGAATTTATTTATCAAAACGAGGGTTAAAAATTACTTGTCTTCAATGGACACTTACTTGTGGAGTGCATGGAATGCCCGTTCCCATTCATTTGAGGTCTTCCTCCAACAAGACTTAATGGCGATATCTGAAACATGTGCAACTTTAGTTAGAATAGAAATGAGCTCTAAGAAAGTCATGTGTGCATATAAATGTTAAATGACACTTAAAACAGGGATAACGACATCATCAAACAAACAATAAATCAATAAGAGCCAATTACGGGATTAAATAATGTGGAATCAAGTGCTTATACATGTGTACATATTTACTACGATGGTGCAGCCAGACTGGAGATGCGTTGTAATATGAAGCGCAATAAATTCGTCTCATTAAATAAAGTTGTTTGAGCTGAACTCAGTTTGAGACTTTACATTGATTCATAATAGCTCACGAATCGTGCCCACTCCGGTCATACATATCAAACTAAAAACCATCATAGCCACGCACGAGTCTTTACAGACGGGCGGAAACATGTGGATATCAAAATGAAATGGGTTTGAATTAGCACAATTTATTGTCTTATTAACCTCAGAAATTTCGGAATGAAACGATAAACAGATCACCGATCAATGAATGTAATTGTTTATTAAAGAAATTTAATGCAACTCTCCTGTTGACTGAGGATGAGACTTACAAGGGAACCTTAAGTACTGTCACATCTCGATTTCCTCGCGGGTGGTGTAATTGAGAGATAATTTAGTGAGTGTTACTAAAACTTTGTCATAGGACATACGGTGGAAAATCACGTTTTTGTGAAGTATTTGGCGAAAGCTGCACCAAAACGTGCATTTTCCAATGCTTTAAACATAAATAGTAGCCTTTGGAATAATGAAATGAAGTTTATAAATTATATACCTGTCCGTAATTGGCGTAATTTCATGCTGATCACCAGCGTACAAAAAATCATGCAAACATTGGCCAATTTTTTCAAATTGCGAAAATTTGCAAAATTTTCTCAATTTGAATTTCGTCGTTTTTAGAAATTTTAATAAAATTTAAATTTTAAACTTCTTTTATTTAAGCACTGCAAAAAATGTTTTCAAAAAAATATTTTTTTTCTTATTGTAACAAAATTGGCGAAAATTTTCAAAAATTGGAACTCATAATTTTTCATGAAAAACGATATAATGACCAATGCGAGTGTATTTTATGTAATCTTCAAAATTGTTGGAATTATTTGTTTACGCGAGCTGCAAAAAGTTTTGGAAATTTATGTCACCAGCTTTTAACATATTCCACAAATTAACTTTTTATATAGGACGTCCTATATATAGACCTAAATATATAAATATAATAAATATAGCCATAGTGGAGGGACCCAACAGGGTCCCTCCCAGATGAAATTTTTTCCATTTTTCCAAAAAGCTTAAAGTCTCAAACGAGGTTTGGAAAAGTTAATTTGTGGAATATGTTAAAAGCTGGTGACATAAATTTCCAAAACTTTTTGCAGCTCGCGTAAACAAATAATTCCAACAATTTTGAAGATTACATAAAATACACTCGCATTGGTCATTATATCGTTTTTCATGAAAAATTATGAGTTCCAATTTTTGAAAATTTTCGCCAATTTTGTTACAATAAGAAAAAAAATATTTTTTTGAAAACATTTTTTGCAGTGCTTAAATAAAAGAAGTTTAAAATTTAAATTTTATTAAAATTTCTAAAAACGACGAAATTCAAATTGAGAAAATTTTGCAAATTTTCGCAATTTGAAAAAATTGGCCAATGTTTGCATGATTTTTTGTACGCTGGTGATCAGCATGAAATTACGCCAATTACGGACAGGTATATAATTTATAAACTTCATTTCATTATTCCAAAGGCTACTATTTATGTTTAAAGCATTGGAAAATGCACGTTTTGGTGCAGCTTTCGCCAAATACTTCACAAAAACGTGATTTTCCACCGTATGTCCTATGACAAAGTTTTAGTAACACTCACTAAATTATCTCTCAATTACACCACCCGCGAGGAAATCGAGATGTGACAGTACTTAAGGTTCCCTTGTAAGATTACGAAAAACGGGTTGAGATGAGGGGATCACGCTTTCATTTCGTACAATACTCACCATATCAGGATAAGGACCGTAACTCGCCCTGCGGCCTTCTCGTTTGTTTCCATCAATTGCTGCTTGCAACTCTGCAGGAGTACTCAGCCTCTTCTTTTCGCATTCATAAGGGTACAGGTACTTCATATATCTGAAACGGAACAAGAATTATCAATCATTCTGCAAAATTCGTGGTCAAAAATTGCTTTGGGAGGAGAATAGAAAGTTAAAACATAATCATTCAGTGAGCCAGTTTCATTCAACATTGAGAAATTTTGGCTGGCTAGCTTTCAATGGATGAATATGGACGAGAAAACCACATTATTCAGAGTCTCGAATAACGGTGAGCAGGCGGATGATGATGATGGGATGTTGGATGTGATAAATATAGAATAATGACAAGAGAGAATTTATTTATGCATCGCATCACATCCTATCAGAAGCCTGTCTTTGACACATGTTTCTCCAAAGTGTGTTCGAGTCAAACCTTTCGATCATTTGTTTTCCACTAGAGAAAGGAAGAAAGGAGGAGACGTCACAAGCCGTGCACAAATGTGAGCGAGATAGATGGCTTCTTTTTATTCGAAAAAGAAATGCCAGCCCAACAAGAAGCACGGATATTTACACTCACTCACTCAAACAAACGTACATATGTACGTAAGTCTACATGTACATACATGACGATGAGAGGATGAATAAGTAACGCATGTCTCAATCACATTATTTTCCACCCTTTTGTGCTATATTAAATATTACGCCACATATTTATCATCATCAGGCAATTGTGGAATACGTAAGTCTGAAGTCGCGTATAAAACTATAAATATTTCCTCAAGATGTGATATTATAAAGCAAGTCGTATTATTTTGTATGTGCATAGGAAAGCTGAGAAACAGGCTAAATTAGGAGACCATATGAGACTAAACTAATAAATGATTGCTAATGTTTGAATTCAGAGCGTGAAAAAAAGGCTGTTTGATTATTTGCCATTACATGGTGAACTAAATTGGGACCTTTAAACATTTGTGGTTGGCATGCTCTTAACTGAGTATCGGCAGCTATTCACATGGGAAGCATTGCAGGGAGGAGGATGAATTATAGATAAGAAGTGGATCACCGGGATGAGACATAAAGTATAAACAGAGAATCATCAGCTATTTATAGTCCACATTTCCAATCCATTAAGTCTTCATCATTATCACTCTTTACAATCCTCACAATAACAATAGATCATCTCAGTAACCAGCACGTCGGATGGCGTGGCGTTGTTCCGTATTTGGCTTCGGCTGCACGTCTAGGTATTTAGTTTCTATGAGGCTGCGACTGATTTCATTCGGATGATTGCTGCTCATCTTATGACACCACCGCATTTATGGTACGACAGGAATAATGCCATCAACCTTGCCGTGTCTTGTGACGACTAAATCAATGGCACCAGGACAAATTTCGAAATCTGATGACTATTACCTTACCATGCGAAGGTAAGAATGGAATCATTGGTAAAAAATGTTATGCTTACAAATTCCTCTACACCAAACATGTCCCTTTAAGGCCTTATAGGGTAAAATTTATGTGATGATTGGGGGGTGTGGTCAATTGAGAGAAAATAATTAAATAAATTTAACAAGAAATGTACACGGATGGCTTTGTTGTGGAAATTTGATTCCATCAACTCGCTCGGGGCAGGATTTAGTCTCTATGCGTATTACAAATCCAACGCACAAGCACGACTCAGAATCGTTTGCTGAGTGACTGAGGGAGAACAAGGCTCATTTGAGGACACGTTTTTTGTAAACAATTAAAATAAATTGAAATCAATTGACGAAATTTGTGACAATGGAAGACGAGGATCACGTAATGGTGGGGTAAGTAAACCGTGACCCCCCATTATTAGGGCCATGTTTAATGGGTCAATTTTCTTTGTGTTTTTTAGAGAAGACTTGGAAGAGGGTGAAGAACCTGACCAATACTGGGAGAGGACAGAGGGGTGGTGGGGGACAGAAAATGTCCAGGACGAGTCGGTCCGCTCAAATCCCACCACCCCTCCCGTGAGAGAAGTTGACGTTAAAGACGAGGAGGGAGGTCATCAATTGACTTGGTAAGTACACCACCGTGACCCATATTAGGGCCTTATTTTGAGGGAAATGTTTCTTTGTTTTTTAGGGAGGAATGTGAGGACGACGAGACTCCTACTCGATATTGGGCCAGGATGGACGATTGGTGTGGACTCGTGCAGCCGTCTGTTCCTTTGCCTCCCTCGAGCCCTTCACCGGAGGAGGAGGATGTCGACAAGAAGGAGGGACTTATGAGGTAAGTACACCCACCTGATCTCCATTTTAGGACCATATTTTGAGGGAAATGTTTCTTGGTGTTGTTTTTAGGGAAGAAGGACACAAACGTCCACTTCCATTCTGGGAGACCATGGATTGGTCTGGGATTGGACCGAATGTTGGTGGAGAATCGTCGCCTCCCTCGAGCCCTCTAGCAGCACCAGAGGAGGAGGATGTAAAGGGGGCCGTGATGTCGGGTCAAATTGCAGCGATTGTCACTTCTGCGGCGTCATCTACATCCATGCGAGTCAGAAAAGGATTCAAGGGGCGCTCAGATTCCCATGCCCGACAGACGGCCCTGCAGGGGACAACAACATCAACGGCAGTGGCGGGGCCGGTGAGTTATTGGAATTAATTATCTCATGTCCCTTTTATGGCCATAATATATGGGAAATGTATTTTATTTTGCAGAGTACATCGGCCGGTGGATCTCAACAGCTGATCTATTCCCATGACCCGGCCTTGAACCAGATTCGCCACAAGTTTCTGGCATGGTTAGCGAACTTGAAGAAACCGGATGATAAGGAGTTGGACGAGTGGATGATCAGGGCGCAAGATGTGCGGCCAGGGTACGCATGGGACAAGAATAAGAAGACCAAAAAGTGGGAGTATTTCATCCCTACCCCTATCCCTTCAAGGCCTCAGAAGAGGATGTCGCTGTACAGCAGATACAAATTAAGTTGGATTGAGATGAACTCCTCTGGAAGGAAACATTTCGACCAGAAAAGGGCGAACACGGACACTTATCGTGAACAGCGATGCGATATGATGGCGAAACTTCTTTCGACCATGCCTCGCCTTCCGACCATGTACCTCCTTGAAGTCCGTGAACTCGACCCTTCCATCATCAAGGCCTACAAGGATGGGGACATGACTTGGGAAGAGTTGACCCGAGTTCCGGCCATAAGAATTTGGAGGTATCCGGGCGTTCACGAATCCGTCAAAGGGTTATTTGGACCACGCCCAAACCATTTCCAGTTCGATCCTGCACAGGCACAATCAAAAGTGCACGACCTCATGCGAGCCCTGGGACTCGACAACTGCATCTGTATGGAGGCGTTCTCTGTCCTCTGCAAGGACCTATTTTCCGCACAACAGGGGGAAAGTTATGCCATGGTAAGGTGATAATTTGTAAATGTAAGAAAAGAAACATGACAATTTTTATTCCCTATTCAGAAATATGGGGACGAGTATAACCTCATGAAGGAGGAGGGACTAATCGACAACAACATCGAGTACCTCATTACCCGTCCCGACATGGCCCTGGACTCGGACTTGGTCCCCCTTGCCATTCAGGATGCAAGGGATGGGAAAGAACTCTTCAACCTTGTCCCGGATTCGGCCCTGCAGCATCCACCCCACCACGCCACGAAAACGGAGATCATCACTCTCCCTTTCAAGATCAAGGAGTCCTCCTTGAAGGATCGTTGGATCTCAGGGACCAGAGGGGACAAGGACAACATTTGGGTATATATTCGTGACCCTGTTTCAGAGCTTGTCCGTGTTACACCATAGAATGACCATTTTTTTATAATTTTTTTTATTTGACCATTTTTTTCGACTTTTGATAAAATACCGAGAATTTCTTCAAAAATACTCATTATCTTCTCACCATCTTGATTTTCGATAATTTTGCCTAAGCATTAATGACACTGCTAGATTTGCCAAACAACTAAAATAACAGTAATTTGAGACTTGTGAGCAACTATATGTACATGCAAAGTATACCAAAGTCGTTGGTTTTCAAACATAACACAATAATGAAGGAATCGCACCTACAGAAATATATTTTAAAGACATTCTGAATAACTCCTTTATGTCCAAAATGATTGAATAACTATTTAGATTATTTTGGCACCACATCAAATTCTCAGATTGAAAACAATAATTGATGGGTCAAGGTAAAACCATGAACGGATGCAAAAACGAGAGTTGACAATAGTTTTTACTCAATAAATTTCCGCGAATGTATAAACTTACTGCGTCCGGAGTGTGAAAGCAGCCGAAGTGATTGAAGACGGAAGATGAAGCCCTTTGATGATTTCTTGCCTGCAACAAAAGTTACACATTTATTATTTGGCATTTGGAATAGTGTGTGTATTTATACTAATTCATAAATGTCGTTCAATGCAGTCAAATTTCTGTAAAGTCAAAACTTGCCATAGTTTTTTGTTAATAACATCCACAAGTCCGCCACGAGCGATGACCAGATTATATAATTCATAGAGGTCCAGAACCTGTTTAGGGTATCATGCAAACAACAATTAAGTATACAATAGTGTCCGGTCTGTCATCCGTGGTACCAAAAAAACAGCGGGTGACAAGGATTAAATATATAAAATTATTAAGCAGATAAATAAGTGAAGAACGAACATTCTTAGCCATCACAGGAAGCCTGTTTATTGGCGTCCCTGCAATAAAAAAAGAAATTATACTTGTAGCAATCCATAAAATTGATATTTCCTGATTATATAACAATTACAACACTACGGAGGACATCCCTTGACCGCAGAATAACTGATTTTGATGTCATTTGCATATGTTGTAGTACTAGGTGAGTCTACGAAAAGTGAAAGAAGGTTTTACTCCATTGCCCCCATTTGTGGCCGCCACACCCCCTCAAACGTGAATCCCATGGTAAACTGTGCGTATTAAAACCTTCAACAAAAATTCAATTTTGATCGGATTTTCATAATTTTAGCATTTTCACAATCTTAGATAGTTGCTTTATCATATCCAACATCAAACTCAACTTTTTGAAATTTTGATTTTTTCAAAGACGGTCGAAAAATTTTCGAAAATGCTCAAAAATTTTAAAACAAATTGAAATTAATAAAATAAACCAACTATCTAAAATTATGAAAATTCGATCGAAATTGGGCTGAAGGGTTTCATGCAAACAGTTTAACATAGGATTCCTCTTTGAGTGGGTGCAAGGACACACATGAATCAAATTTCAATAAGTTTAGTCCATACGGGTTCGCCGGACTCGGCATGTATGGGTTTATCTACTTATAAAGAATTCTTGGGATACATAATTTATGCTCCCATAACGAAATAAACATGTCTTGATATGCCCGATAGCCACGATTAAGACCACGGAATTCACAATATAAAAAGAAAATTACTAACATTTAGTAATTTTGGGCATAGGTTTTGTTTTCATTTATTGATTATTGGAATTCAATTCAGACATCAATACATCGAAATGTGAAATCGCCTCACGCACACGCTTCGTTGTGAAGTATTTATTTAATGACTGACTCGATTCTAAATTAGATGGAATTAATTTTTGGAGATATAATTTCATCATGGTCAATGATGTCCATACTTTATCTACGCTTCTTGTTGAGTCATGCGATGCGCAATCAGGTGAATGTAAATAATGATGCTGATGACTACATATAAATTACCACCCATTTCTGGCCTGCATTCAACTGGTTTAAACTAAAACTCAAATTTAAAAGGCAAATTTGCATTGGGGGCAGATACCAAACTGTTAAATTAATACACCGACCTGTGAACTGACTGATCATGAGTATGCATATCGTGCAAAATAGATTTATTCTTCAAGGAAAACTCAATCTCATCATCTCAAGCTCGACGTACAGATAATTCCAAATGCACGTGTCGGTAAGAAAACCGGCATTTCTGTAAATCACATTTGTAAACGGTGGCAATTACAATAAGTCTTATCAGTGTGGTGAAATTAATTCCAATAAATTCGGTCTGAAAATATTCCTTTTAAAGTATTAGGTATGATATATACAGCTCGTTGGGTATTCATAAATGAGTAAGTAGTTCAGAAGAAATATATAGAGCTCTCATAGTTGTCTTTGTGCAATCTATTTACAAATGAAAATTCCTCTCCATCTGGAGGAATAATCTCAAATTTAATTGTTTTAAGCAAAATTGGTTGTTTTGGTATTGAAAAAATGTGTGGATCCACTCTTTTCCACAAGAAAAAGTTCTGCATCTGGACCGGAAGCAGGAGTTTTGAGTTGAAAGCTCTTTCATTTTCCCCAAATCTGCCCCACAGGGTTGTTTTATTATACAAAAGTTCTCTCTTCGAGGAACAGATCCATCGCTTCAAAGACTTTATAGCTCCAGTCAACCGACTTTCAACACAGACCTTTGAATCCCTGACTCAACGTCACTTTCCATTTCCAGTCATTTCTTTCGTGGCGGATTCGCATATGTTGCTTATACTTATTTATACGTCTACAGGCAGTCACTAATTGTGCACCCACACGCTTCCACATTTTGGGATAAGTCTTTGCTCCCTGCCTCTTTTTCTTGTGTACCAAGGTTTTCTTATACGCCCGTTGTTGTCTCGATCTTCTTGATTACCATTCCCGCATACTGGATTAGGACGCACATGTTTGGACGAGAATTAGAAAAGTCAACGTGAATGTGCAATGCACAAGACATGAGCGTATTACGAGTATGCTGTTCTTTCTTGTTATCGTACAAAATCTTCAACAGTTTTACCCCAAACCGGCCCATCCCAATAAGAGGACTGTTTTCTTCCAAGGGACATTAAAATGAGGAGGCCCATTTCCTCCTGTTTGCAGAGAAATGTCATTAGGGCACACATGGAATGGAATCAATCATGATCCCATTTCTTAATGAATGTCCCTTCTTTTCGTTCAACATTATTGAAACACACTTGTCTCCACTCTTTCCATATCTACGTATACATATGTATGCTGAAACATGTATAACAGACCGTTAGTTTGCACGGGATATACCAATATCACGGACATTTGTTCACAAGAGAATAGTCAATTTTTGTGACCCATCAACTCATTTTTAAGTAAAAATTGGAAAGTCACGCTAAAGGAGGATCAGAAACAGACCTTTTTTTGTTTTCTTTCGCCACTTCATTTCTCTCCTCTTTCGACTCCTTACAGTTTCCAGATTTGGAATAAAATTTCCATCACAATGACTTTTGTGAGAACCCAAATCACAGACCGATCCAACATTTCTCAAAGTTATATCATACCTATCAACCTTCTGAAATATCCTCCCACATCTGGCAAACAAACTGACCATCGAATACATTACACACATAAAACAAAACATGCAGGCTTTCTATCGGTCTGTGGGAATGCAAAACTTGAGAGCTCATTAGTTGACACTTCAAGCAGTGCAGTATACATACTTTCATATATATAGTTAGTCCACATATGTAGTTACTAGTTAGTAATCATACATAATTAATTAGGGATACATTTCTCAAAAATATCCAATTTAATGCCAAACCTAAATATTAATTCAAAGCTAGCTCTTATCGTAGATTGGTTTGTTGAGCTGTTCATGTCGAGCAATTTTTTCCAGCATGGTGGAAATTAAAAGTGCTTCGGATTAAATGCAAATGGACCTATTAAAGTGGCTGCTAGGAAAGAATGGCGATCTCTTGATTTACGAGTGGTTCTAACCCACCAAAACCCACCCTAATTTATGACCTATATATCCTTCTCCCTCTGCATCCATTGTCTATTTTATACATAAGCAACAAGTCAGATAAAAAATCACATTAAAATAAATGTTCTCCTCTTTATTTCTTCGGCTCATTTTATCCTCTCCATATTTTCAAGAAACTCATCCCAAACTTCTTTGAGAGAGAGCTACAGATTGAAACCAATATTCATTTCTTGTTTGTAATAATGATAATCTTGCTCTCCAAATGAAGTTGACTCTAACCAATCCATATATACTTTCATTTATGTCCAACCATTCGGAACCTTTCCAGGATTCTTGGAAATATTAAATTTCTGGTCAACAGAAGAAAGGATACAAATTTTTTCAAACCCTTTTTTATGTTCGTTTGAAACAGAAAATTAATATCGTGTACGTACTCGACCGATTTAGGGCTGCATGAAGGAGATGGGCCTCGGACCTCGGATGGAATTCTTCTTCATGTTATTATGATACGAGGGGACACAAACCCATTTAACAAGCAATACAGGATTTTAAGAAATCATATAAAGTGAATTGTTGCGATTGGGCAAAAAATGTCCAATGGAGCCAATCTAATAGAATTACTATATCTCCTGCAATAAAACTCAGTTCACCAGTTGTCCTTTATAGTTCTCAGACTATAAACGAATCACAGTGTCTCACAGCATGAGACACATAACAAAATTTAACTCTTTCTCCAAACCTTGTCTCACCAAAGTAACTCTGATATTGGAACATCAGAGTCTCTGACATTGGAACCACTCAATTGTAAAAAAAATTAAAATGCACAAGCCAATCCAGGAATTTTTGTTTGTATGTGCATTATTAGATGGTAAATATAAACGAAGCAAGAATTTATAGAGCAAAATATTTAATTGAAAACCTGATTGCAATAATGTTCCACGGGATTCAGCATAACACCATCATAATCATTTTTAATCTGGTCGTTAGCTGTCCCATAAGGAATGATACGATGCTGATGAGAAAGCATTACCATTTCTAATCAAAGAAATATAAATAATAAATATGACCCAACAGAAGATGCTGGCCTTCATCTGGCACCAGTCAGGCAATCACAATCACACAATATTAAAAATGGGTGGAGTTACAACAATAACAATTGCGAAATATTTATGATTGGCTTTGGTGGTCGTTCTCTGTAAGACGTGTAATGCCTGCGTACAATATGTAGTAAATTGTCGACAGGGTGTGGGGCGATGTGTACATTATTGAAACTTCTCAGAAGAAAATTCACACAGCAGCTATTGAAACAACTCAATATTTGGGGATTACTAAACCAGCAGCCTACCAGCATAACACACACGTACATAGATCTTGTAAATCGTAAGCAGCACTGCGCATTGACAACAATCAGTAACGACGCAGGGAACAATTAAATTCCGTCTTCTGAGAAAATGTGGTAAGTGGAGGTGAAATCATTCGTGCTTTTGGCTGATTGAAACCAATCGAGTGTTCAAGAATTTAAAGAATCGCAACAATTGACAATCCAATTCGAAGGTGACACAATAGGGTTCAAGGAAAGCTTCGAAAGTCATTCAAAATGCTCGTAAAAAATATTGGTGGTGGAGGTGATGGCAATGTAAAAATTGATACTTGCTTCCTACCAGCTTTTGCCTGATTCGTGATTTATGCCACTGCCTTTGTGATTACGACACACTGTTTGGAGCTAATGAAAGTGAGGAATATTAAAAGTCTTAATGGGGCCGTGTATCTCCTGGGATAGGTGGGCATTATATTTGAGACGAGGTATGTGCAGCCTGTCCTGGTGTGGGCATTCATTGTACAAATCATAAACAGAAATGAGCAGCATCCCGAAACGTGTATTACTAATATTGGGAAGAATAAGAAGCTCTCTTCCGAATTTCCCAATATATTTAAAACGCAAAGAGATTGACCTGCTTCAGCTTGGATGATGGAGCTCAACTGCTTAGCGGCTCTATGGAGGCGTTGTTATACGCAGTGAATGTTACCTACATGCATTAAAGCCGCATCAACCAAGAGTTGGTGGACGGTCTCGTTATTATTATTTTAAAGATATTTCATGGGAAGGAGCGGGGCAGCAATAAAAGTGTTGAGTTTGACTGAAGGCTTGTAAAAATGTCGAGCTCTCTTTCATGACCGAGGGGGAGCCAGATATCCAAGCTTACGACCTTTTATATGGCTAAATTTTCCAAGAAATTCACAGGAGAGTCGGTTAGAGGAAATGTAAAGTAATCACAGAAGGACCAGTCAACTTTGGAAACTAGGAATAAAGAAAAACCTTATGAAGATGATCCTCCGACGATGAAATGGATGTCTATGCCTTCACGTTATTACAAGTAATTTGACTTGGTGCATGGTGGTGGAGAAGGCAATCCTTGAGAAAGGGACCTCCACGCAAAAAAATAACAAAAATGTAAAAAACACTCACCAACTACGTTTCGATATGTACCCTTAATTCCCTTCTTATAATCTCGCCAACAGACCTTTCTTGTGCATGCTGGGGACTACATGGTAATGAATCTTTAGATTGCATTACATTTCACTTAAAATAAGAGAAGGCAGTTGCTTGTTTCATTCGGTGGTGCGAGAGAGAGAGAGGAGAGCCAAGGGTCACTTTGAATCCAGCACCATCGCCCTATGTGGCCATTACTTACATTACTCGGTCTCATAATCCTTAATCCAAGGAGCCAAAAATCTCCCCGGTTGCTGCCACCAACTAATAATTTCCTACCCAAGTCTGGACCACTGCTACTACTGGATTTTCTTACGAGAAAGACGAGAACGAGAGACGTGTCAAAGACATCTGATCAATGTTACTCTTTCGTGAGGAATCTGGACCGGAAATCATTATTTGGAAAATACGGTCTTTATTGCATCGGAAAAAGCGTAAAACCGAGCTTTGCCGATGGATAGATAGGATACCACCAACCGTGGATAACAAATATGTAGGTCTACTAATCACCAACAACCTTCGCATTCTTGCATTGTTTTTAATTCATTCCTAAACACTAATATTTAAGTTTGTTTAATATATGAAAATATATTAAATATTTCTTTATTACCGATGTGAGAAGCAAGGAACTAAAAGAAACTGGGATATATGCACTAATTCTCCAATGAAATATCTGTGCACTAAAAAGTATTAAAAAGTTGTCGTATGTAGTATGTACAACAATAGAGTAACACAGAGCCTACCCCTACAATTTTATGGATAGGCAACGACTCAATACATACACGGCAAAAGTAGGTAAGAAAATAAGTGTAGCTTTTTCAAATATTTTTTCCTTAAAGTACAAAAATAGTGCGTACCACAGACACATATCTGCACCAAAATGCCAGCAAAAAACGGTTGACTCCGGTGCACAACGTTTACAAACAAACATTGAGCATACTATAACAACGTAAGTGAGAAGTAGAGGTACTGCATCGTTTTGTAGTGTACCAAGTACACTGTACTTGACTAGTCAGCCATGTTAATAAAAAATACTACAATCTGGGCCATCAAGTCGCATGTTGCCTCAATTTCGCCTCAAGTCAAGATAGGTGGATCAGAGATTGAATAAAATTGGACATACACAAAGGCTGGAGGAACTCCCACCAAGCAACCAATCAAAAACGAATCCCGATCGGGCTAACCACAATAAAAACTATAGTGCTCATTGCTCAAGACCGACCTGGAATTATAGAGCACGCGCTATCTAACCAAACCTGAGAAATCCTCCCCCAAAATTTGTTCACTTGCACAACCATCTACCAGAAAATTGAATTTCTTTTCCCCAGATCTATTAAACCGTTCGTTTCTTTGTACGCAGTTTCCCTGTTTACTAATGCTATTGCATATCGGTGAGAGCACCGAAGTAGATGTGTTAGCTCAACAGAAAATTTGCAAACTTTCAAAATTGTATATTATTTAAATGAATATTTTTGTTTCAAGAGCAGAAAAAAGTTCTCACAATAAGGTACATAGCAAGGTGCTCTTGCTTCTATTATTCGGTTTTATGAATGAAGATCGAGGGGCATATGTACCACCGGACTCTATTTACAGTAGCTCAACAAGTAGCTCAGCACGAACAACGAGCAGTCTGCGGTATCAAGCATCGTAGATTGTAGGAAGGAAGGTAGACACGAATTAGTGACTTCATCCTACTTTTACACCGTGTTCTCCTCACCGTTTTCTGAGACCCCCTTCGAGTCCACACGTGCTTTTTGACACCCTACAAGGTATATGTTTATCTATTTATTGTTGCAATGCATTCATGTGTGAATATGAAGGAATCCCATAAATTCTGATATTGGTACTGCAGATGAAATTTAAAAAAATCGAGTCCTTAAATATTTAAACCCTTTGAATTATGACAACCTTCGTACTATTTGAGCTGTTACAAGCTATGTAAAACCTGTCAAAAATATTTGTTTCCATTTGACGGCAGCAGTAGTGTGTCAGGTTATGAGAGAATCAGCAGCGAGGTTAAGTGTCAAATAGAGAACACCGAACGCGTCACTTTAATGTCCGAATCATAAAATTGGGATTCATCATAAAGCAAAGCGTATGCTGGTTAAACCAACTCGCATACCACACGTTGCCTAAATAAAATATACACGCCGCGAGGGTTGAATGAAACTTTCAGGATAATAAAAACAAAATTCAACAGTTTACTTGATCCAGTTTAAAATTAACCCGGTTGCAATAAGTGAGGGGTGTGATGAAGAAGGGGAAAAAGTTGGAAAATGTGGCTTGATTGGATTTATCCGATATTGAGCGGCTGGGAGAGGTTAAATATTTGTTCAATCTTGAATACGATCATCATATTGCCTGTATTACCACGGGCAAAAGGGTCCTACTCGACAACGGTACGGAACAGCAGGGCTGACTAATTTTAGACCACTCCACCAAACTTTCAGATGTACGTTTGTACTCATCGTTGCTCAGGGATCGTTCTGAGGTCCGTGAATTTACAGATTTCTTCAAGACGATTTCCATGTAATGTTGTCCCCTCCTGTTTTAATGCACTATGAAAAAGTTATAAATAAAATGGGAGAGAGGGGAACCCTTTATATCTGCCAGGACCATCAACTCGCACACCATTCAATGCACATTTTCAAAAATCCGAACCAACCAATATGCACTTAATCTACGGTTTATGTTAACGAAGCATGCACACCCGGATTTAACGCGTTCGCTAATACTCTAGATTTTTCAAGTTGATCTAGTAAGCAACACACTCGTTCCTGTCCTATGTCCTTCCCCTGTAACAAGGAAACGCAACTGTCTTCCCTTCCAAACATCAGCACACAATGGGCAAATGGACTCAAATTTTGGCAGAAATTCTTCCAGAGCATCGTACACAAAATATTTGTACATATTTTCAATCACGGGGGCGCTTAAATTTGTATTTGGCCCCATATGATAAAACAAAAATGATAAAATAATGATAAAATAATTAGCAACATGTCGATTAGGACCGAAAGTATGGCCTGAACAATAAGGACATGCATTTTCAACAATATTTAGTAAAAAGTTATGCCAAAATTATCTATAAAAATATTATACGGGGTGAATATATGTATGCAATTAAAGCCCTTTAATTTTTCTACCAAACCTGTGAGCATTTGCCCATTGTGCAGTGCACATAAGAATCGTCATTGGTTTTTAAACACACATGGACATAAGATTGAATACTGTAACTGGAACGTATGTAATAGTAATCAACCAACCCATGCCCTTCCATAATATTAAATATTGTACCATATTTACATACACCAAACCAAGTAAACCCATTGATGATACATCTACATAGTTTGAATCCTTCTAATCCTCAAGACATCACAAGCCCTTGCTCGTACTAAATATGTGCCTTTGTAGAATATTCATATGCTGGGTGCTTTAAGCTCGTGTGCACACTTTGAACTATAATCAACACTAAATATTGTAGTAGAAACTTTTAAAATATGCTTATCAAACCAATGCCCGTAGGATTAGGGTGACAATATCTTCATGACTGCTACGTGACATATTGTGGGGCTTTTTGCGACCAGAAAAGGGAATTAGTAATTAGACGTTAATTAATTGGGTATTCTCTTACCTCGTTTCTGCATGAACGAAAACAGATCGTCCAAAAACTCTTTCCTCTTCATGTCATCGCTCAGCTCGTACAACTAGAATCACAAAATGAAACAACTGGTTAATTATCTGTCGCAGCACATATTTCCAATAAATCAGGTACAAGGGAAAAGTTGCCCGAGAAGAGTATTAATTAGAAAATCATACATGTTCAGCCAGAGAATCGTTGGAAACGATTTCTAATTAAGTGACTCGAGAACATATAATTCTTGTTGGACAATAAATTGAGTGAGATAAACAAATTGTGGGATATCTGGACACTTGCATGTGTAATCCATTACAAGGCACGAAAGAACACAGGATCATGATATTATTTACGCATAATATGGTTACGTACTCGCAAGTAGTATTGCTTAGTTGCAAGGTGCGATGGATTGCGTGTCGGAGAAATATTCGTTATAGAGAACTGTTGCCTTCAAACTTTCAAACATGTTGGGGAAATGAAGTGAGGTGTATAAAACGTAGTTTTAATTTCTACACTGATATGTTGTAGATTAGGGAAAAAAATCCCTCTCGCTTGTGTTAATTTGAGAAATGTCAGCGGAAAGCAAAAAATATTTCAACCAAGAGAGATTAATGACTGATAAATTATCAAAAATATCACTTTTTTAAATTGTCCATTCCGGTAATAATAATTAGATTTATAGTTTATATATGCATAGAAAATGCTAATTTGCTGCATTTGTGCTAGAATCGAATCCCTCGTTAATCTATGACATGTATTTACATATCTGTATATAGAGGGCCCCCAATAAAGGTGGCAGCATGCCGATATCATCATCGCATATATTTATATAGATTCCAATCGATTCTCCTATTCTATAAATGCTTGTAATCAACGTCTATGCATTCAATAACCGAATTGCTCATGGGCAATTCGTCTTGCGAAGAGTTGAATTACCTGTTTTCATTCCGCTTGATTTGTTAGTGGAATCTATCTATGCATTAAAATTTACATTAAAGGACTGGCTCAATAAGCACAAATTTTATCGAATTATAAATAAACTGCATTTCTCACAAGTTATGGACATGTTTTCCTCTTTGAAGTCACAAGAGGATTGAGTTCATAGTGGTTTAAGGGTTGCCTAATGAGAAAATGTCGTATAAAATATTGTTGCCTCCAGTAATATTGCCAGCACTTCACTCATTCACTGTGATCTGAGCGTAATCATTATTAAACATGGCCTGGTCAGAGTTTATGATAGTTTGCCGTCATCATCATCATCATCGTCGATACGTACAAGAAAGCCGAGCGGAGTCAAATCCCAAATGCTATACTGATCCTGAGTGTGAGTATAACAAACAATGAGCATTAATAAAAAGAAAGAACGAATTACTTGGTCCCTCAATTCTTCAGATTGTGAAAGAACATAAAACGAGCGTTCCACCCCGTCATTATTGTTCCACCAAAATAATAATTAATCAAAATCCCAATTACAATAAATGAATTTTTTGTTGAGCTATTAACCACCACTCAAATTCCACACTATACCAAACAGACATTAACCAAATAAGTCAAAATGAGTACACACCAACGCAGCACAACAGGTTGGTCATTTGTTTGGATCCATTCACTATACATGCATTTACTATATTTAAATATACACATACGCACGTCCCCTTCGCCCTGTAATAATATGGTTCTGCATTAACAAAGACTAATCAAATATTGGTCTCAAGATAATTAATTAGTGGAAAAAAGTTGATTCATATTTTAATGAGATTCATTCAAGCATGTAGTAAATTCCATTAAAGTGTAGAGCTTCTTTGCATAGTTATTTAAATCGAATAAATTGGTCAGATCCCCCACATCCACGATATGTACAACACACAATGCGATGATCCGATGCACGTAGAATCACTGCTAACTCGATGATCTAATCATTAGCTACTCAATTTATTGAATCGACGATGGCAACTTTTCCGGTTAGAGTTTCAGAAGCTGATTTAGTCCGCCTCTCGGATCCAACACTCACGCCCAATAAGTGGTTACGCCACCCTATCCAATCCCTCACTGTTTCCCCATAGCTATCATTTTCGTGAATACTAATAATCCAACATCTTTTATCGAAAACACATTACTCACCCTGTGACAGAGATGATGGGAAAAAATCATCGTGCCTCAGCCTCCACTACCGCAAGCAGGCTGAACAATTCGAGTGAATAAGTTTAGAGATGGATGCAACGATCCAAGTAAATCCTATCCAATTAACTTTTTATTCCAACCCAGTCTCCATATGCACAATATCTCCCTCCACATTATATTATTACATATTAGTATTTGTTACATTACAATTTACGATCCGGCGTCATAATTCGTATTGAGTCGCACTGTCCATTCGTTAATATCGGCTTGTTGCAGTCAGTTTTACAACAAAATGCTTGGCAATGATTGGTTTGGCTGAGGGAATTTTTATGAAAGCTTGATACTCAGGCCCTGAGTGGGGCGACGACGAGCGAGCGCATGCATGGACAGCTATAATGATATTGGAGTTGGCACATAAACATTTAAAATAAATTACAAGCATTATTATCCTTTTTGTATTAGTTGTTAGTGTTTTATAGAGATACATATTTCAGAAAGGAAATAAAGGTGTGCGTTGAATTAATAAGCAAATTATTCACAGGTGTCAAGCACCTTGTCTTGTTACTATCGTAAAGAGTATGGGGTGGTGTTTGTGCGCAGATAAAAAATCCGAGGGAGGTTTGTTTGATACAAGTAATTTCTCCCCCTTCTCCTCAGCTTTAGTTGCCTCACTAAAACTGATGAACAATGTAATGCATCCAATTGAAGGATTAGGAGGACTTTTGATAACAAAGTAAATCCAAATCAAGAAAGGAGAGAAAAGGCGTCGAGAGGGAGAGAGGAGAGAAATCTTCAAGGCAGGTGTAGTTGGTTCTCTCATTAGGCGAAGAGTTAAGAAAATGTACGTTATGTCAGCGTACTTATCCGCAGCCTTTTAGCAGACAGAACAAAACCCTCTCATTTTCTCCTAAGATTTGGGAGGAGGGTGGATATGCTTGAGCCATCAGTCTTTGTCACTTTGAATAAACCACATTTGTCTTTGGTTTAGACAATATTAAATCACACGTCAACCAGCAATTCACAATAAAAAACAGCAACTAATAATGATCATCACCAACCCATTATATTTCTTGATTGGTGGACAAATGGACTCATCCTCAGCAGGAGCAGACAGATCTTGAATGTGCTGTGTGTGTGTGCAATGTGGATTTCAGACACTCTATGCAAGCATACCGTAAACATTGCATCCGGTGATTTTGCCACCATTGCTGCTTAAACAAATTAAGCGACTCTCTTGCCAGCGCCCATAACTCATTGTTTCGAATAATTATAAAAAATACAATGTTGCCTGAAAAAAGTCAATAGACATAAAATTCTTATTTTTTGCCACTCTTGTCACAATCTCTCAATGACATGTGTATATGAAATATGCAGTTTGTCAAATAAATGGCATTAATTACTAAGCCAAGTTTTTAAGTGGACTTGAGGTTATTGAACACAAAAATCAATCGAAATTTTATGAATTTTAAAGGTTAATAACCGCCATATAAAATTAATACGAGTAAAAATGATATTTACATAAGCGTAGCAATAGGCGTTGAAAAGTAGGCATTACTGGTATTCGTGCATAATAATTGTGATGCATAAATAATAAAGAAAGAACATGAGCAGATCGAAAGTTAGTAAGTTACATAAAAAACGATAATTTGGAAGGTAATGAAAATCCGAAAAATTCGTATACGTAATTTGTCCATCGCTGGAAACAGTTTAACTTTAATGTTTAACCAAGCAGCTCGCTGCTCGCCTGGTCTTGAGCAAAACCAGACATACTCGTACATAAGCAATCTTAGGGCAGAAAGTTTATTGGTTTGGTTTGGTGTAAGACCGTTCGTGTGCTACATTATTCCAGAAAGGCCGTAATAATAATGTGATCTCCACCTGCCCTTTTCTCCACAAAATAGGATCTAATTCACTCTCGACAGCTCCAACTTTCCACCAATCCACTCCTAAACAATTGTAATATCTGGATTTTCGTGAGGTTGATGCAGATATTGAAATGCCTGCCTCCTCATTCCGTACAAAGTGCCTCATCCAACAGGCAATACATTTTCAATATATGTACGTGTGTGTACCTGCGAGTAAAATTAATGTCAAAAACAAAGATCGTAAAAAGAAGGCTTGGAACGAATATGCTTCCACTTTCAACCAACTCTTCGAGCTGGAAAATAGTTATAAAAATCTTTTACGATTTCTCATTACAATCATCATTTCATGTTCAATGTTAAATGGCATTTCTTTGTGGATGCAATGTACACTTGGTTGGAGCAAATAATTGTTGAACGGTAGAACAGAATAAAGCTTTTGGTAAAAGCTCATGGTTTCGAATTCTATGTGTAGCCAACAGAAATAAATAGGAATGTTATTACATAGTCAAGTCCTCAATTTCTATTAGGGCAGACCCACACGGTTGATAAATATAAAAACCAACGTATTATTGATTGCCACAATAAATTCATATTTACTTGTTCATTAATATGCAAATTGCAACTTGATGAAAAAGAGGAGGTGAATTAAACATTTTCGATATAGACTTACTTCAGTTGCATTATGTGGTTTAATTATGACAGCCACACTCCTTATCCACAAAAATATTCGTTGCACACAGAAACGAGATCAATGCACTTGTATTATAGCCGTATTCCCTCCAAGCACATGCACATACTTATTTATGTGTAATACGCTTAGTACTAATATTATTCGATCCAATCACCTCGATCATGCGAGTTCATACGAAAAATAAAATTGAATGGGCGTTACTGACCAGCGAACCAATTAATCTCGATCCAAATTAAAGCACATCTATTGACGCTAGTTAACTTTCGAGTGGTGATCCAACCCCATCAACTATCAACAAAATCAACTCATGCAACAATATGAGTGTGCTCAATATACTTACAATTACAAGTAATAAGATGATGAATCATTTAAATTTACAATTAAATATATTGT